CTCATCATCGGCCCAGACTGTGTAATTTATCACACCTCTTGTCATTGCCCGGATCACACCACCCCTTCCACCCCTTCCCCCCCACCTCTCTCTTTCTCTACCCCCACTTCTCCTCTTCCCTGCTCTTCTTCTCTCCCTCCCTCCCTATCCTGCTCTTCTTCCCTTCCTTCTTCCTCTCTCCCTTCCTCTCTCACCCTTCCTCTGCCCTGATTGCTCGCCCTTGAGTTCTTTGTACCATCGCGAAGATTGTTTGGTATAAGAAGTTCAGAGTGAAGATGATAATAATAATAAGACCTAACCTAGCCTATACTAAACTAACCTGACCTGACCTAACCTATCCTAACCTGACCTAACCTAACCTAACCTAACCTAACCTAACCTAACCAAATCATGCAATCCGTAGTGATAATAATAAGAAAAAGAAAGAGAAGAAAGAAGTAAGGCTAAGAAGAATAAAGTGTACGAGTGAAGGAAAAAAATATATATGTTGAGACGAAGCAATAAGAGAGAAAGAGAGAGAGGGAGATAGAGAGAATGAGAGAGAGAAAAAAGATTGGATAAGTGGCGTCGAAGATTTAATGGTAAATGATAATGTTATGATGATTTCTTTACAGCGGAGAGGCATGTTTACATTACCTCGACTCAGTAAAAAAATAAATAAAAAAAAATCATAACTACGAAAACAAACCCAGATAAAACTAAGTATCAGGTAAGATTTTTTTTTTATAGTATTAAAAAAAATTCTTTCTATGACGAGAGGAACTTGACGTTGTGAAGGGAAGTCGAGATAAAGACGCTGCCACCAACCTCAAACACACACCAGAAACGAGGAAGTCCGTGAAGATTACCATTGGGACTGAGCGTTACTGAGAATTACTACTTATATCCCTCTAAAACTCGGGAAGACATGCCTCGATTTCACCAACAAGGGGTAAATCTGACCCCAAAACAACTCACCATATTTTACCTGTCGTGTTGATTAAGAAACTGTTCTGGAAGAGGGGAACTATTGATAAGTTAGTGACTTGGCTATCTCACATTTCTGTAGATTTTGAAACTCAAAACATTCCATAACACTTCACTTTTTACTAGACACCTTTCCGAGCTATCAGTGACATCACACACACACACACACACACACACACACACACACACACACACACACACGAGAGGGGGTGGGGAGGGCAGCATCACAACAACAAGTATACTCGTCTTTGTTTACACGAGTCATCACAGCCACACCTCAAAGGAAACCTCGTCCTCTTAGGCAGAATAATACCAAGTGTGCTTACTATTACAACTGAACACTTGAGAGTTTATAAAAGAAGTGCCACTGAGACACTTATCTTCCTCCTCCTGTCTGATATAAAGGATATGAATTGGAATAAGTTCAAGGTAGATATTGTTGTGGGCAAGACTATTTTTTTTTTTGCTCCTTTAAAAATAATTACCTTACCTAACCTAACCTGACGCCTCTCACTTCCCCCTATTCACGTTTCCATCTTTCACCTCATCTCTCACATCGCCAATCTTCTACCCTCTCCTCTCTTCTACCCTTTCTTCTATCTCTCTATCACTACATCTCTCTTCCTGTACTCCTACCCCGTCACCCCATCCCCCCCTTCCTGTCCCTCCTCTCTTCCTCCCTCTCTCCTCCATGCTACTGCCTCCTCTACTTTCTCCCTTCTGTATCACCTTCGTCCCTACCCACTCCTCACCTTTTAGCTCCTCTTCCTCCTCCTCACACCTCTCTCATTCTCCCTTCCCCCTTCCCTTCTCATGCCCCCTTTCTCTCTCCCCCATCGTTGAGGTAACCTGTCCTTCACCCTTCCTTCAACCCCCCCCATCATCGAGACAGCCCCTGAGGAGTGTGTTTGAGTGTTTGGACCATTACTGATAAGTGTTTGTACTTGCCAGCCAGGCCGCCTACCTTCCACGTTTTTAATGACGAAGGTGTGGAGGTATAGTGGTGGTGTAGTGGTGGAGGTGTAGTGGTGGAGGTGTAGTGGAGGTGTAGTGGTGGAGAAGTGGTGGAGGAGTAGTGGTGGTGGAGGAGTGGTGGTGGAGGAGTAGTGGTGGAGGAGTGGTGGTGGAGGAGTGGTGGTGGTGTAGTAACAATGCTACTCACAACAGTAAGAAGAAGAAGAAGAAGAGAGACAACACTTACAATAACAACAATAAAATAACTAACACCATTAAGAAAACAAAAATATTTACTCCATAACAATAATAACTTCACCATTAACAACCACGTATTATATATTTTCTCTTATTCAGGGATAACTCCTACTATTAACTGAGAGCAGAAATACGTGCAATACGGATCAGAAATAAGATTCAAAAGCGTATAGTCGTCCCGGAGGATATGAAACACAAGCCCCTTGCAACTCTTTCATCGTGCAACACAATACGAGTCATTGGTGAGTATTGACTAGACCCAATTGGTATTGTCTGAATGAATGGTAGGCAGTGCCGTGGAGAGGGAGGAGGGAGAGAGAGAGAAAGAGAGGGGTTGAGGGTAGGTGAGTGGGTGGAGGGGAAGGAAACAGAGTGGGATTTTGATATGTGGGCGGGAAGGGTGGGTGGGTAGGTGGGTGGAAGGGAGAGTGGATCATAGGGTGGACGGAAGGGATGTACTGTAGGGAGGCAGTGGTGGTTCTATCAGTGTGACAGATGGAGGAAAGGATAGAGAAAGTGAGGGGGGATAGAGAAAGTGACGGAGGGATGGAGGAAGTGAGAGAGGGATGGAGAAAGTGAGCAGAAAGTATAGGGATGGAGAAAGTGACGGAGGGATAAGAAAGTGAATATGACGGAGGGATGGAGGAAGTGAGAGAGGGATGGAGAAAGTGAGCAAGTATACAAAATAATATACATAGACATTGCAGGAACACAGTCAACCCCAGACAGTACCAAGGACAACACCAGTAGGCCGTCATTCATATGTGTATTCCCTATGTCGTGAAATAATATCCTAGTGAATAAGGATATCTGATCACATTGTAACTTGTTCACTGTTGACTGCTCTATTATCACTACTCTTCGTCGTCTGGTGAATTATTTCATCCGCATACACTATACATGGTGAGTGAGACGGTCGTATATGATGCAAGGAGACTGCTATGTATAGTTCACCCAGGTTGTGCATTATACATGACCTGTGTGAAACATGTATACGAGGAAACGGGGTGTGTGTGTGTGTGTGTGTATCGTCAGTTTACACACACTATGTACAACGTGAATCTTACCACCCATAGTCGACTCCAGTTGTTCATGATCCGTAATTCTTCTTCAGGCATTATGTAAAGTGACACAGCAAGACATGACTGATTCATCTACGGAGCCCATCTAGCTCTTGTCAAGGTCTTCCTTCTCGCTCTTGTGGCTTCAACCATACTGTCAGGACTATTTCTATCCAGTGGTTCTTAAACTGTGGGTACCCGAGTTGTTCAAATGGGTCAGCTTTATCACGTGTCAGCAACATTTGTCAGCACAGGTCATCATCATCAAAGAGATTGATCAAGGTCTTGCCGGGCCCGACATCCCCTTTATTTCCCTGAGTGAGGCCTTCCAGTGAGGTCAGAGTCAACACTTACCAACCAATCCGCTCCTCTGAGATGTAACAGCTGGTGGCGTCGGGGTCATCCTACTTCGGGTCACAAGGGTTGATACAATAATGTCGCTAGTGTTGGCGTCATGGGTCAGATTGTCAGGTCATATATAACACAGCAGTCCCAGCAAGTCACTTCACTGGAAGACTTCAGATTATCAAGTAAGAACCAGTCAAACTAATACTGTAAAAAAAAAAAAATGCTTTCTAAAACGATGTAAAATATGTATTTTGTTAGGATTATGTTCAGCAGCGCTCAACTGAAGACATTCTTTGACGAGGCATTCATCAAAATTTAATAATATCTACGTAATAGCAGAATAATCTCTTTTATAATAATAATACACACTGTTGACAAGTACTGGACATGTACTGGTTCCAGAATGTATCTGTACCTGCACCAGTGTTGGCCAAGTCTGAGAATGAGCTCACACCCGGTGACAATACAACGTTCTCTGGCATATTGTTCTATAGACGTTTACCTTTAAAATATGAATTAATTTTCGTTTTCTTTGAAATATCGAGATTTTTTTTGCACAGGTAAACTCCTCGTAAGTTACTTACTCGGTGAACTTGTATTCAAACTTACAAACTGCTAACACTTTTGTAAATTTCCCATACTCAAAAATATTTTGTGATGTTGTAATTGGTAGTATCACTGGATATACCTTTCCCAGTGGCGTGGCTGTTGGAGTACCCCGAGGGAGAGAACATACCTTAGCAACACCTGGCTGGGTTGTACCTGTTATCACAAACCATTCCTTATTTTTCAGCACACTAAACTTTATAGCATTTGTCAATCTGATAAAAGCATATAATGAAAGAGAATAGTTTTAAATTATTTCACAAGTAACAATAAGTGGTGAAATTATGAATTAAAAACAGAATAAATATATTAAATGAAATCATCATAATTAGGGTCAACTGATAAAGAACAACTGATCGTGGGAAAGTTACCTTTAGTAGTCATTAAAATGGCTATATTGACAAAAACAGCTTTCTGTTTAATTTATGAAATGTTCAAACTAAAAAATGTTTTAAATCTTTCTCGTTTAAAGATATCAGATCCTAACTTTGATAAAATTATAGTTTATAAAAGTTGTATAGGCTCGCAGTGTTACCATAACCACTTCATGGGACTTTTCTATGGAAGTTTTGTGGGATTTTTCTCAAAACTTCATACTGCATCCTCATTTGGGGTTTGATTCACTAACTCCTTACGGTCACCCTGCGATCAACCTTAATGCTTAATGGGTGATTCACTAATTGTTTCAATCAATAAAGAGTACCGTCCCATATCTGAGGGCTGGTGACCTCACTCACCTCAGTCTTCCACGGAAATAAGTTAAGGTAGCTCTCGTTTCTCTACTATACAACCCGTACCAAAACACAGCTGCCTTCAAGTGTCAGTGAAGCTGTGAACATGAGTGAAGGAAAGAAATACAATCAGAGGTACCGTACAATCTGGGAGAAAGACAACAGGTTCAAAGGTATATGAATAAGGCTATAATTGTCATATTATAATTTAATAAAGATGCGATGTCATGCAAAAAAAATCTTAATTTCAGAGTAAAACGTGATACACTAAAATAAAATAAAAAGTCAAAGCCTTCTGTATTAAAAACCTGATACTATCAATAAAAGTTTAACTCTGGTAATTCTTGACAACACCATTGGCAGGATGGCTACAGCCTGTAGAGGGGGACAAGACCCAAGCACGGTGCAGAGTTTGTGGAACAACACTGAAGGCTCACTTGAGATCTATTATTGGCCACAATGATGGAAAGAAACACAAGAAAAACATGACTTCTTCTAGATACCCTCCGGTGGTGAATATTTATCCATTAAAATCATAAATATTCTCTTTGTCAAACAGGAAAATTTTTGTGGTAATTTTGTAGGATTTGTGGGAGTTTTTGGCGACATGGGATGTGGCACACTGGCTGCCTCAGACACCCGGGTACAGCGTTGAGTCCAAAGTCTCAAATGCTGAAGTTACATAAATTCTACGAGGTACAGTGACTGGTGTTATCATGTTTTTGTAGAATTTGATACATAAACGTGTATTATATTGTGCATGTAGTTGTTTGAATTGGAAATATTAGATTGACAACCAGGTAATAGGGCTTAATTATAAAGTAAACAGGTGTGAGTTTTGGTGTTACCTGTGCAGTCTAGGAATTCTTTTTAAACTTGTGACTTATATGTGTGATTCTGTGAGTCTGGTTTTAGGTCATCCCTGTATTTAGATATCCAAACTAACCTAACCAACCTAACCGATTCCCCAGATGACCAAAACTAAAATAATACCAATTTTATTTCAGAATACAGTACTGTACTAATGAATTGTTGTAAAGGAATGTGTAAAAATTAAAGGATATAGATATATAAATTTGATATTGTTGCATTTTCAACCAATATGCAACCCTCTACCAGCCTGTTGAGATCCACTGCTAATTAAGGTATTCATTCTAGGTTAGGTTGGTTTTTGAGTTGAGCAATGTGTATTTCCAATGGTCAATGCTCAACTTGAGAGCCATATTGGTTAAAAATACAAATTTACTCTATTTTTTACGTTGCAGCGCATTTGTGTAGTATGAATGAGCTTGTGTAGACGAGGGTACTTGTCCATTATACCTCTGCAAAAAATAACCAAAGTAAAACTAGGTTAGTTTACTTAAGGTTTAGTTTGGTTAGTTCTGGTTAGTTAGATTAGTGTGAGTTATGACCTCTTGGAACAACCTGCCAGAGTGTTGTGACGGCACCGAGTGTGATCTCTTTCAAGACCAGACTTGACCAACACTGGAGCAGGTTCAGGTACATCCAGGAGCCAGTGCATGCCCAGTACTTGCCAACAGTGCGTAACAGAGACATGACCGATCGCCCAAGTGGCTAACGAGCCAGTCAGTGGTGAAGAGGATAAAAGTAAAAAAGTAGGTTTGGTTAGGTTAAGTGAAAAAAAATTAAGCTTTGTTCTTAAAATATTTGGGGGATATAATGGAGAAGTACGTAGCTAGGCTATTTAATATAAGAGTTTGCAACTTAACCGACCCTAGCCTAGCCTAACCTAACCTACCTAACCTAACCTATTATATACCAAGGAGTAAAATCCTGTCTTCAAGGAGATGTTGGGGGAAAGATCTGTTGAAGAAAAAAAAGATCACTTAATTGCAAACCAGCTGTGTAATCTCTTCTCTGTAATAAGTGTGTTAATAATTGCACTATACTGTACTGTCTTCCAAACATGTGAGTTTTCAGAATAAGGAATCTGTCATAATGGGAGACTGGTTAGAAATATACATTAAACAGAAATGGGAACTGAGTAAGGAGAGGAAATAGATTGTATTAATGTAGATGTGAAAGCATGTAGTTGTGTAGATCAATCCTATATAGAACTAATATGACTATAATTTTAATAAGTGATACTCATGGTTGTAGAGCATCATAAACGTGTAGTCAAAGTAACTGGTTGTTGGTTTATGTATATTATCACTTTATATCTGTTCATTGAGCAGTGTCATTCTTCTTTCTTACCCAGATGGCGAGCGGTCTCAGTTGTCGAGTCTTTTGTCGTGGCATCACCTTAACAGTCACAGGTCCTTGGAATTATGTGGCTGGCAAGCGGTGTGACCCTATTGATTCTTTGGGTTTTATGAAGGTAAGGTTATAGGGGTGAAGGGACTTTTGGGACACAGTTAGGTAGTAGGCAGCTACCAAACAGGGAGGTACTACTGCCTGGGAAGATATTGGAAGCATAATGTATTGTCTAATGGTAGACCCTGCTGCCATATGGCATCACGAAAATTGTGACCAAGTCCCAGGTTGCTGATCTGACTTCTGCCTCATTTACACACAATTACAGGGTCTCAATTGTTTCTCTTACTATTGACAACACAACATACATATATTGTTTCTCACTTTTTTTTTTCTTTTTTGCATTTCGTTATGGTTCTTTATTATCATCATCATCATCATCATCATCATCATTACATTTTCGCCCCCCAGGCCCCGATGCAGGTCAGTGACCTGTGCCCGGGTGGGCCAATCCCCGTAAAAAAAAAAGAAAGAAAGAAAGAAAGAAAGAAAGAGAGGTCAGGTCCTAACCACCCTTGCCCAACCAAACGTCCCTGGCCCTAGCGTTCTACATTCAGTTGTGTGGGAGGACAAAGAAGGAGGGACGCCTGGTGCACATCATTGCATCTTGAACACCGTTTACTATAAAATCCTTCAGTGTTTAGTTCATGAATTTTCTTTACCTGATGGTTTTCAGTTAACATATCATAACATACTACGAGGGGTCCCGACTTATGAATGTCCGCCGATACGAACGGGGTTAAACTTGAAATTTACAGTACAGTAAACCCTCGATAACTCGGCACATATGGGGCTCTGTCCTTGCCGAGTTATCCCAAATTCCGACTTATCGAGGCACTTCCCCGCTTTTACAAAAATGCAACAATAAAAATTATCAACCCATATAGTATGTTGACATGTAGTTACTAAATATAAAAAAGTAACACTTACCAGCACTGCAAGTGAAGAATGAAGCATTATAGTAGGTGACACAGAGGCATGGTAGATGATGCAGGTGGCCAGATATGCCAAGATTTTCCCAGATAATTTTATGTATCTCGGCATTTCCCGAGTTATACCAATACATTTCGAGACCGTATCCATGCCGAGTTATCGAGGGTTTACTGTATTCTGTTTACCTGATGACTTATTTTTTTTTACTTTCATTTACTGTATTTTGTCATTCTATTTCTTCTTTTCTCTTAAATTAAGTGATTTTTTATTGTATTTAAGGACTTAGTGGGATTTTAAACATTGTTCTGTAAGTATAGTATGTACATAGCATGTGTTCCAACTTACGTGCAAATCCGACTCAAGAACGTCCTCGGGAGCAGAACCCGTTCATAACCCGGGGACCCCCTGTACTCTCACATACTTGTTAGAATTGTTAAGTGTCATAAAAGGCACCTTAGGAGGCATTGGAAACAACTTTACTTGAAACTGAGAAATGGTTGCAACATCAGAGTGAGATTGTTGATTTTTAACCCATAGGTGCTTATGGTTTACCGTTAAATAACCCTGACAAAATACTTTTAACGTGATAGCAGATGTTCCACTTAGTTTACTTGATAGCAAAGATTTCTATAAAAACAAAAATCATGAGGCTATAAAGATTAGTAATAGTATTAGTGAATGTTCTTAGCAGCTGTTATCAGCTTTTCAATTACAAGCTTATCCCAAGGGTCAAATATTGGCATACAAAGTTAATTATGCTGAAACAATATCATTGTAGTTCAGCAGTTAGATATTGTAGAGCATTTATATATTAGCTACAGTTTGGTAGATATTACATTTTCATTTTGTGTCCTCAGATTTTGTTCCAGTGTTCATTACTTCTCTTTTCTGTATAGGAGTTTAAAAGTAGTACAGCATATATCTCCTGAGAAATTCCAATTTGTAAATGGTCTTGCAATGTTGGTAATTTTTTTAGGTAACAGAGCCAGCAACAGGGCAGGTGATGTGTGAGGTACCTATATCAGGGCCCACTGAGGTGGACCGTGCAGTTGCCAGTGCCAAAAACGTCTTTTCCACGTGGAGTAAAGTAAGTTTTCAGAATTGTTTCTGCATATCTTATAAATAACATTGAGTGTATTACAAGTGTAGCTAAACCTCGATAATGTACTAATGACTCTGTGTATGGTAGCAGGTGATTCAAGTGAGCTTCTATTGTGAGCCATCTGGTCATATGGTCATATTTGATATATTTCCTCCAGTCTGCTATCTATAGTATATTTGACTTCCATCCTCTATCATATGATAATGTCAGTTATGTCCTTGTATTGTTCATGACAGCCCAAAAATAATTACTGAAAAGTTTGTTTTGAAACCTTCACAATTATGTCAAACGTTGATTGTAATGTTAATACAGTATCTTAATTTAGTCTCTGAACATTGGTATATCTTGTAGAACCTCATTCCTCTATACTTATTCATTCTTGCATCTTATACAAATGTTAAGAATCTCTTCACTTTATCATTAGCCCCATAAATAAGTGAATTCTATTGGTTTTTCTGTTTTTGCCACAGTTGTCTGGTCGAGAACGTGGTCAGAAGCTGTTAGAAGCTGGGCGCATCATCAGAGAAAATTTAGAAAATATTTCAAGCTTGGAGGTAAGTTTGGTGTTGTTGGCAGTTGTTGGTAAGTAAAGAATGCACTCTGCTTTGGGTTAATTTCATGACTGAGCTATTGTTTAACATGTTCGCACACAATATATCTCTTGGTTACAATGCCTGTTTTTACCTCCAAGGTACGTGACACTGGGAAGCCCATATGGGAGGCACGGGTAGACATAGCATCATGTGCTGATGCTTTGGAATATTATGGTGGCCTGGCTCCTGCTATTGTTGGTATGATGTTAAACATTTACTACTTTATTATATATATCAGCACTTGTGTGTTAACAAAATGGCTGTCATTTATTTTAATCCTCAGAACATAAACTACGGGATTTTTCTTAATTGATTTGTCTATTATTACATTTTGTTTGGTGGGTGTACAGTACTATCAGCTCCTTCATTATTTTACTGCACTCTTTATTTTTTACAATAGTATTACACATTCAGAACTGGTTTATACCTCTTATTAGTACTGTACAATATTGTATTTTGCTTTTATCTTATTGTAAATATTTCTCTGGTTATCATTGAGATTTTCCTGATACTGTATTTTAAATATGTCTTGTGTTGTTGTTACACTGCCATTAGGTCACTTGTGGAAATGACTACCTTAGGGAAAGTCAATGATGCTCCCTTTTTCCTGTTGACAGTTTCCACTCCTCCCTTATACTCTAACACCTACTCTACCACCGCACTCCCACACTCTCGCACTTGGCTAATATCCTTCATTTTTCAGTATTCCTATTTACTTTCTCTACCCACTTGCTTTTTTCTCAGAATTTCTTATCCTTTTCTGTCCACTTCTTTAGTACATTAGGTACTTAATCTTTGTAGAGCTGACTGTGTAGTAGAGGATGCAGGTTATCGATCAGGTGATACAGTGCACAAGCCTAAAATACACGGACTAGATCATTTGGGTGTTGATAGTACATTACAGCAGTAACTCACGTATCTCACCAATATGTCAGGGGTTCAAGTCCCGCTTGGCTCAAACATCACTAGTTTCCTCCAGGCACTCCAGTTCCCTCCTGTACAAACTCTGGTTAGATCAACTGCCTAAATGACTAGTAAGCTGGTAATTGGTGAAATGATAAAAATATGATATACCGGGTATTATAATAACATGTAAAGAGGTTGTCTACTCATCAGGCAAATATCCTGGACAGTAGTAATGTCATCTGAGTGGATGGGGCCTTTTTTCTTTTTTTTCACGAATAGATGAATCTTTGAAAATCCTGGCCCAGGGTCATGTAACGCAATGTTTGTTTATATGGTTATTTTTTATTATAGGCCAATACGTCCCTCTGAATGGAGGTTCCTTTGCCATGGTACAGCGAGAACCACTTGGAGTAATTGGAGGCATTGGAGCGTGGAACTTCCCAATGCAGACATGTGTGTGGAAGGTAAACATTTACATCTGTACACTGTGACTCTACATTATATTATGGAAATGAGTCACTCACAAATACAGTATCTTAACAGTAAAGTATTGTAACAGATATTTTCAAGTTAAATTCTATTCCATTCATAGGCAGCTCCAGCTCTGGCCTGTGGTAATACATTTGTGTACAAACCCTCCCAGTTCACGCCAATCACAGCTGTAACCCTCAGTGAAGTTCTCACCCAAGCTGGTGTGCCACCTGGAGTCTTCAATGTTATTCAAGTGAGTCAGTATTTCTGTATCTTGTTAAAGTATTCATATTGGATTAATATGGGTGGCATACTGTACATGTGTACTTCTGCCTCACTTGCAGTTACACATAGAGGACTGTTGTTGAAGTGTTGTAAAGGTATTTCCTTGTATGGAAATTTATACAAAAGTGGCAGGTAGCAACAGATTTTCCACATTGCAGCTTGGTAAAATTGTGGGGTGTTAGTGTGAAAGGAATTAAATGAAAACAATACAACAAAAGGACCCAGTGGAGTGGTGTGTTGAGTTGATAAATCTATAATACAGTACAGTAGGTGTCGGTAAACTTATGAGTGATATTTCTCTTAGCCGGAGCACTTCCCGGAATGGGAGATTTCCGTGTAACGAGACGGCTCTCTCAAAGCCGGAAAAAATCCCTCATCCCCAGAATTTTCCAGGTAACAGAAAAATTTTCCTGGAAGTAACAGAAATTGCGGATTACATCATCTCTCGAACTCGGAAAGAAATCCCTCATCCCTAGAATTTTTCCAGGTACTGGAATTTTCTTGGAATTTTCCAGAATGATGTAAAAGCCAGAGAAATATCCTCCATCCCTGAAATTTTTCAGTTACAGGGGGGCCCCCAAATTCGGGGTTAGGTTCTTAAAATGGCTGCGAATCGCCAAATCCGCAAATAACATTTGCAGACGGGGGGTGGGGGGGGTACATTTTTACTTGTGTACAAAGAAATGTATATTCCCTTTATGTGTTTGTCCTTAGGACACTTATTTATTTTACATGTAGTGTACTGTATACAGCTAGACCCCGACTTACGACTATGTGGACTTAGATCCATTGGTACTTACGACCTGCTTTGACCGTACGTCCATACGGGACATATGACTGCGACCGTCGTGACCAAAATTTTTTTCAAATGACGCGCGCATTTTCTATATCAAAACGTTTCCGTCCCGGGCGAGAGGGAGGGGTGTCTTGGGTCGCCTCGTGGGTACACTCACTCAGTGGAGCGCTTTGTTTGTGTTTGGCTATCGTATCCTATACTGATCGCGCTGTGAACTTTCGTTATTATCGTATTTAATTGACTTTATAATGACTGGAAAGCATAAAAGTGAGAGTGCTGGTGGTGCTCCAAGGAAAAGGAGACAGGCAATTACTTTTGAGATGAAACTGAAGATAATAACACAGTATGAGAATGGAAAAACAGTAGCAACAATCTCACGCGACTTAGGTTTCTCACACTCGACTATATTCACTATTCTGAAGGACAAGGAACGTATTCGTGAAGTAGTGAAAGGAACAACACCTATAAAGGGAACTATAATATCAAAGAAAAGACAAGGTCCTATCCACGATATGGAAAAATTATTGGTGATATGGATAGAAGACCAGATACAGAAGCGTGTACCCTTAAGCGTTCTAACCATACAGGCTAAAGCAAGAAGCCTGTTCCAAAGCCTGAAGGAGCAGGCAGGAGATGACTGTGATCAAACCTTTACAAGAAGTCATGGGTGGTTTGATAGATTTAAAAAACGCTACAGTCTACACAATGTTAAGGTGAGTGGAGAGGCAGCTGGTGCCGATGTTGGTGCTGCCAACGCTTTTAAGGAGGAGTTAGGTGATGTGATTGTGGAAGGGAATTATTTGCCTGAGCAAATATTCAATGTGGATGAGACTGGATTATTGTGGAAACGCATGCCTGAGCGGACATACATCCACAAAGAGGCAAAAACAATGCCCGGATTCAAGGCATTCAAGGACAGAATTACACTTCTGTTGGGGGGGAATGTTGCTGGTTTCAAGCTAAAGCCCTTCATGATCTATCATTCAGAGAACCCCAGGGCTTTTAAACATGTCAGCAAGCACACACTGCCAGTGTTTTATCGCAGTAACAAGGGAGCCTGGATGACCCTAGTACTGTTTGAGGATTGGTTCATAACTTGTTTCATTCCACGAGCCAAGGAGTATTGTCTGCAACAAAGGATTCCATTCAAGATTTTACTGATTTTGGATAATGCTCCGGGACACCCACCACACCTGGACGACATGCACCCTGATGTTAAGGTAGTGTACATTCCACCTCACACTACCTCTATCATCCAACCCATGGATCAAGGTGCTATTGCTGCCTTTAAAGTGTATTATTTACGCACGACCTTCGCTCAGGCTGTTGCTGCTACTGAAGGTGAGAAAACGCTCAGACAGTTTTGGAAGGAGTACAACATTTTGTCATGTATAAAGAACATTAGTACAGCATGGGATCAGGTTACAAAACATTGCATGAATGGAATATGGAAGAAAATCCTGAAAAGATGTGTGCACAGTTTCAAAGGATTTAATGAAAATGAAGTTATTTTGGATATTAGTAACAAGATAGTGGAGTTAGGTAAACAGCTGGAGTTAGAAATTGATACTGAAGATGTTGGACAGTTGGTTGAAAGTGTAGCAGAAGAGCTCAGTAACGAGGATCTTATTGAACTAGATGCACAGAAAATTGCAGAGGAAGAAGAGAGACAAAATGTAGAAGAAGAGCCTGCACCCCCAAAAAGTTTTCAGTGAAACATATGGCAGAGGCATTTGCTACAATTAATAAAGGAATGCAAATGTTTGATGACATGGATCAAAATTATGAGCGTTATGCCAAAGTTGACAGAATGATCCAAGGTGTACTTGCTTGCTGCAGAGAAATTTATAATGAAAAGAAAAAGCAAACTGTGCAGTCTAAATTGGACATCTATTTCAAGAAGTCCCCCAGTGCTGTCTCCTCACGCCCCACCAGTGCTGCCTCTTCACTCCCTCAAGATGATCCAATACCTTCAACCAGCAAGTTACCCCTGTACATAAACCTGTCTGAAGAAAGCGACATTGATGACCCACCCAGCCCTGTCTCCTCTTCTGCTTCTTCCAATTAATATAGTCTCCATGTATCCTGTAAATAGAAAATTATGGGGGCTCTGTGTGCATTCAGCTGACTACATTTAAGGTAAGTGCTCAGTCACACTGTATCCATTCCTCATTATTTATTACTTTTACTGTACTGTATCCATTCCTCATTATTTTTTACGTTTAGTGTACTGTATTTCATTGTAGATTTTTTTTTTTTTGAATTTTTTTTTTATCTATGTCGAACTTACGACCATGTCGGACTTACGACCTGGATTTGGGTCCCTAACCCCGTCGTAAGTCGGGGTCTAGCTGTATATGTGTGTGTGTGTGTGTCACACACACACACAAAACACAAACAAATAAATAATAATGGGAATATGATCTCACAAATAATATAATCAGAAACAAATTTATTAAAAATGTGACAGTTTACCCTCAAGTCCGTGCTTTATTAATAAGGTAATAAAGCCCGGACTTGAGGGTAGACTGTCACATTTTAAAATAAATTTGTTTGATTATTTGTGAGAGGATTTTCCAATTATTATTTATTTGTATGTGTTTTGTGTGTGTGTGTCTACACTCACACATATTTACAATACCGGTAAAGGAAATTACCGTCTCTAGAACGAATGGCTCCCTATCCCAACCGCAAAAGTGCCGGCAACTTGAAAACTATCAGACATTCTTGGGTACATCCAGGGAGTCAGAGAGTTCTGGTTAACATAAGAACATAAGAATGGAGGAAACTGCAGCGGGCCTATTGACCCATACTGGGCAGTCCCGTTTATACCCAACCCCTATTGCTCATATAAGCATCCAACCTATGTTTGAAGCTATCCAGCGTATTCGAGTTAATGATGATATTTGGTAACTTGTTCCATTCATCCACTACTCTGTTTCCAAACCAGTGTTTACCTATTTCACGCCGAAATCTAAATTTGTCTAATTTAAAACCATTGTTACGAGTTCGCTCCTGGTTGGATAGTTTGAGTACCTTTGTAATGTCCCCTTTGTTTAACCCTGACTTCCATTTATACACCTCTATCATGTCGCCCCTCACTCTACGTCTCTCGAGGGAGTGCAAATTAAGATGCTTTAACCTGTCTCTGTATTCAAGGTTCCTAATGCCTGGGATTAGTCTTGTCATTCTCCTCTGGATTCTTTCCAAGGATTCTATATCCATTCTGTAATACGGTGACCAGAACTGAACTGCGTAATCCAGGTGAGGTCTCACAAGCGCTAGATATAATTTTAAGATGACCTCGCTAGTCTTGTAACTAACACTCCTTTGTATGAACCCAAGTACTTTATTAGCCTTGTTACGAGCAAAAACACATTGTTTAGTTGGCTTAAGATTCCTACTTATCATTACTCCTAAATCTCTCTCTCGCAGTCGGATTCCTCAATGGCATCGTTGTTCATCTGGTAACTGGTTTCCCTGTTTACATCTCCTATACTGTGTACTTTACATTTGTTCACATTGAATTTCATCTGCCATTTTTCCTACCATTCGAAAAATTTGTTTAGATCTTCCTGAAGTTTTGCTGAGTCCTCGTCAGATTTAATTGCATGTCCTATTTTAATGTCATCAACAAATTTACTTATGTTGCTGTCTATGCCGATATCTATGTCCTTTATGTATATAATAAATAATAATGGTCCAAGTACTGAGCCTTGGGGAACTCCACTAGTGACGTTGCTCCAATGCGATTTAGTGCCGTTTATGCTCATTCGCTGTTTCCTGTCCCGTAACCACGCCCTAATCCATTTAAGGATATTACCTTTGATGCCATGCGCTTCTACCCTTCTAATTAGTCTTTCGTGGGGGACTCTGTCGAAGGCTTTGCTAAAGTCGAGATATACCACATCATAATTGTGCCCCTCGTCCACCGATTCGAAAACTGATGAAATGAATGTTAATAGATTAGTTAGACATGAATGCCCGCTTGTGAAGCCATGTTGGGAATCATTGATCAACTTGTGCTTCTCGTGGTGGTTTCAAATAGAGTTTGAAATAATTGATTCTAGTAATTTACCTACTATTGATGTTAGACTGATTGGGCGGTAGTTAGAGGATAGTGACCTATCCTCCTTCTTGAAAATCGGTATTACATTCGCTATCCTCCAGGATTCTGGTACTACACCTGTTTTTAATGACATGTTAAACAACTTTGCTAAGGGCATACTAAGCTCTTCCTTACATTCCTTTAATACTCTGACAAATATCTCATCGGGACCAGGTGACTTATTAGGCTTCAGTTTGTCATTTGCTTATTAACATTGTTACTAGTCACTACTATCTCGCTTAATTTGTTTTCTTCACCATCTCTGAATAAAGTCGGTGTCTCGGGTATCATGTTTAAATTTTCGGTGGTGAAAACTGTTGAAAAATATTTATTCAGATTATTGCTCATTTCTCCGTCGCTATCAGTTAGCTCGCCGGTATCTGAACGTATTGGTCCAATCTTATCTCGTGTTTTAGTTTGATACATTTGGTAGAATCCTTTGGGGTTTGTTTTCGCCTCCCCTGCTATCTTCAGTTCATAATTCCTCTTCGCTTTTCTTATCTCGTTCTTAACCCTACCGGCCAATACCTTATAATACTCCCGGAGGTAAATTTTGCCACGATTTATCCTTCTACCTATAGCCTTCCTTTGGCCAATAATGTTCTTTAAATAATTATTTATCCATTTAGGGTCGTTGTTGTCTGATCTGAGTTTTTTGTATGGTATGTTCTGCCTTTGTGCATTAAGTAACTCATGATTTAAATTGTTGTGGAACTCGGCAATCTCAGATCTCGTTATCAGGTCGGTGTCATCTGTCAGGCTCACACCCAAGCGCGACACCCCATCTCTCAGCTGCCTCTTTAAACTATCAAAGTCTGCCCTTCTGAAATCTGGGACTTTAATGGAATTCCCTTTACGTCTGACCTGAAAATCTAACTGGAATCAAATTTCTTTGTGATCACTGTTTGCAAGTTCGTTCCCTACCTCGACATTGCTAATGAGGTTTTCTCTGTTCGACAGAACTAAATCGAGTATATTATTACCCCGGGTGGGTTCGGTTATATATTGACTTAGGAAACGGTCCTGGATCGTTTCGAGGAAATCCTCTGATACTGAGTTACCCGTAAGGTCATTCCAATCTATTTGGCCAAGGTTAAAATCGCCTACTATACAGACTTTGTTGTGTATGGAAGCCCTGCGCATTTCATCCCAGATAAGTCGCTCATTAACTCCATCAAGATTGGGAGGTCTATATATTACTCCTATGATTAATTTTTCCCTACCGTCGATTAATTCTATCCAAATTGTTTCTGTATTCCGCTCAGTTTTTATTCCTTATTTATTTCGCATTTCAGAGTATCCCTGACATAGATGGCTACTCCGCCTCCTTTCCTGGACGGCCTATCGGTATGAAACAATTTGTAATCCGAAATTTGGTATTCGACAGGTAACTCACCTGAGTCTAGGTTGATCCATATTTCAGTGAATGCTATTATATCGATTTTTTCGGTACATACCAAGGCCCTAATATCATCCAATTTGTTTCTCATACTTCTTTTCACATAGTAGACATTTAAGTTAGTCTTTTTCTGAGTCCTCCCTTTACCGCATTTAGGTTTAAACTCCCTGTCTAATTTAGTTTTGTCATCATTCCTAACACTATTTTCCTGTAATCTTTCACTTTGTTTACCCGCTCCCACTGCAGTCTCCTCCACCCCTGTGCCCATATGTTCCCCTAACAGTTTAAAGACTTCGATATCTTTTGAACTGCCCCCACTAGAGACCCAGCCAGGGTTGCCACCCCATCCCGAGACAGGTGTACCCCATCCCTAGCATAAAGTTCCCTTCTGCCGTAGAAGTTGTCCCAGTTGTCAATGAATGGGACTGATATTGACTTGCAATATCCGTCAAGACGGCCGTTGACACCAACTGCCCTTGACAACCATTCATTGCTAACTCTCCTTCTAGGCAGGACACCACAGATGATAGGGATACCTCCCTTAGTCCTAATACGATCTATAGCTGTCTTGAACTTATCAAGAAGCTCTTCACTCCTACACCGGCCAATATCATTGCCTCCTGCACTGAGGCAGATAATGGGTTTGTTCCCATTACCAGACAAGATATTGTCCATCCTGTCAACAATATCCCCCACCCCAGCCCCTGGCAAACACACCTTCATCCTATTTTTATTTTTACCACAAAAGGCTCTGTCCAAGTACCTTACCTGTGAGTCACCAACAATTAAAGTTTTTATACCTTCCTTGTCAGCCCTGTCCCTGACTGTACTAACATCCAATTCGTCTATCAAGGGACTGAACGAGTTGGTACACTTAGCTGTTGTAGTCGTTGTTGTCGTATCCTTGGTGTGTTTCTTCACCACCAGTTTGGTCGTCCCTCTCCTCACAACCTTCCATTCCCCAGAGTTATCGTCATTCACCGGCTTTCCTTGTCTCGTTTCTTCCTTCATCCTTGCTATCTCTTCCTTTAATTTCAAGTTTTCTAACTCTAATTTCAGGTTTTTTCCTTGGTGTTACTGCCACAGTAAGATAAGCTAGAAGAGAGAGAGAAAGAGAGGGATAACAATAATAAGATAAACTAGGCGAGAGAGAGAGAGAGAGAGAGAGGGGGTGAGATAAGAGATATAGTGTTGACAACGAATTTGCTGACCAATCTGCTGAGGTGTTTCAATACGAAAACATATGGCCCTCGCCTCCGGGCTGAGATTGCCCTCGAGGGTAGGCTACTGATTTCTACAGGACAGACAACACGTTGGTTCAGACCACTAGACCCTAAAACGTGAGTGATCGTGAAGTATTAGAATCTGCTAAGAAACTCTAAATAACTTTAATAAGTATATTTGTGTACTGTAATTTGATCATATTATACCAATTGTCTCCTGTATCAATAGTTATAACATGTGAGTTATATTTAAGATGTTAACAGGCTATGTACTGTATATTGATTGTATTATTCATACTATGTGTCCTGAGATAACAGCATTTGTTATATGAGAAATGTTCTTTAACAGGTTTTGACCGAATTATATGGTATGCGTCAACATTGAGGGTTTATTTCTCCAGCAACAAACCAATAACGCTCCTATGAGTGTTAACACTTGGTACTCTCTGACTCGGCCCACAGAAGGGCATAACCCTGTTTACAAGCAGCACTAGCCATATCTGGTAATTATCCCCGGGAGCGGAGCAAAGCTGCCGTGACCTTTCCCCTAGTGAGATCAGAACACTACTGTTAAGAGGGATTCCGGCTAACGGAGATATTACAGTACAGTGGTCCCTCGGTTAACGAGCACAATCCGTTCTAGAAGGTTGCTCGTTAACCGAAAAACTCGTTAACCGAAACCATTGTTTCAATGGGTTTTTGGGTAATTGGTTCCAGCTCACCGAAAATTGCCTAAATTCAACAAAAAATGTAGAAAACTACACTTACTTTGAGGTGTATATGTAGAAGGCTCCTGGATGATGATGGGAATTAGAATGGGGGTGGAAGAGAAGGGAGAAGAGAAGGCATTGGGGTGGAAGAGAAGTCACCCCATGGCGCCATTTCACCTATAAAATTTTAGTTCTCTTGGTGTAATTCAAGATTATTTTCTTTAAATCAACACTGCACTGCATTATATATTGTCAATATGTAAAATAAATTTCAAAACGACCAATAATTTGCTTGGAAACAGAAAAAAAGCATTTAGTTGGAGAGTCTCAAGCAAGATGTTACCTCCACTGAAACGACACAAAGACTGACACCTGTATGCTGTGTTGGCAGGCTGGATGGCATGCCACAAACTAGTGACCCTACCTTCAATTATGGTCAATAATTGTTAAAATGACTAAAAAATTTAATACAATCAACCCTCGCTTTACGCGGTCCCACATTCCGCGTTTCCACGTTTACGCGGTACCTGCCGAAACAGGAATGCTCACATTCCGCGGTGAGTGTACCCCTTTACGCGGAGAGCGGCTGGCGAGCCGCGCCATTTTCGGATCCAAACCTCCTGCCATCTCTCCCGCCATGTTGTGTAAGTGGTGCGAGCAGGGTGCCACACGGTCGCCCAGTCATCAAAACATTACCGAGCTCTTCACCCACCACCCACCACAGCCGGCCCAAGTCAGTGATAGTGATAATTATAGTGAGGATATGGACTTATATGGACTTTGAGGGGTTTGACAAAGAGGCCCTGAAAGCCTCTGTGGCGGATAGTGATACAAGTGATACAGGTGAGGGCCAATAATCTGCCCTCTGCCTCGGAACCAACCCCCCATCCCCGTGTGCCCAGCCATCTTTTCTACTAATGTAAGTGTTAAAAAAACTAATATTATTGATATTTCTCTTAATTATTAATTGTGTGTGCATACCATCATAAAGTTAAGATAATATTTTTACTACAACATAGTTGTGTGTCGTCAAAAAGTGGAGTTTGGGGGTCGGCCCGGTCTCTATTTCAATTAATCCCATATGTTATGTTGTTCACTTTACGCGTTTCTCACTTTCCGCGGTACCCTGTGGGTTGAATTAACCGCGTAAAGTGAGGGTTGACTGTATTAAACTTTTAAAATTATTGAATAGTATAAACTTCTTGATATTTACTAAAAGGGTAAGGAATTTAAGCCCTAGAACCGATTACTGTATTGGCGGACTAATACTACAGCTGGTGGACCGCCAAATGCAAGCTAAAACATGTGGAGGTCGGCTCGTAAGAAACTCGTTAATCGAGGGATTGCTCGTTAACCGAAATTAAGAATCTTATGGAAGGTAACTCGTCAACCGAAATCTCGTTAACCGAGGCGCTCGTTAACCAAGGGACCATTGTACTTTATTTGACATGGGATGATCATGTTATTCACTAAAACAGTTTTATATAATTCACAGGGAGAGGGAGAGGCTGGAGCCAAGTTATGTGAGCATCCAGACGTTGCCAAGCTCTCATTTACTGGATCTGTCTCAACTGGCACGAAGGTAACCGTTGTGGAACAGATAAATCTTTCAGGCTTCTTACTGTATTTTGGTATTGTAGAGAAGATTATTGTATCTCATATATATTATACATATTAGTTCTTGCTATGTATTGTTACCAGTAGTCTCGGGGAGGGAGGGGTGGAGTGGAAGGGTAAGGGAGGGTTGGTGTGGAAGGGTATTTCATGATGTAACATTGGGAAAGGTACAGGAATTACTCTATATGATTATTTGAAGGTGATGGCAGCTGGTGCTAAAGGTATTAAATCAGTGACACTGGAGCTTGGAGGTAAATCACCAATAATTATCTTTGAGGATGCAGACATGAAGAATGCTGTCAAGGCTACACTGATGGCGAACTTCCTCTCTCAGGGTCAGGTAAGCAACTGTGAAGTGGGATTTTCTTTTAGGAAAATTTTTATATTGGTACTGTATTCTTTATTGCCTTAACATTTATAGTTGGTTTTGATATTATGAGTTGTTAAATCCTGAGTTAATGTATAAGTTGAGGATTGATCCTGAAATGTTGTTTTTACCAAGTTGTGATGAGGCAACTCATTTTCCTTCCATTTAGGGTGCTGATGTTTGATGGATTGAGAGTGATTGATCCAGATGGATTGCTTTATAATCCACATCAGTAAATGAATGGATCAGAGCATCTCTCACAAGCCATTTTGCTGTGTACAGTACCTTCCTTGCAGCCATCCACAGGGAGTCAAGGATGAAGGGGAAGGCTGATCTAATTATTAAATTTATTCCAGTCATAAGTTGGGGCCCCCAGAGCCTGGACTTTGACCACTAGAAATGATCATAATACAAAGTTGCTCAGTCCTAACACAGTTATGAAATGGCATTTTAATGGTTAATCCTCTAACTCTTATACAGGTACTTACTTGATGAAAGAAAAAATACTGGATGTGAAATTTATGAATTTCCTCACCTGAACAAAATTTTTAAATTTAGGTTTGTTCCAATGGGACGAGGGTGTTTGTTCACCGGAGTATTGCAAGTGAATTTATCAAGCAGTTAGTAGGTGCAACTGAAAAACTGAAAATTGGTGATCCATTCGCTGAGGATACTACCGTTGGGGCAACTATTCATGAAGATCATGCCAAGAAGGTTCTGAGTTATATTGCCTCAGCTAGAAAAGAGGTTAGTGAAACTATAGACTGAATTGTTGTCTGTATTTATGATGTACGGTGCTTTATCTATGGCCTTCAGCCCTTCACTGTCTACTCTTTCATAAACCCAGTTAGTCCACAGGTTGGTGATAGGTTAACCCTCAAACATTATGTCTAGAAAGCAATAGAAAAAGACAGACAGAAGAAAGACATGTTCACACAACCATGCTTACATTCTCTATATGCATATCCAGTATACAAGGTGTATCTTTACTTTATTTTATCCTCTTCACTGCTGATCACCCTGTTAGCCACTTGGGCACTTACCGGGTATATCTCTGTTATGTTGACAAGTACCTAGATTGATTTACAATGCTTCAGTGTATACAGTTCATACTAAATTCACCCTGTAAGTTGCTTATGCAAATTGATGACATGGGCAAGTACTTTGAGATATTTGTACTCCTTCATTATTTAATTATAAATTAGTCTTGTTTCTTAAAATCGCTAATGCTATATTTTTCTTATGGCGGCTGTTGCCTCACAGGGCGCAACAATATTGTGCGGAGGAGAACGTGTGATGCAACAAGGAAAGCTGGCTGGTGGCTGGTACCTCTCACCATCAGTGATAGGGAACTGTCAAGACCACATGAAGGTGCAACATTATTTCTTATGTTCCTTTGTCTGTTTTTTCCATCAATAAACAAGGTAGCGGTTTATGGAAATGCATACTGAATTCTAGTTGGTTATAAATGCTGATACGTATTTTTACCAGTACAACGTTATATATAAGTCACACTTTTGGGTGTACGTTAATAATGCATGCTGATTGTGTGATATAATCCATTGTACAGTATACAGTATTTTATATTAAACAGGTTGTGAAGGAAGAAGTGTTTGGTTCTGTTGCATCAGTGCTGGAGTTTGACTCGGAGGAGGAGGTTGTTAAGCGTGCCAATGACACAGACTTTGGCTTGGCAGGAGCAGTTTTTACTAAGTAAGCAGATTATTTTCATATACAGTACAATATCATAGTACTATTATTTTGTTTTCTCCATAACTAACATTTTTGTCAGCCTGAAATGACGACACTAAATGATACACATTTTTCCAGGTCTTTATTTGTTCATTAGTATCTGTGTGTAAACATATTGTGCAAGCACAATAAATTCTTAGTTTAAGATACAGTTTGTACAACATGCTTGCAGGTTTCTTATTCAAATTGTGGATGGAATTGTACTTACGGTATGTGTTAGGTGTTCTGGGTAATAAGTTCCATATACAGGAGAGAACACAAACACCTGTATAGTTTTGTAGGTTCGGTTTACTGGATAAGAGTATGTACACAGAGGGGGGGGTAGCACTCCTCAGCTAGGCTCCTGGTCAACTGCTATAGACGACGTATGGCAAGTGATACATTAGCAGCTTCCATACGTCGCCAGGCACATTAATTAAGCATGTGGGATATGGTAATAACATTGCCACACGCTGCTAGCTAGGCTGAATAAATAATACAAATGGAGCACATACATAATATACATACTTAATATATAATCCAGCATACATAATATACATACAGTATGTGATCATTGACCTTTTACAGAATGCTCAAAAATTTACTTATATGTGCTCAGTGTTCCTTGCAAGTACTTTTTTTTATTTGTTGAAACTATCATAAAGTAAACAATGATTCTCACTCCATTGAAAGACAAACTTGTGCGTTTATAGTCGGGAGTGATGAGGGAGGGAGGCTTCCATTGCCTTCCTCCTCAAATGCTTCTTACTTACACATTTATGCCACTCAATGGGACAGAAATTGTACCATTTACTTGAGTAATAGTCTCACTAAATTAAACAGCACTTGCAGGGGTTAATGAATGGTATTTGGTTATACTGTTTATGTAGAACAGTGGTTCCCAACCTTTTTTGGCTGCTACCCTAAATTTCCCAGAAATACGGTGTCGTGATCCTAAGACATATAATATATTATATACTGTAGGTTGAATGTTCGGCAAAAATTTGTTTATGATTGGTACTATATTTTTTAAATTGTCTGCGGGCCCTTCGCGACCCTACTGAGGAAACCCCGCGACCTTGATTTGGGTCGCAACCTGAGGTTTGGAACCGCTGATGTAGAGGATGGCAGTATGATCTGTACCATTCATCCTCTTTGGTTTTTATTATCTTGGTTGTTTCCCAAGTTCTCTCAGTCTGTCCTTAATTTTTTATGGATGATTTTTAACTTATAGAATTTCAATGTTTACAGAGATATCCAACGTGGTCATCGAGTGGCCAATGCCATAGAAGCTGGAATGGTCTGGATTAACACGTTCAATTTATATCCAACCGAGATTCCATTTGGCGGTTACAAACACAGTGGAATAGGTCGAGAAAATGGTCTCACTGTGGTGGATTATTTCACACAGACGCGCACCGTGTATGTGGAGATGGGAGACGTTGACTGTGGCCCCCTCTACCAGGATTAAGGTCACTTTGTAATTATTACTTCTATCAGTCACATTTTGATAGTATTCAAATATGTATATAAGTTCAAAGGTATTGACATATTTCCTTTATTTTGGGGGGTACTCTACCAGCAACTAATAGTTTTTATTTACTGGTACAGTACATAACTATACAAGGTGACTAAAAAAAAATTAACATTTATAATGTGTGGGGTTTTACTTTTTATTTTCAATTGCCTTTAAACATTTTTTGTGGTGTAAACAATGTTTCATACAGTCTCTATTTGCGATCCACTGATATTAATGCATGTATGATAATGGTTAAGTGTTGCCTCCAGACCCATAAGGCACATCTCATGGTACTGATTGGATGACATTTTTACATGTTAAAAACAATTTAATCACCCCGCATATTAGATTTTGATGTTAACATGTATGGTAGGAATTGTAATACCATTGACTAACATTGTACTGGTACAGTAGCACTACTCAAGAGGGGTTATGGGTATTTCTTTGTTTAAATACGAGTATTTTAGCATATCTGGCTGGACTATTATCATCTCAGAGCTGTACAGTAGTAGTAAACTTACATAAATTTTAATATTTGAAAGTGCAGTGTAACCTCAGCAGTCAGGACTCTCATGGTCTCCATTTTAGTGAATTTGGATAAATTTAAGCTCTGATAGGATATATATTAAACCAGGGGATGGTGCTTGTATTGCAGGGATACATACAATAGTTGTACAAGTTTACTAAACTAGTACTGTACAGTACTGTAGTTTATCAAGGACACTTGAAAAGATATGTGGATGAATTCAGTTTCAGTTGACCTAACATTATAAATAATTTTAATGGTAAATTTTTCCTTATACTCTATTATAATAGGAATAAAATAGCAATTCAAAACTGGGAGTGAAGTGTAAGTAACTGTAAATAGGAACCATGCTGTGCTGTTAAACAAAATTGAAAAATAGATTCAAATGTGATGGTTAAGTGTGAATGTCACGTGTTTGTTACTACAGGTATATATTTTATATTTTGCTAATTATTAAAGTGTTTTACAGGAATATAATTTATAATTTAGTCCTCTAGTATTAAGCAAAAGACTATTAATCATAACACTTACCTTATTTTATGACTTGAAAATTTGAAATTCTAAAACATTTTATCACATCAAATTTGTGAGGGTCATAGCCTAACTGCATTTATACTACATAATTTAATCATATGCTGTATTAAGGAATGGAATATTATTTTATGTTTTCATTTATCTAGTTTGGTTTAGTTGTGGTAATGAGGTCTTAGACCACACCCTGTGGATGGTTCCGGTCACTAGGATATTGTCCTCCATGACTACTGTTTGTGTCTCAGGGTGGTGTAAGGGGAACTAGAAGCCTATGGAACACAATCTATAAATGTCACTTGATGAGCAATATTAATAATTGATTCCACAGCCTTATTTGTGTACCACTACTGGCTTTTCACAATAATCATACAGAAATGGGAGACTAGTCTTCTTCTAAGGCCCACACTTGAAAAGTAAAGTGGGTCATGTCTACCAGAACTGAATAGTACATATGGTGTCAGATGCTTTGACTTGTTGCTTCTTACTTACCTTTCTTTAAAGTGCTAGAGTTGTAGTAGGGAAGGTGGCTATCTTCAGGTTAAAAGCTCCAGCAGTCATGGATTAATGCTTCCCTTACTTTCAAAGCTTCAAGCTTATGGTGGGCATATTTACAAGTCAATCTAGTCAGGCTTTAGCTTTAAACCTAATGTGCATAACACCACAGATTCTTATCCTTGTCCCAAAGAGTGTTACAGTTTTTGCAGACATCTTCATAAGACTTCAAAATAATAACGGCTAAGTTATAATCATACCTTTATTATACGTAAATAGCAAATTCCACTTGGGCAACTGTGGTACACAAATCTACAAAAATGTCTGAACAAGCCACTACAAGGTAAACACTTCAAATTGTAACCGGTCTTCATTTTTGAGAATTTACAAATGTCTTGGGTAATAGGATACACACACACTGTAATATGCAGCAGTTATGAAAAAGTACCAATATATTGGTGGATGTTTCCTGAACAAGTACAGTATATCCATCACCTAGACAATACTGATAGTTTGTGCATTAACACCTCCCTCATAGTCACACCAACCAACAGAATCTCAAGTACACACATTATTCACATGGGGCTTATACGAACTAGAATAATTAACTTCTTAATGACAAAGCCAGCGAGTATATACAGTGCACAAAAACTGTTCCTTGATGAACATGAAAAAAAAATATTTAATTTAACTTTTCCAAATTGAGAAATATAGTTTGTAATGTACAGTATGATAAAAATTGTCCCTGAATGTAAACCACGGATAGATGTAACAAAATATTATGACAAATCTTGCTACAGTAATAGCTTTAACACGGTTTCTTACTTAAAAAAAATGCCTTTATCCAACTTTACACAATCACTGGTACAAATAATATCAACACTACACAATGAAAGAAGAAATTAACCTAAATACTGTGTTCTGTGTTTGAAAGCTGTTAAAAACAAATCACTCACAGCCTTGCCAGTGGATGCAAACTTTCCCACAAGTTAAAAGAAATAGCGACAAGATACTGTGTCGCAGGAAGGTTGTTCACAAATTATGTTATATTGTTGGCCTAAAGGATACAAACACAAGTCAACATTGAAGTCAAATTTTCCCCTTAAGATTTCAATGTTGTCTTAATCCCTGTTTTCTTTCTTCACTTAACTAGGAAGAGTTTTAAGTTGTCAGCTGAAGGGAATATATTTATTAATGGTGTCAGAAAACTAAGTCCTGTCAGCATTTCAAGTTACTGAATATATACATGAAATAATAATTATGAAAGTATTAAGAGTATCTTTAAAATTAGAGTGTCATATTTCTACCCTCGATACTTATGGTAACTGCGCGGCGAGCTTTGGATAACCGTTTCTTCTCTTGGAATGCCCGCATGTGTTTATCTATCCGACTCATCTCCTTCTTTGTAGCCTGGTAAAAAAAAGTGGAGAAATATATTATTACACAAAAAGATTACCACATAAATGGGAATGACAGATTACAATATATTTTTAAGCTGACAAGATTTAAGCATAATGTACATTTTTCTTTCCTCTTTCTACATTATATTCTGCTCCTAGATAACCCTTAGTTTCAGAGTCATCGCCATCATAATCACCAAATTTTAAAAATCTCATTCAGAATATATTCATCATCCCCAATCTACAAAATCTGTTAGTGGTGATCAAGGGATACATCTGTAGCTAAGGTTAACCTGTGCCTGATTTAAGCATTTACTGGTGATCAAATAACTAACCTTTCTAGTCATCTTTTACATTAGGGGGAGGAGTTAGCCACAGATACTGTCACTGATAAACATGATTCATTTAATTTTAGTCCAAATTAAATTTTCACAATCAATTTTAAACTAATACCTGTACAGCCAAAAGCCCTTCAGATATACAGTACTGTACTTTTTAATTTTAGAGTTAGGATTCTCCAACACTTAAAAGATCCAAAGTATGGTTACTTACCCTACTGATATCCACTTCTGACTGCCATTTGGGCCTGTTGACATAGTCTTTTCCTGATGGACGTGGTACACGAGCTCTGTAACACCAACCCGGCTCTCCAGGTCGTATAGGTTTCCTGCAAGGAGAAACAACTCATGATATTACTACTAGACTTGTCTATAGTAGAATCCTACATGTAAATTAAGTTTCTATGCTGATAATCAGTCCTTCAAATATTTATACAGTATGTACAATATTTATCTTTCTTGGGCAAGTAATTTCGTAAATTACTATACGGCATAACACACAACACCTTCCTCCAAAAGACAAGTCTTATACCTGCAGACAGACATCCAGAACCCAACAGAATAATGAAAGGCTGATGATTTGAAATTCTGTACATTTTTTGTATAGGATACTCGAGTACAAATTAGAATTTGTTTATTCCTTTTAGATTTTGAATGACTACAAGGAAGTGCGTAAGGTTTCACTATATTCTTGAGGAAGACTTAGCTTACATGGCCTTACAGTTGCCGAGAAAATAATTTATGACTCACTTAAATAAACCCATGGTTGTGGATGTAAGTGAATCTGGTTTTCATTCCAATTTTATTTATCAAGTTTCTTCAACTAATTTGGAATTTTCCAATTCATTTGATCACGACTCCTTTACAAAGTTTAATCTATTTCTTCAATGCTGTGTGCAGTACTGTACAAGGGAAATCTGTAAAAATATTTGTACTATAACCACACAAGGTCTCAACTTACGCATTTTCATCCAGCTGTATTTCGTCTTTCTTCGTGACGCCCGAGTTCTGGTGCAACTCCATATCTCTCTCTAAACGCTCCTCACGAGTCAAGGCTGTTGAATTATTATTGGTTATGAAAATTCTGTATTACTGCTACCTTCCAACACACCAATTCATACATTAATGTAAATAAAACTGGCAATACAATAGCATAAGGTATATACTGTATCTGCACTGCACTACACTGGGAGGTGTGGGAGGAGTAACTTTAAAGATGGAACCACACCAAGACCACAATGTTGAAAACGTGTGTTATCAACAAAGTTGTGAAAATTACACAAAAATGTTCAGTGTTGGGAACAGTGTTTCCAATAGAAATATGTCAAGTAAACTGACAGGTGTGGAGTATGTGATTTTTCACCTTTCTTTCCAACAATGTTGGCATCTTTTACTCAACATAGTGACACCAATGTTACCAACATTGTTGTGTTGGTGTGGTTCTACCTTAAAGCACATAACTCAATACAAAAATATTAAAAGTGAACTTGACTGGCTTTTTTCTGTTACAAAAATATCATTAAAACTCTGAATGAAATATGTTACACAAATAACTGTTTCTTACTTTTGAAGTCGTCCGACACATTGAATATTGGCCGTGACCACATTGAAATGAGTCTACCACAACGCTCCCTGTTATGCTTGAGTTCTTTTGGATGTTTGTAGAGATACATAATAGCTTTCCCAATCCCGGAAGTCTTCAACATGTCTTGTGATAAGGGCGGTAACTGTAAATATAAAACAGTAGTACAGTATTGTATCTGTAGTTAATGAGTAACTAATTATATAATTACTGTTCACTCCACTCCTATTATAATTTTACTCCAGCATCCTTCCTCAACTCTCACCTGTGAAGGGGTAAAATGGTGCAAGGAATGTGTAGAATGCACTAAGCAACTTGTATACTGCATTAAAGATATACTGTAATAAAATGGCGGAGAAAGGTGTGGCTATTGGGGGCGGCTGGAGGCCACGTTAAAATTTTTTTTTTACACTTGTCTTGCACATATTTCCACATACCCCACTTGACTCATCCAGATGAATAAATTAATATTCTAAAATTACTCTTTCCATCCTCTTATTATGCCTATGTTGGAGCTGTGTGTGTGTGTGGTCGATGAGCATGGTGTCTTGTGGCTTAATAAGAGTGGGCAAGCTTTTGATGGGAGATGATGTAGTGAGTGAAGCATCAGGTGTAAACTATATAGAAATAATAGGACCTTATTGGGGAATGACACACACACACACACACACACACACACACACCATACTGTACCTGGAGTAACCATTTGATTACTGCCTCTCGAATTTTTGCAGCGGGCAGAGAGCGATCAGGCATAGGAGCCAGCCAGTCTGTTAAAGCTGATAAAATGTTGGCATCTAGGAACCCTTCAATTAGATTATGTTTGTTGATTTGTGCCATTGCAAGTTCAAGCATGGCACTCTTCTTAGTTGCAGGCTTTCGTCGAGCATTTAGCTGACGGTCCTCATCTGCAGCTTGACGCATCTAACGGTTAAACACAATATTAATATAATTTTTTCGATGGCCTTTTTTTTATACTCACTAAACACAACTTGGAGCCATTTCTAGTTTTATTGCGTAAATATGTAAACCGTTCCTGTTCCAGTAATCTCTAATAAACAAGAAGCTTCTAATTGAGTGCACTCGATTGATTCTTTTTCTTACATATTTTTAAGTATGAATATTCGTGAGGGTACAGTGTATATTTGAATTCAACTCTATCACAAAGGAGATACTTTCTCGTCTCCATGTCCACTTACCTTCCTCACAATAATGGCAATGTGTTCCTCATTGTCATTAATAATGTCCACATTATTTTTCCTCCTTCGGTGTTTACCTCCCTCCTCTTTTTTCTTGGCCATCATCATTTCAAAATCATTGACGAATTCAGGCATTTCGTTACTTTGTCTCATCTGGTCACGCAATGCTTCATCCTCACTGTCTGACAACTGTGGCAAGGGCTGCAAGTGAACAACAATAACAAACTTGATATATATTAATAATGGGTACAACAATAACATACCTCACCAGCAACATCCAGTTGGGTAGGAATTAATAAGATGTTCTCACCATTTGAACTTCATGAGAAATGAAGGAAGTTGTACAACAATATTCACAATGAGTAAAGCAAGGCTAATTTTATTATCTCTATTTGACCTATGAGTTATTTTACCTTCTCAAATCAGTTAACTTAAAGGAAGACATGAACGCAGACAGACCCATATACAGTAATTGGTATTTCTTTCATTTAAAATACACATCTCTGTATCTGAACTCCATATCCATACAGCATGAAAGGATGAGTAGATGAACAAATACAGACTTATTTAATTTTGCATAAACAAATTATTACCTTTGAAACCTCTCCCCTATCCTCAACGCCTAACTTGTCTCCAGCCGCCGCACTGCCTGGACGACTTGGGCCCTTATCAGAACCTGCTTCACTATCACTGCCTTTGGATTTTGCATTTTTACCTCTCTGCAAATACCAAGGAGGAAAGCAGAAGTAAGGAATTGGATATAACAACAAAAGGACAACTACAATCATAATTATTATCAATGTGTAAACTATCTGTTACTACTAACACTTTAAAAGTTCCCATGAGGTAGTACATGTATGTATAAATAAGCACAATCTTATAGACACTATGGAACTGCCAAAATTGGTTAAAACACTTTATGAGCAATTAACATGACAACTCTAAATCTTTAAAATTATTAAAAACACTTTTATATGTTTTTGGTCCACAATAAAATACATCTGAATGTTCCTCTTTCTTAGGTTCCACTCAAAACCCCACAATTCTTGGTGAAATAATTGGAGTCATTACAATAAACGGAGATACACCTGGCTCATTTACTAACCTCTGGGCCAGAGTCACTGTCACTTCCGCTGAGCATAGTTTTCTTGCGCTTCTTAACTTTCTTGCTGGAGCGAGGAACTTCATCGTCAGAATCACTTACTCCACCAGAACCTCCTCCACTGGTCTTCCTCTTACGTTTAACCTAAGAATGATAATAATAAAAATCATTCATGCCAAGTAATAAAAACAGGCTGTTAATGTTTCAATGTGACCATCAAATCATAATTTACAACCGATACCTGCAGACAACAAAGCTCATCTCTATTAACAAAGTTGGCCAAAAAATGTGTAAATGTTTACACCAATGTTACTGCCAACAACTGACACTGTTATATAGATCGTCACTTCTGGCTACTAGACTTTGTGAATACAAGTAAATTGTTTGGCATTTTTACTCTTCTATTCACACTATAAGGGTAAAAAAATGCATTATATACACAGGAATGTACTGGAAACAATGACTTGGAAATTTTAAAACTCTGGCATGCTACTGCCATTCACACTAACATAGAAGTTACTTACTTTCTTATGTTTTACTACATCTGACCCTGAACCATCTGAATCAGACAAAACTTTGCGTTTCTTGGGTGAAGTGCCTGCGTCTGAACCGCTCCTTGACCTTGAGCGTGATCTTGAACGACCACTGCCACTTCTTGCACTGAAATAAAAAAATATAACATTGAAATACAATACAGTAAAAACTAAATAAATATACAGCCCTGTATTACAAAGCACAGAATTAAATTAAAAGCTTGGTCATGAATATGGATGTCTCAATTCAATCCCCCATTTATGATTATAAGGTTGGTTCCACATATAGCTTACCACCCTATAAAAAGTGTTTTAAAAAACTTACAATATTTAAAAAAAAAATCATGATATCTTTTGTTCTTGACTGAGCAATACATTAAAAAACAGGAAATTAGATGCAGTATCTCACCTTGCTCGACTCCCAGATCTACTACGAGACCGAGATCCACTCCTGGATCTGCTTCTAGATCGTGATTTACTCTTAGACCGTGACCTGCTTCTAGAGCGGGACCGACTTCCAGACTTGCTTCTTGAACGAGATCTACTCCCAGATTTGCTTCTTGAACGGGACTTGCTTCTTGAACGGGACTTGCTTCTTGAGCGAGATCTGCTTCCAGAACCAGATCTACTGCCTGACTTACTTCTGGATCGTGATCGACTTCTAGATTTGCTTCGGGAGCGGGATTTGCTCCTGGACTTGCTTCTAGAACGTGATCTACTTCCAGATTTACTTCTGGAGCGGGATCTGCTTCCTGATTTGCTCCGGGATCTGCTTCTTGACTTGCTGCGGGATCTGCTCCCTGATTTGCTGCGGGATCTGGATCTACTCCCTGACTTGCTTCTAGATCGAGATCTGCTTCCGGACTTGCTACGAGATCGAGAACGACTACGGGAACCACTACCGGCTCGACTGCCAGACTTGCTACGTGACCTGCTGCGAGATCCACTGCCCGCTCTACTGCCAGACTTACTTCTTGATCGAGAGCGACTTCGGGATCTACTTCCTGCTCTACTTCCAGACTTACTGCGAGAACGAGACCTACTACGAGATCCACTTCCTGCCCGGCTCCCCGACTTACTTCTGGATCTTGACCTGCTCCTTGAGCCACTGCCAGCTCTGCTCCCTGAACGACTGCCAGCCCTGCTGCCTGGCTTACTGCCGCCTGCTTCTGGCTCAGAATCCGAGGCACCAAAAACTTCCTCTGATACCTTCTGTTTCTGTTCGTCGCCACTTGCAGGAGGACTCTGAGGAGATTTAGGATCAATCTTGCGAGGTTGTGTTTCTTCATCCTCACTGTCCATCACCGATCGCCTCTCTTCAACCTCACTATCACTCCCACCACCTGATCTGTAAACATAATTTCCCATTATATGATAATTTGAAAAAAATAATTATTTTGTTGATTAGCTAAGCCATTCACTGTGGTCACTGGCTAATACATGTAGGGTTTTTGCCTTCACAATTTGTGCTCGGCAATTTGGTGGGCAAATATTAGTTATGGTAGACTTGGGTAGCAACTGTGTTGCCACACAGTATGGAATTTTTTTTCTGCATGATGAGTCAGTGTGCTTGATCATGTTAAAGGAAAAGTATGTCATTTACACTCCCGTCGCCTCAACTTCAGCCACAAAACAAGACACTACTACAGGTAATTACCAAATTCTTGATGGATACAACAGATGATATACACTAATTAATTTAGAAAGTGATGAAAATTGGCCTCACAGTGAAGAAGGGGAAATATGGAGGTTGGGCCAGAGGACACTAGTGAGAGTGACAATGACCCACATATGCAGCAACCATGAAAACAAACAGGCACTGACAGGAGTAAGTAGGACTGGGTCTCCTCATCGTTCACCCCAACATAGCTGGTTTTTTTATTAATTCGCTTTGGAGTATTGTAGTCCCTCATCAACTGTGGGAGTTAGATTTCTGAAAACCCCGTGGTTGGCAAGACTAAAGGCTTATGGGATATAGGGGGTTAGGTTTTATGGCCGTGGATAACACTCGTAAAGGCCTAAGTCACTAAACATTACCTGTATTGCACGTGCCCATAAAGAGGAGAAACGTGAAAAGAAAAATAATTTTACCAAAACTTATTAGTTACCGACCTTCTGTCAGCATCGTCTTCACTCATGTTTCCAGCGCTGCTCACACTTGATCTACGTGATGCCCTGGATGATGCCGAGGCCCGAGAGGTTCGTGATCCTCGAGAGGTTCGGGATGTTCGAGAGGTTCGGGATGCAACGGACTTCATGGATTCATTGTCAGACTCCTGTGCAACAACTGGGCTTAATCCAGCTTCTTCCTCTGAAATTTTTTGAAAATACTGTAAATAGAAATTTGAATTCTCAATATTTCAATAATCTGGGATAATGTGGTATATTTTTGTTGTTTTTATGCAATTGTCCTATAAAAAAAAAGGTATTAATGTTATCCTCACATCCATCTAGTCAGTTCTGCTACAACGCGATAGTTGTGTTCTTGTAAAACCTCGCGTTGCAGAAATTCGCACAATAGAAATAACAGGGCTTATGGAGAAAATAGGGTTAGGTGCAGATTACTCGAATGCGATCACCAGAACGCTTCTTGGAGATACTCTTCTTTTCCATATTCACAGTTAATACCACAAAATTGGAGAAATAGTAAGCAAAAATCACTGAGGATGCTTCAAAACAACCCACGTGTTTCAACTGATTGTGTGATGGAAACAGAGAGCACTTTGTAAAACGCTTTTAGTCCGCACTGCAAAACATTATTTTTATTTTTTTTTCATACAGTATTTATGGGAACAGCTAAAATTGCAAAAAAAGGATGAAATTTATAGAGTCCCTATCAAATAACACTTCACAAACAAAACACATGAATCAATTGAACATGTGATGTCGAACGTGAACTGTAAACACTGCATAACCTCGTGCCAAGTGACAGTACACTTAAAACGTTCGAGTGGAATCGCGTTACAGCCAACACGCGTTCGCGTTTTACAAATATCAATCTTCTATTCATGAATCGCGTTATAGCCAATTCGTGTTGACAAAACACGAGTTGTAGCAGAAATGACTGTACAGGTAAATTCATGTACACACTAAACTTGTACCTGTATATATTGTATACACTGTATAATTTATCAATCCTAAATTAAGCAAAATTTATCTACGTTAGCAAACTTTAAATACTAATTAACCTGTATTTTCTCTTTTAATCTAAAAATTAAGAAAAAAACCAATATATAATTTGTCTTTCTTGTCATTGATCTTCTATGGTAAAGTGGCCACAGGTTGATGGTTCATGTGTGCACAAAAGGTGTGTAAAAATACCAAAATCATATTTGTTTAAAAAAAAGATCGAATTTCTTTTTATTTATAATAATCACATCTGTTTATGCCATAAAGATGTTTAGAAATAATGAAAATTATCTTCAATATATCTTTGAATCATTCCTACAAACATTTGCCATTATTATAAATCAATTTGGTTTTCATTTTCAGTTTATTGGTAAAATTCGAGACCTGAAATAATAAAAGACTTTTACAACAGTGGCTCGGCCGTTTGTCGTCCTCCTCGTTTATCAAGTTCAACTAAGAATCACAAAGACCACTCTAACTCTCCATGGTCAACTACCACAGACTATACCTGACTCCATGGTGACGGAACACTCAATATATCAGCTCCAGCAGAGTTATAGAGGTGTGTGTGGACCACAGACTGTGTGGCCTCATCCAAAGGTCCACTGTAAACACACAATATGCGTCTTTACAAACTCCTAAGAAAGTCATTGAAAAATGTCATAAATCCTGGGGTTATAGTTTCTTAAGCATAAATATTATTAAAAAAATATTTTATTTGTTTGAATAAGCGCATAATCAATTATATTCCATAATAGTCAATATGGTAGTCAACAAACTTAAAAAGTGAATGACCATCTAAGGGATACAAACTTATTTAATTTACTGTATACCTTAACATTCTCTCTCTCGCTCCCTCACACACCACATGAACACCTCACAGTAACCATCAATTACGAGCTAAACGAAATGAGATGTGGTGGTGCAACAGTACCACGCGTATATTTTATTATGTCCTGAGTTCAATCCCTGACTCGGGACAGATGTGAGAGAGGTAATATTACCAAACATGACAGGTTTCTTTAGGTACTACTGTTTTCTCCTGTACTAACACAGGATAATGAAGGTTGTAACAAAGAATATACCAACCGCCGAACAGCTAGTAAGCTGATGAGTAGTGAAACGAAAAATAAATACAAAGTTTGAATCCCGAACTTATAGACAATATGTGGTGATGGAACAATAATAACACAATCATATTTCAGCTGAACTATTATCTAGCTACACCAATATTCCAAATTTTATTATAGGAAGGCGCCAGTCGCCGTACTTAACATATTGCACAGCTAACTATCATATCACACTGCTTACACACACAAAACAGCTCATCAAAATAAATGGAGCAATCACAGACCCTAGCTTTCACGGGCGTCTGAAATATATACTCAGGTAAGTTCACAATCCATATATCATACAGCCCGAACGATAAGTGGTGATATGATAAATTAAAGAGATAAATTTAAAATGCTATTTGGAAAACAAATAATTTTATTTTAGGCACTGAAAGATAACTAATGTTAGGTAGATTCCACGAGGATGACCGCTAATTTAATGGTTTTATCTGTGGAAGAAGATAACCTAAATCAAACCTAACCTAACCTAACAATCCGTAAGAGAAAAAATGTCTTAAATTAAATTGGGTTTTATTTGTCCATGTTATTTCAGTTGAACGTACACGTAAACGATTATCATTGTTTTTATTTTAACATTAGCCATAATGCGCCTCAGTCACTGTGGTTATTAACACAAATTATAAATTAAATTGAAACACTAGGATACATATTATTGTAGAGAATATATTTATTTTTCCGGAAATATATACTGTCTTGTCTTAAAGGAGAATTTGTTAAATGAATTCTGACATTGTTTGGGGAGCAGCACTTCCCGGCCGCCATCTTTAGAGGACCACTATAGCGTCTCAGTCACCCAGCAGTGGCCGCTAATCGTGTATTACTACCTTATTTCTCCTTGAATTAACCGAGGATTTATTCCCAAAGGTAAGAATAAATGTTTAGATATAGTTAAACATAGTTATATACATACTTAAGGCTGTAGTGCCATGTATTAACAGGAAGAGTTGTCATCGTGGTTAAAGCGGTGTTTTTCCTCGTTTTTACCGGCACTGATAAAATAAAACCCCAAATAAATATGCTAATCAGTTATTCACATCTTAACCTACTATATGTGCCTGTAGTGTGTGTCAAGTGTGTGTGTGTGTTGCGGTAGTGAAGGGATAAAGTAGTATTGATCTGGGTGGCGTCAAAATGATCTATTATGTATTGCCTTGTTTAGGACTAATTACAGCACTCTTTTGGGTATTGATACAGTTTATTTAATTACAGGTACAGAATGAATCAATTTGTGAATTTAGTTACAGTAATAAGGATATGGGATGAGATATAACAGTTGTCCAAGTGCTGTGAGTTGACTGATACTTTCAAATGTTGTAATAATTGATGATATCTATTCGGTCATTCATCAGGTTAGGTTTAAATTATGTTTTTTAATTGTTTTTGATGTGTTTTGAACGATTAATTTCAACTTCCAAATAGGTTGATTACAGAAACGATAAATTTACCATAAAGTTGTCAAGGTTGAAGATTTACAGGAGTGTTACTTCTATTCCCTGATCTACAGTGATGGTAAGTGTCTAAAACCTAACCTAACTTAACCACCTAATCTAATGGTGTTTTAAGAAGCACGGAATAGCTAACACGTTAGCTTTCCCGGTCTGTCGTTAAACAATATGACATTGTACTGCGTCTTGGGAATAACTTTTGTACAACAGTTCAAAAAACAATAAAATTAGGAGGGTATTATTGCGTTTACACACCGTTCATTCCTACCACTAATCTATTATCATATTCGAATAAGACGTCTAATTATAAGATAATTTTCATCTATTACATTACCGGCGGAAATGTATAATAACGGAGATAGCTTATCCAAAATTTTCTCTATTTTCTTCCACAAATCTTCTGCCATTATCACCTGCCCCTCCTCCAACACTGCGTGTCTCCTGCGTCTCCTTCATAAATCATCACGTGCATGCGTTCCCGTACACGTCACACGGCCAATCAAAAGCGTTTTTGTTTTTGAAACCAATTAAAATGATTTGGGGTTTAATTTGCGGTATATTTGGCCCAATCAAATTCGAGTTTTACTTTGGGTCTCTCATATTCTGAAATTCAAGTTCAGTAACTTCAGTTCCGACCATGGCAGTCTGTGATGGGTGTCACTTCAATCATATGGAGCTAATTGCAAGTTTTTGGGAAAAAGACGAAGAAACTGTAGCATTTTTTCGATCGCATGGTGTTCTTCCAACCTCGGTAAAGTGTACTAAGAGCAAGACTGAATGTAAATATCGCAAAGACCAACATATGTGGCGTTGTATAAGAATCTTAGAATCCAGCGACGAACAAGAACCAGGCCAATAAGGTAAGAAATAGGTGATTCCATCGTATGGTGAGAGTCAGTTAGGTTAGGTTTGGTTTTTGTTTTTATAGTGTTTTTTGGTGTATTTTGCCATGATTTTTTTTTCGGAAAACGTCCAACAAAAAAATTTCGAAAAAACCCTCGCTAATTTCCCCAAGAAATGAAGGTCATATTCGGTCTAAGCACACACAAATACACTAGATATATGTATTTTTTTTACTTTCTAACAGAGAACAGTGTGACAATGCAAATTTACCATTAGGAGAAATGTTATTTGAACACAATACAGAGAGAAATAATGAAGAAAATATATAGAAAATTATGGAAAGACAAAAAAGGAAAAAAAGTCAATGTCAACAATAAATTAGAATAACAAAAAATCTGGCCCGTTGTTAAGGTTGGTGGTGCGGACTCCGGGGTAGGAGCTTTAAACCACACTACACATGCACTCATCTCGCTGCTACATTGTTTATATCTGTTCGCATACATAAACACGCAATACAACGAATTTCAGGTTCGTTATGTCTTAATTTTTGCATTTACAGAACTGTAATAAACTTTTCACCATTATTTAAAGTATCTTATGAGTAATGATATTAAAGTTTTAATCATATTTGAGTAATTGTCAATATTGTTACACCAAAGTCACCAACGGCTAATGAAATCTGAGAGCACCCATGTAAAAAGGGCGGAGCCAAAACAGGTTTCAACTAGGCGCAATCCTTTTCAATTCTTTCACGCCTTACACTTTACTTTACGTCCTATCCAATATACTACCGTACATAGAATTATTTTTATTATTATATCAGTATTTTTTATTTTTTTTCCTTAAATGCCTCCAACTCTTCAATATTAATCAAGACATTCTAAATAAGCGGCCATGATCCGCGTTATTTTCACCGGGAGAAATCGCTGATTGGTTGTTAGCAATTTGTGCTGCTTGGGCCCTGCGCAAGGCTAACGCCTCATCGAGGTGTTAGCTGAAGTGTCATGCGCACAAATCAAAAGCAGCGTCTGCGCATACAGAATAGCTAACGCGTTAGCTATTCTGTGCATCTAAAATGCCTTACAATAACCGCCTTATAATAATACAGTAATATCTCCATTAGCCGGAATCCCTCAAACTCGGAACTTTCTGATAGCTGGAATTGAAATTTTCTCGGCTTTGAGAGAGTCGTCTCGTTACCCGGAAATCTTTCCTTCCTGGAAGTGCTCTGCACCAATTGTTCCGCTAACGGGGATATCACTGCATATAGCAAGTCATCTATTATCGGTTATAAGGTAAATTCTATACCATGATACTAAAGTTGAGTGTATTTCTTTGCAGGATGCCGGAGCGATACCACATAGACACGAGTTTTGGCTCGGGATCAAGGAGGGATAGGTAAAGAAGTGACTGGTTTGTGTTTAGAAATGGATGGATGGTTTAATGATGATGCACCTCTTGTTTATATCACCTAAAGTTAAAATGAAGGGGGCTAGCTTAATCATTTGTGTTTTAGTTTCGGTGAAAGAAACCGAGGTTCGTCATCATTGTAAGATCAGAATGAAATACTGATCTATGTGATACATTATCTTGGTTCAGTAAAGATAAACTAGAGAATATGTTAACACCTAATTAAATATAGTACAGTATTTGGTAACCTTGTTCGTGATGTTCACGTGTATGTACACCCACTAAAAAATTATTCGGCAGCCTTAAGACTTGATACAATATGACATAGGTGCCGAATAATTTTTTAGTGGGTGTAATATTCAGTCACTAATAACTTCCCTAACACGTACTGTATATATACAGTGGGGTATGCTATAACGAACGGATCCTACTACGAATATTCCTATAACGAACGGTTTTACCTATAAATTGAGAATGCTATAACGAACGAAACTCCTACAACGAACATAATTTAATTTTTTTTTCTAATTTATTGTTTTATTATTACAAGTATTAATGATATTCTTTATTTCAGGGGTTTAGATGCATATTTATGCACTTTTTTACAATTTTTACAATGTTATATTATATTTTTCAGTGTTAAGTGGTTGTATTTGGGGGCCTGGAACGGATTAATCCTATAACAAACGATTGCTATAACGAACAAGGTTCTAGAACCAATTAGATTCGTTATAGCATACCCCACTGTGTATATACTGTGTATATATATATATATATATATATATATATATATATATATATATATATATATATATATATATATATATATATATATATATATATATATATATATATGTATGTATGTATGTATGTATGTATGTATGTATGTATGTATGTATATATATATATATATATATATATATATATATATATATATATATATATATATATATATATATATATATATATATATATATATATATATATATATATATATATATATATATATATATTAAGGAGACAGTGTATCTATATGCTTTATAGTGTACGTAATTATTTTTGTTCATTTTAAACTACTAGGTACTGTATTTGAATATAAATCCATCTCCACTGTAAGCTTGATTAAATATTGTACCGAGGGTTAATTCATGACTTTTGCATATTTGGAGAGTTAATTTTAGATAATAGTTAATTAATGGGTTAAGAATCAAAGGATCAGTTCATGAGGTGGTTGTTTGGAACCCAAGAGCTAATTCCCCATAGGAGCAATGTAATTATGGGCTTAGGTTCTGAACTGTCCCATTAAGCCCCAAGTTTGCTAAAAATACATCAACAAAGTCATAATGAGAAGACCATAGCAGTTTAAGGATACACTGGTTAAATTTATTTGTGTTTATCGGCTTATTCTTTACAAAAGTCGTAATATTGATTGGTGAGGTAGCAGCATCACCCAGCATTGTTTGCATAGCTCACGCTGCATTGTCTGTGTGGCGCCAGTCTGCAGGATGTTTTAACGGACAAAATAAAAATAAAAGCACATTTACAGTATTGGCAGTTTACCATTTATTGTAATATAAAGACTATTGACTCGCCAAGTGCTGCAATTACAACTATTCCGAGTTTATAGTCAGTACCAATTGGTGTCTATAGGACCCTTTGCTTAGCTCTCATACAGTGTCACTTGGACTTTGGTACTTTAGTTTTTCATGAGACTGTGTGCTGCTGATTTACCTCATGGTCAGTTTTCCTTTGTCCCCAGGAAGAGGAAGTTCCCAACAGATTTTTATGGCACAGGGTAAATGTATTTCTGATAAAGTATGGAACAACTGCACAGCCACACTGACTTCATTGCTTGCTTTGAACAAAAATTATAACATTAAAAAATATACTAATAAATATACCAATATATAAGGCAATGTGGATATTAGTGGCAATCTGGACATACAGTACAGTATATGCTGATATTCTAAGCTCATAAGTAATCCTCTCAACACAGTTAACACCCAGTTCAACAAAAAACTGAAGTCTCTATTGAGAGGCAAAGCTACTCTCATTAAACATCTTACTTCAACGTCCCCTCCACTGCCATACATGTACGGTATAATGAAGACCCACAAGCCTAATAACCCAGCAAGACCCATCATCAACTCAGTTGGGTCAATCTCTTATTAATTTACTAATTCCCCTAGTTGGCAACATTTCTAACTCTAATATTAAGAATAATATGGATCTGGTTGATAAACTCAATAACTTACACATTAATTAGGATTTTAAACTGGTCAGTTTTGATATAACATCACTCTTTACAAAGGTCCCAGTTGATGATTTACTGGAGTTCCTCATAGATTCCCTGGATAATATTCCATTGCCCGTCTCGAAAGACGACTTCATCGAACTCATCAAACTATGTATTAAGGATTGTAAATTTGAATTTAATGGAGAATATTATGCTCAAAAATTTGGTATGGCAATGGGTAATCCACTCTCACCTGTATTAAGCAACCTATATATGGAATTCTTTGAAAAGAAACTATTAAGTAATGTTTTACCACCCTCAGCAGTATGGTTTAGATATGTTGATGATGTATTATGTCTCTGGCCATGTAATGAGGACCTAAAAGCTTTCCTGCCACAACTTAACAACTTAGCCCCCTTGATCAAATTCACTGTGGAATTAGAGCATGACTGTAAATTGCCTTTCCTAGACTGTCTGATCCACAGAATAGGTAACACCTTTAAGTTCAGTATTTATAGGAAACCTACTAATGTGTGTTCATAGATTCATTATTATTCTGCCCACCATAATAGAGTCAAACAGTCAGTATTTTCATCAATGGTTTTATGTGCTTTGAGAATTTGCAGCCCGGAATTCATTGATGAATATAAATATATCTATAATATTGGCTTGAACCTTAAGTACCCTAGATCTTTCATAGACAATTGCCTTAACATTACTAAGAAATCTTTTTATAGAACCAATCCCAAGCCCACCCATGACCATAAGAATCTCTTAGTATTACCATTTCACAAAAATTTCTCAAATTCCTTTACAACTAAAAACCTGGAACGTCAATGTGGCATTTAAAAACTCATGCACTGTTAAACAAATGTTAATCAAGAACTCCCCCAACAATACAAGTGGCTGCATTTATAAGGTTCCTTGCAAAGAATGTAATACGTTTTACTTAGGCCAGACAGGTAAAGATCTTGTAACTAGACTTAAACAACATAAATATAGTGTTAGGACAGGCCAGGAATCCAATGCTCTGTTTGTTCATTTGAGGGATAATAAGCATTGCATTGACTGGGATAATGCCTCCTCAATATTACCTTGTAATTCAATTGACTGTAGGAACATCATAGAATCTAGTCTCATTAAACTTTCCGAATCAGTCAACATGAATTTGAGTAATGGTATGTACAAACTGGATAATTTCGTAATTAAGAAGATTTGTAACCAGGTGAGAAGGTTGGGTCAGCTTACCCTCTGACCTGACTACTGACTGCTGCGGTGCTTTTTGAAGATTAGTAGGGTCATTACCTAATACCTGACCATTGTGGACTTGATCTCACCCTCCTCTATATATATATATACCTTGTGTTGTACTTCTCCTTAGTCTGTACTCACCCCTGAAGATGTGAATTACACGAAAGCACTTGGGAACTTCGTGTTTTCTTCTTTCCTTGTGGTTATCAGCATATACCTGGATCACGCGCACCCACTGTGATTTACTTGTACAGTACAGTATATATGTTAAAATAAATTTTCCATGGTAGCAATTCTCTCTTCATCTTCCAGATCAGGAGGTATGCAAAGAGCAAGAGAAACAATTGATTATGGTCACGGTAGCAGTTTCAGTGCTGCGAGGTACAGAGATGGGGGAGGTTATGGAGGAGCAGGAAGCAGCAGTAGCAGCAGCAACTATGGACTAGGAAACAGTTCTTCCAGTTATGGGCCTTCTTCAAACTATGGGAGCACTTCTAGCTATGGGGGAGCTTCTTCATATGATGGCCCTCCCAGTTACAGTCACTCTTACAATGTTACTCCCAATTATGGTGGTAATTCTTCTTATGGCAGTTCTGGATATAGCAGGTAATTAAATTCAGGTTTATTGTAACTTGTGATAACATACCAAACTGTTGGAAGTAAATAGTGTTGATTTTATTTAACTGAAAATTCCTCAGGAGCAGTATAAAATAATTTTCACTTCCTCCTCTTTTCCTTCAATTTTCTATCTTTATTGTTGCATATTTGGAATTTGTGAAGTAACACTTAACCATATTTTTCAGTGGGCAGATGGTTAGTCCTTGGGAGACTGGCATGGCTCCTGCTAGTGTTGGAATAAATCAGGGTGGCTACTTACCCACTCCCAGAGGCTCCAGTGGGGGCATGATGGAGAGTGGTGGCCCCCCAACTTCAAATATAGTTGGTGCAGTCAATCAGCTGACTCAGATGGGGAGTACTGAATCAAAGCTTGCCTTGAACATCTTAAATGCTGTCCTGTCCACAGTGAGTTTATAAAATTCAGTTTGTTTCTGTTGCTTCAATACTTCCAATTTTTTCCCCTCTGTAAAATACCTGACAAGATTTTAAGAGTTCTCCGTATAGCCTTCTGAAATATTATGATTAGGAATTAACTTTCAGTACACAATTATTATAGTAGCTGTGGATGGTGTCAGCGTTTACATTACTATCATTCAATTGCTTATTTGTATTACATTATTATGATTCCTGATATTAACAAGTCCGGGGACACATCTGCAGTCCAACTTTTCTTTTGTGTTTATGGCTGAGTTTGTGCTCTTCACACTCACAGGTTAATGTATTTCAAAATTGTCAGAATAAGTGCAGATAAGTTCATTCAGTCTGATTTGATGAAGCCCAGATATCATAGACTCTGTTTCAATGTGCTTGTCTTGATTGCCTGCCATTATAGCCTCCAGTTCATTTTTAATTTAAGTTGTGTCTTGCTGGGACTTTGGGCTCCAAACTGAATGACACATTAAGATTGGGTCTTCAATTCCAAGTGATTAAGACCCAAGCTTACTGGTGCTTTTAAGATTGGGGCCTAATCTTTGTTTTACAGGTCGTATTAATACAGAGGGCCCGATGGTTCTCAGGTAATAATAGAACCCATATTTAATGATATTTAATGACACTAGTTCACATAATCAGTCTGTTATAACTTTGTGTTGAAGGTTCTAAAGGATGGGAGGTTCAATCCATACATAGTGGTTATTTCTACACAAAATACACTTAATAAGTACCGCATCTTAACCTATTTACCAAATGTGCTGCCTTCTGTACAAGTCTTTTTTTTTCTTTTTTTTTTTTTTAGCTTTTCATTCATACTTAATGGCTTTCATTCATTGATGCTGCTGTTATTCTGTTGCCTTTAATCCGTGAAGTATCTACATCAGTATGCTCTAATTATTGGCTTATGCTATCCAGGGAGTGACTATTTAGAATGGGTAGTGATAAAGTGGATATAAAGAGAATAGACCTTAAATTTTTCTTACTTGATCTCAGGGACCAGGTGATGAAGGGCATCCCCACAATGTGGACATTGGACCACCAGCCAATAAGATGAGACGAATGGAACGGGTAAGTTTTTTCTTCTGCTTCTTGTGTGTGGGTCTTTGTTTTCAATAAGAGAACACAAACACTGAAGAGCAGAAGAAACAACTCGACTTTATTTGTTATTGTTCATATATTTAATTTGAACATCCACCTTGCCAGTTCATCTTATTATGAATGGTGAAGAGATGTGAAGCATTTTATAATCAAATTGGAGGTTGAAAATTTATTTTGTAGCTTCACTCACACGTTCTAGGACTGACACCAGAAGCTACAGTAATGTCTCAGGCTGAGTCATGTTAGGTCTACTGAACATCATCTCTTCCCATCGTGTATTCATTTATTGTTTAAGAGTTGATCTGTTTTTCCTACAGAAAACATTACCAAATATAACTATCACGGGATGTTGTATAATTTATTAAGTAATCATTTAAAATTTTGAGTATGTATTAGAAGAACGGCCCCCCTCCCCCCCAAGCTCACGTATTTTTATTTCGCGGTCCTCTATTATTTGCGGATGACACCCTGGTTGTACCCAAGAATGTCTGAGTAGTTTTAAAGTTGCCGGCATTTTCGCGGCTGGGACAGGAAACCATTCGTTCTAGACAGTAATTTCCTTTACCTGTACATTATTGTAAATGTGTGTGTGTGTGTAGACACACACACAAAACACATACAAATAAACAAATTTAATAAAAATGAGTCCACCCTCAAGTCCGTGTTTTATTTCTTTATTAATAAAGCACGGACTTGAGGGTAGACTCACATTTTTAATAAATACGTTTGATTATTTGTGAGAGGATTTCTCCATATAATTTATTTGTATGTGTTTTGTGTGTGTGTGTGTGTGTGTCGGCACACACATATACAATACAGGTAAAAGAAATAATTGTCCTAAGGGCAAATACATAAAGGTATTATACATTTCTTTGTACACAAGTAAAAATTTAACACCACCCCCCCCACCCCATCCCCCGGTCCGCATATGTTATTCGCGGATTTGGCAATTCGCAGCCATTTTGAGAACCTAACCCCCTTGAATTTGGGGGGGGGGGGCTGTATTTTGTGTCTAATATACATAACTTTCTTTTCCTTGGATTCCATACTGTCTCTGGCTGTCAAGTAATGATGAATCAACTTAAATGAATTCAACAAACTAGGCTGTGTAATGTAATATGACTAGGAAAATCATTCAACTCATTGAAATACTTGAAATAACTTAATCTATGCACACTTCATGCTGTCAGTAAAACCAAGTTCCTGTAATCAGTTGAATTCTGCTCAAAATAATAGCTACCAATAGTGAACAATATTGTGTAAACACTCATTAGTATACATTGATGGTGTCCTATGGAGAAGACATGATTGTTAGACTGTGCATTGGTGGACAGTAGAATAAAAGGTAAGTTGGGTAATTTGAATGTGCTCCGAGGTGTTGCACATGAATTGTCTGAACATTACTCGGTAGAAGCAAGATTGTGAATGGAAGGCTTAGGGCTTTAGAATTCAGATGGGTAGAAAGGCTAAAACATTTTGAGTTAAGGAAAGAGAAAGTAGTTTGAAAAAAAAAATATTGACCCATGATATGTAAAGGAGACAAATTGGGGTGTTGAAGACTGGAAATGTTTCACGTCTTCAGGATTTATATAGTTCATTTGAGATATGTAGGTAGCAGTGTTGACTAATAAGAGAAAAGCAAAATAAACATAATTTTCAAGATTGTACGACTCGCGTACAGAGATAAAGGGTAGTAAAAAATATAAAGCTAAAGAAAGGGGAAAGGATGCTACTAAAGTTTATAAGGTCAAGAAGCTGTTCTAGAAGGAACTAAGTATAGTAAGGAAAAAATGAATAGGTAGTTACATATTTCAGGGGATATACTTAAAAAAAACTAGAATTAAAGGGAGATTGGTAAGAACACCTTGAACTGCTACCTGTAACGGATAACGAATTCTTGTGTAGGACGTGGATTGAGTAATGTCGAAGTGAAAGCTGAAAAAGTAACGAGTGTGGTGAGATTGGTCTCAAGCCAGCTGAAGAATGGTAAGGTACAAGGATTGGATGGATTGGTAAAATATTGTGGGGAGTCAGGTAGTAGGAATAGTAACAGAATGGATGACAAAGAGGACAGGTTATGTATTGTAGAGGGAAGGGTAAATGAGAATGATAGAGTACAGTTTATAAAGGAAACGGCAATACGAATGGATGTGAAAATTAAAAGGGGATTTATTTTTACTTTGCTGTACTGTACCAGGGAGTGTTTGATAATAGTTAGTGAATGAGTTTTGAAGAGTTTGTACCAAGAAAGAATATAGTAAATGTGAACAAAAGGTGGAGTGGGGATTTGTGCAAAGAGAAGTGATTTATTTAACCATGGAGTACTTGGAGGGGGGGGAGGGTGGTGTCAAAGAAGGCCTTATTGTGATTGTGGTTTACCTTAGCAAAAGACATCATCTACAGCAGAAAGAAAAATGGTTTGCAATGAATGAAGGGAAAATTGCTTGTGTGTTTGCTATTATTTTTGGCCACCTGGGATTAAGCAGGAAATGGCTTAATATTGTAAAGACAAAAATTTAATAGATGTATTTATTTTTTATATTAAATAGAAATCATTGCAACCAGGTTTGAGGTTTGCATTGTTCATTATAATCTGTTTTGTAATTATATATTTTCTTACAAATGGATTTTGTACATTTCAGTTGACATTTGTCATTCAGCTCAAGACAATAAAGGTTTCAGTTTTCTTTGTGGTTCTTGTGAAGTTGTTTTCTCTGTTGTCTATTGTGTGATGTTCCTCAAGTGTAGATTGTACCCAGTCTTATAAAGCCCAAGTAAGTTGGTGTGTGTGTATGGTGTTGCCAGTCTTCAGAAATTATATTCCAGTCTTTATCCTCAGAATAGTGTTTTTACACGAGAGGAGTTTGTATTTATTAAACAGAGTGCTTTAGATTATTATGTATTAAGATATATTCTGCCCAAGATTAGATGATCTATTATATTAAAATCAATTTGTGGGGCATGAACATCTATCTGGCCTTTCAATTGATGGTTGGTTTTGCAAGACAGCAATGCACCTCGTTGATTTGCTGTGTGTATGAATCTTTCACATAGGTGAAGATTACCAAAGTGTCATGCTTACTAATTGCACTTACATCTTCGGGGATGTTTTGACAGACGTGATCCTTAACATGCCCACTTCAAAATAAAGCAGATTGATTTAATGCACCTTCATCTGTTTGGCTTCAGAATGACCCAAAGGACTTGGTATGTGTTGAGTCACTTGGTTGTCACTGCCTTGCCTCAGGTTTTGTCAGGCCCTTAGATTGGCCAGTATTACCTGTTTGGCCAAATACTTGTGCCTTAAGTAGCCTTGGGAAGTTTCCCTCTTGGTGAGGCTTATCATACAGGTCTTAAAGTGCTGTGAGGTGACTTAGTGGCGAGTGTCTCCCACAGGATGGGGGTCATGGTAACCACCGAGGGCGGACTCATTCCCCCCCTGTGCGTCCACCGCCAGTACGCAAGTTTCCTCAACGGGATCAGCAGTACAACCCTCGTCGGTCTTGGGACAACACGTCGCCTCATCGTGGCAGGGGTGGCTATTCCTATGGCACAGCTGGACGTCTTATGGTGACTAATTACCAGCTTAGAAAGACAGCAAAGGCCAAACGGGGTAAGCCTAGGCCTGATACCAAGGAAAATAAAGGCCCTGCCAAGAACCAGAAGAAGGTGAGGAGTGAGGCAACACCAGCAGCAACAGCCGGGACAGCAGGTGGCCAGAAGGGGGACAAATCTGAGGGTGATGGTTCCTCAGCTTCAGCTGGCCCTAAAAAGAGGTAAGCTTCATATCTGATCCGATGTGCTGCTGAAAATTGCCTGTCAGATCAGTGCTAAACAAAGACTTTCTTGGTTGATACTAGCTTATATTCTGGCTTCAGCCAGTGGCTGAGTTTTGTAGAGGTAAACTCTACCCAGCCATAATGTTGAGGGCTGTGTTGGAGGAGTGGCTGTGTTGCACATGTCACCAGGTGATGTATCTACACCCTCTGTCAGGCTGTGTACACCATGCTTTATTTTAATATAACCTAGCAGTTTGTTTTGAAGCTGTTTAAACACTGATTTTGTCTTTTGGCTTGCACTGCCATAGGCATAACAAAATGAAGTTGCAGGTTACAGCTTGAGAAAATTTCTGCCGCTGCTAAGCCTGCGGATAACTACAAGGAGAGGGCATTCTTGAAGTGATCAATCCTTGTAGTGTATTTGAAGGATGGCAGATTTTTATTTCCAGGTAGTACAATGAGTGTCACCTCTTGGAGGATAGCATCAGCTCAGACCAAACTGCAGGAAATTTGCCTGAAGTATGTCTTTAAATTCCTTCCTGTTTAAAGGATTTAGGGAGCAGGTTGAAATATTTTTCTTAGAAAACATGTATTGCAAGAAGTTGCATCTAATAGGATATACATGGTGGAGAGTAGGATATACTGTATAGTGTAGTATATGGGGTGAGAGTTAATTTTTTTAATTATGTTCCTAGACAGAAGGGAGATGAACATCAAGGAAGCAGTTGTGTGTATGCATGCATGCTAAGAATGTGTGATGTAAAGTGATTTTTGGAGATGCTTGAAGCGACTGGTAAATAATAGATGGAAATCTTGGACCACATTATAGAAGGGCAACATTGTATTAGAAGTCATTGGTAAGGCTGTGAGATTGAATAAATAATAACAAGTGTGGTTGTGTGTGTGTGTGTCTTGATCCTGGATACCATTTGTTAAGTGGGAAAGAACTTTTTAGGGTATTAGTAAATTTTGACTAGTGTGTCTGGTGTAGCATTTGCCTGCCAGAGTGGCTCCTTAGACTAGCCTTTGTGCACTTAGTAATGAGTACACTTGCTGGTGTACATGCCAGTGATGGAGCTGTATACTTCTAAGGATAAAATTATCACCTTTCTGGCTACCCGACATCATAGTAGGAGAAAGTTGTACTATATTTATATAATAGTATGATAAGACTTGTATAAAAGTACTTTGTATATGTTTTTTCTAAGAAGTTATCAAACCTGTTCTCTAAATTTTCTGTGTTTGAAGAACATTATGTTCTCTGGTGTTATCTTTCTAATATTATGTTTTTAATCACATTTTGTCAGAATAACTTTACTGTGAAAATATTTTTCTCCCTGACAATAGAAGACTAGTCATGATCATTTGCATCCATGTTGTAAAGTGTCAGCAGCAGGAGGAACCTCTCAGTAGTACTAAAGAGGAACTGTGCACGAAGCTTACACACAAAACGTGCCTTGTGCACTCTGACCTATTTTTGTATATAGATGTTATTCTATACACTCCCATGTCAAAGCACATATATAAATCTCCCTGCATGTCAGATAGGGCTTCTCCCTCAGAGGTTTTGAAGTCGCAGGATAATATAGCATAATCTGATTTATTTTTATTATATATTTTTTCCTGTCCACCTTAGCAACAAACACCTGGTTCACAACACTGTATTTACATTTTTGGTTTACTATCTGACAATCATGGATGACCCCCTGTATGTGGTATCCCAGCATATGAAGTTGTCATGCCTCTAGTTGGAGCCAGTTGGCAGAGGTATGTTGGATAATGGATATCTGTAACCCATACAGCCTTCTACAGTGGAGGTTCAGACAGTTCAATCTTTGTTATAGTAACAAGCTTCCGGGTGGTAAATATCCTTGACTGTAACTAAGTAAAATCCTGCTCTTGGTGTACTGGGCAGACAATGGAAGCATTTACAAAGTTATAATGCCCATAAACCTTTATAGCTGTCTGGATGCATGACATCCTAGAAAGAAAACTGGTATGCAGTAATTTCTTCATGCTTGATAAGGTAAGGATTTCCTGAATTACAGCTGAATAAAGTTGATACAGGATGCATCTAATTTGTAATTAGAACAGTCATATTGTAGTCACATTCTTCTGAAATTAAAAGTTATTTGTGTTTACTGCTGTATACTACTGTATAGTTGTCATGATGTAAGAATCATTATGGAAGTACTTTCTGTGACATTGGCATATTGGTTTTATAAAGATGCTTTAATGAAAGCAAAGTGGGAAATGTTGGCACAGGTGTTTTTCATGCTTGAGCCTCTATTGATTACCATTATTAATGTTCTCTCAGATTATTACTGTTCACTGCTAGCAGAAGTTTTTGTTGGTTGAAAATGATTGTATAAGGCTTGTTGATTACAGTAATTGTCACTAATTAGTGGATAGATTATAATTCTACATATACCTCTTCATGTTGGTACTACTGACTACGTGATCTGAAGCGTCATATCCAAGCTTGCAAAATACCCTCTCGTGATCGACATATTCATCAGTGCCATGTTCTATCGGAATTGTTGTGAAAACAGTGACTGCGACTTTGTATCACTGTGCTGCTTGAATGACTTCACTCATTACACTTTAGATATCACATTGAGGGAATCTTAAGATCGTGTTGCTCAGGTATCAATTGTTCTTTGCGGTAGTCGGGTATGACCACTGATGATTTATGCTTGCGACTCAACAGTGTGAATCCTTTTTTCATAATAGTGTCCAAATTACCCATCTGCTTTACTTCTTATTAAAATCTGTTTGATGCTTAAAAGATGGTGTAATTAGTATTATGTATACAGATTAAAAGAAAGTGTCTTGAATTATCATTTTAAGATCGTTACCATTAGTTATGATGTTCAGTGGTATTGTCTTATTTTTTGCTGTACAGTATACCCAAGTCTGAAAGACCTTTAACACTTTAACTTTTGTCTTCTGGGAGCTTCCAAGACCTTTCCATTTTTGGGGGATATTGGTGAAGTGTGTCAGCAGCCTCCAGTGATCAATACTGGGGGCAACATTTCAAAAGATTTGTAGAAGTATACAGGTTGGTCTTGTTTTTACCTTGGTGTTCTGAAAATGGAATGTGGGTTGATAAATAATGTATTGATGAACATACACATGTGGGGACAGGGAAAGATGGAAGCATAAGAGAAATAATGGTATAACCAAGGGAAACAGGGAATGGAAAAGAGCTTTGATTCCAAGGATTATTGTAAACACCTTGACAAGTTGTGAGAGTCCAGAATACTCTATAAAATTGCTCTGTGAAAATTGATAGATAAGGAAAAATTATGTTGGCTATTTTGGGATACATTAGTGTGTTGCTCAGTTGAGCTTATGTTTGTGATAAAGGTTGTGTTGTTGATAATTTTTGCACGTCTGGTAAGGTATAGTAGTTAGAAGTGAATAAGGTAATCCGTGTTGCTTATTGTTTTGGTCACCTGCACTGGCACAGGAAAGGGCTTGTAAGAGTTACAAATTAGTAAAATTTGAAGTTTATTCTTGATATTTACTTAAATCAAACTAATGTTCAGTAAATTCCTATATACTGTATATATATGTACCGGGTAGTTCAACTGCAGCTGTATTGCTTTTCTTTTCCCCCTTGGAAGGTGAGTTTTAGGGGTGATCATTGTGCATTTTTTTATTCTAGGGAACTTAATTAAATTTTAGACTTTGGTCTCTATTAAGAATATAAGCATCATCAGAATATTCTATAATTGTACAGTACAGTCTGACCTCGCAAATTTGTGTCTCAGAAGCTAATTTATCCTTACATTTACATGAGCGTTCCCTAATTACCGCTGTTTATCGCTTGACCATGGTTGTTTGATAAAAAAAATCATGAAAATACTCTACTGTGGCTTAGAAATACTGTAAAGAAAACCTGTACAGTTTAATATAAAACTATAAAATAAGAAACATGAAGAGCGTGGGTGTGTTGTGTAGGAAGTGAATGTATGTATTGAGGCAATGAGCTGTAACCGAGTCGCCACTGAGCCTCCCTTCCTCTTCCAGTGTGAAGTCATGGCATGCACAGTGCGACTGCAGCCAAGTGTCTCAAGTCAGCTGGGTTACTGCCCAGCTGAACTGAGTTACCCAGAGTATGGTTTGAGTGTAGGAGCTATTTTTTTTTTTTTAACACTTGAAATGTGTGTTATTGTATTTTATGATTCAATTTTGTTTATCATAGCAATTTGAAATTGGTTCAAATTAGGTTAACCTTTTGCACACTAAATCATATAACGCTGAACTGCGTCGTTTATATAGGGTGGAATAAGCATTAAAGAACTGTCCAATTTAGATATATTTTTTTAGCAAATGATTAACAAATTTCCAGTGTTTTTAATGCTTATTCTTCAAATCTATGCCTTTCAGAAGTTTGGCCACAGTAGGATACCAATTGGCACAAATTTGCGAAGCCAACCTGTATGTACACTCGCAACAAAAAGGCGAGTTGTTCCAACAGTATGTTGGCAGCCCTGATTGTCAGCCATATGGCAACACCTAGTGGAGGGGGGGCCAACCTTCTTGACATAACAGTGTATACGTATCGTTTCGGAAATCGTTGATCTCGCCCTGTACCTATACTTTTTGGTGCGAGTGTACATATTATAAAGAAACACTGACATGAATTGATGTCACTGATAATGAGATACATCATTATTAAAATCCAGATGTACCCTGGTTACTGTCTTAGCAAGATTGCATGCACTATAGTAAGAGGTGGGGATGGCACTTGAAAATGAAATTGGTGCACAGTCAACCCCAAGAGTCACCACATTGTCATTATCCCTGGACATGGTACTACATCACCCTTAAAGAGTAAAAGGTTCAAACTTTAAAGATAATGTGAGAATCTCTCCATTTAACACATTGCAGCCTTAGGCCTTTGCAGGACTTGAAATTAATGGATGACAAAGGTTTCAATTGATTTCACTCACATTTTAATGTTTTATACTCGATACAGTACAGTATATGAGAATTGGGGGAGGGGGGGTGCTTTCCCCTAGATCACTTCACCTCTGCATGAGCAAATGTGGATGGGAGGGGAGCTAGAGGTAGGCCAAGAGTGGCTGCAAGAGACTGCTGCATGGAGAACTGACAAGTAATCACAGCTAACCCCCACAGATGTGGAAAATGGCTGTAAAATGTTGTTGGTAAAAGAAACTTGTGAAATTATAAATTTAACATAAAGTATATAATATCTTCTCTCGACATGACAACCATACTTTAGTGTGTTACAGCTGATATGTTAAACTTTTAATTTCAGGAGAGAGTATTTAATGTGCCTTCTCAAGCGACCTTAGGTTTAAAATCTTAGTATGGTGGTGAAATAGACTTCAAATGAATTGGTCACCATTAAGTAGCATGTATTCATTAGGTTACTGTACTGTACCAGCTTTCCTGACTTTGGCTGCATCCAGGTTGGTTATCCAGGGGTCATGGAAGACCAGAATAATGACTGTTCAAACACGTCTGCTTGTTACATTGTACAGACTGTGGTGCTCTTGATCAATCATCTGTTGAAAGTGCAGTGTTCTTCTTACAGACTGATAACTGGACAAATGACAGCCGTCTGCAGCCAGTCATATGTCCATACTTCTAAGATTATAAATAATTTAAAATGGAAATGTTAATTTTTCTTGCTATGTATTTTAAAACACAAGAGAAGGTATCTAAGAGCAGTTAGTTTTTATGAAAATTTGTGAGTAAGTATGTTATATCCATTAGTATCTCCCTACCCCCTCTTAAGGTGACAATGATCACTTTACTGTAATTTTCATCATTTCCAGTTTAACAAGAATCTTATTTTTTTCTCTACACAGTTATCTATGGAGGAACTTTCTTTCTAAATTTATGTTTTTGCACCTTTATTTTTTCACCCTTCAAACTGTATATTTCTCATTTTAGAATCCTTGTCATATAATAGAATGTGCACCCAGCAACTTGAAATGCTTTTATCTTATCCAGAGTTGAACTTAAAGCTACAACTTGATCTCAGAATATTAGCAAGTTTCATTGTGTTGATACCCTTCCATTCCTTCCTTGAACTTAGTCTTATGTTTGGGTTCATAAACTATATACACCCTGTATATATGTCTCTTAGGTATTGCAAGTGTGCCATGTTGTAGGTATCTGGCACTATAACGATGGTGGAATCTTCCTAACACTATTTTGGAACCTTTGTGGATTGGTACGGGGGGATTGATTTGGGAATATATACTTGCAGTGAAACCAAAGATGATCCTAAGAATGGAACAGAAGAGACAGAGGAAGCAGCTGATGATGCAGAAAACACAGAAGCAATGGATACCACCGAGAATGATGAAGACAAGGATATGAAAGCTAAAAAGGTATGTTTTTTATTTTATTTTTAACCTCAATATTTTGGTATTTTAAGTACCTGTACTGTATATGCTAGTTTTATCACATTTTAATTAGTTAGAAAGAACTATCAATCAGTGAGATAGCTTCTTAGTACTGAAAGCATTATATGTGATACCTGCTGAGCCCTGGTGCGCTCTTATTTACTGTATCAGCTTTTAATTGTTCCTTTGTGGCCTAAATTACTTGAATTCAACTTGAGATTGTGTCTGTAGATATTGAACCTATTGTCTGAATGTAAAATATACTTTTCATAGGGGTTTTATAATTCATTTATATTTTTGTGAGTCTCAACAAGGATAAAACACCATTGTAACTGTATTACAAATGACCTTTCTTGTATGAAGGGTGTTTCCTTGATCTTGGCACCCATCCTGTTGTAGTAATTTTTGTTGTTTTATATTTTACCAGGAGGCATTTGTTCCCAGAGAGATCCTGAAGTGCCACATGTGCGATGTTGACAACTTTTATTCCATTAATGTAAGTAAACTGTCGTTGATGAGAAGTTTTAACCCTTGTGGTCCTATTACTGTATCATCCTAGGACGAGTGTAAACTTTTGCATGTAAACGTGATCGAGGTGAGTGTTTCTCTGCAATTCACTTCTGACCTTATATTTTGTACACCATAAAGGTTAAATCTTAGTTAACATGGTATCCACGATGTGCATAGTCCATTTTCACCACTCGTATCCCTCATTTATCATTACACTTCACTATATTAAAACAAGACAAAAATAATGAGTTGTCTATGAATACTAGTCTGGGTTTTAGATACAAGGATCAAAACATTGTGTTGTGTGGAACTAGCAAGACTTTGATGTATACTTTCATGCCTTTAATTTGCCGTACATTCATGTTTTAACTCGTTACTTTTGTCAGGAGACTTCTTTCATCTTGTCAGTTCTTTGATGTATTTTTTTTTTTTTTAGTACAGTACCATACATTTTATATGAGTGTTGGTTACCAGATTCAAGCAGCAAATTGTTCCTTTAATTAGTATACCTCTGCAACAACTCACTCCTTCAGTGAGCTATTCCTATAGAGGATGGCCATGACAGAAGAGCCTTGGGGGGAGGGAGAAGCTGTCACTGCTTGTCTTCTCTACCTTTTCAGTTCACCTTCCCCTTTACTTGTTATGGCCCCCTAAAAATTCTGTTGATAGTAAATACGGTCAGCAATCATTAGTTATTGGCCAAGAGACATCTTTGTCGGGATATTGAAAGGTAGTACAGTATTAGGGATGATAACAGTGTCGAGCAGTATTTCCCTTCTAGTTCTTCTCTCCTTTGTTCCAATTTATTTTGGATTCTAAACCTGTCATTCTCAATTATAGTTTTTGAAATGCCAGATAGTAGCCTAATTCTGCCTTTGTTCCTTTTGATTATCACAAGACACCGAATTATATTCCTCGCTGTATAACCTTAAAATTATAAAACTTGAACACCTGTGGAAGGGTTAAGTGTGACATTCTCGGTGGAGAACTACATTATTCTGTCAATTCTGACTAATAATGGTGATATTTTCTTTACAGTGTTACCAAAAACATCTGGATTCAAAGGCTCACAAGACCACAGCTAATGCATACCATGAGCAGGGAGCATCTATCCTGGAAGTGTTGAGAGCTGAGGCAAAGGTAATTTTTCATGTGAATATATTTTGATATCATATATTTATTAATTCCTTTTGCTCTTACAACACCTATCAGAATTAGAAGTTTTTAGATATTGAGTTTGCCTATACTGTATAATGCAGTAGTATTTTCTTAGTACCCTTCATCTTCCAGATGAATAATGCTGCTTTTTTCTAACAGTTGGCTTGTCAGCGACAAATTCTGAAGGCCTGGAAGAATGGAGCAAGAGGGAACCTCATGACATGTGGCAAGTGTCAATGTAAAATTGCTGGAAGTCTCCAGGATCATAACAAGAGTGTAGTGCACAGTCTCGTGGCACAGTACCTGAAGGTTAAGTGCTGTGGTCATGCTTACACCATCAGAGGAGCTCTTGAGGAACACCGCCTCTCACTTCTCCACTTTAAGTGGCAGATGGAGATGGAGCAGGAAATGAAAGAGAGAGAAGAGAAGAAGATGGAGGTAGAGGGAGTTAGTACTGAAGAAGATGCATTGCAGATGTTCTATGATGCTGTGGAGAAGTATAAGGCCAATAATTGTGAGGAAGAAGTGACTTCAGACACGATACCTCCTTATGACCCTGCTGTTCCTGTCGGTGAGTTGAACTTTGAGAGTTTTTTGGCCATTTTTTTTCTTCATGGTCTTCCCCTCAGAATTTTTTCATCCTATGTGCATCTATTTTATAATTCCATTTCTGTATTTGGATATTTATACAGTACTAATCTTGAATGTTTATTGAACACCAATGATTCCCTAAAGGGTCTATGTAATGGTGCAGTCATAAATCCATTGAGGAATGGGAAAATCAAGTTGGGTCTCATGCTCCACAGACTATCCATTACTACATTACTGCAATTCTTTTATCGTTATGTGCTATATTACACCTAATATAGTTTGTAACCTTGTTCGACTAACATGTATCATGAAACAAGATTTTAACTTTGAAAACAATTAATTAGCAAGTTTTTAATATCTTCCATTACAAAGGCTCTTATTGTTGAATTCATCACTGGCTACTGCTGTGGGTCAAGCATACTGTACTTGGGTAATTGGATGCCTGTTGTCCTAAAGTAAACTACATTCATTATCTCTTCATCTTGGTTTTCTTAATCTGATTTTTTTTTATTTCAATTTACAGGACTGCACATGATTGGGACAAAATCTCATTACCGTTGTAAAGTTTGCCCAGGTCCAAGGTTTAGAATGGTGGATGAACAACAAGTGAGAACTCACTTCCGTTCTATTGTTCATTACCAAAATTTGTTTGCTCACGTCACAAAAACGCAGGTTAGTTTATTTTCTTGTTTTTGTTGCATAAATTAAATTTTTACTTGGGTGGGGGAATCTAGGTTGTGTTAATTGACATCAAAAATCCTGGAAGCTATCTTGGGGTCTTTGAACACTGCAGAACTTATTTGTTGCAGCATTTGCTTATTTCTGGTCACCCTCATAAAAAGAAAATCAAGGGATGTTATTACTTGTCCAAGGAAAAACTGCTGAAGTAAAAGGACTAATCTCTTTTGATGATTCTTGTCATTTTGCCCAAGTTGCATCCCTGTTATCATTCAAACCTAACACTTTTTCCAGAACAAGTGTTTGGTTAGTTTTATTGTTTCATATTATATTAGGTTAGTGTTGGGGTTTCAGTACATTAATGAGGAGGGGTCTCTATTTTATGAATAATCCCATGGAATATAGCTTTTGCTTGACTAAAATGTTTTATTTTTATAGGAATTGAAAAATATTGAAAGGAGGAAAAAGGAGGATGAAAAGAAGAAACAGCAAGCGGAAGAAAAAAAGACAGGAGAAAAACAGGCAGGAGAAAAACAGGCAGAAGAAGAAAAACAGACAGAAGAAGAAAAACAAGCAGAAGAAGAAAAACAAGCAGAAGAAGAAAATCAGGCAGAAGAAGAAAATCAGGCAGAAGAAGAAAATCAGGCAGAAGAAGAAAAGGCAGAAGATGAAGATCAGGCAGAAGATGAAGATCAGGCAGATGAAGAAGAAGAACAGACAGAGGAAGACAAAAAGACAAAGGAGGAAGAAGCAGCAGCAGTGAAGGATAACAACGATAGTATGGAAGGACAAGAAAACATCGAGGACATGGAAACTGTGGATGAAGCTACAGAAGATACAGAGTTGGACACAAGCACTGAAGTCGACGCAGTTGCAGACCAGAGCGACAAGGAAACGAAGCCACAAGAGAAGGTTGACGACGTTGATATGGTGATTACTGGTTTAAAGCTTGTGTATATTATGGTCTGGCTTCACAGTTAAGGGATTTTAACTACTCGGGCTTATATGTCTACTACTTTCATTAATCCTTTCTTTGATCCATTGGTGGGTGCATGGGTTATTCCTCCTCGCTTCCCTACAGTGTCAAGAAACAACCAATTGGAGTGCAACAACAGGTGGAAAACAAAATACAAGTTAATTTACTGGGTTATTGGAGTGTAAATGATGTTTTGTTGTCTGGGGGTGAATCTTGGGGGTAGCCAGGCAGTAATATGTTGTAGATTAATAGGTGTTAATGGAGTTTTATCATTAATTACCTTACATTATTTAGATAAAGTTCTGTTAGATAATTTTAAACAAAATAAGACCTATTTTATTCATGGTGTGGCCTTTTCACTACTCTTACCAGATGGAGAGATATGAACGTGACATTACAATGCCCATTTGGTTGTAATCGTTTTGAATCATTATACAAAGTTCTAAAAAAAATCATGCTTATCTATTTACAGGACGAGATAAAATCTGTGTTAGAGGAAGTGGGAGAAGCCTTTGGTGTTGAGGAAGAGGAGGCATGTGAAGTGAACAATGCAAAAGATAATGCTGTTGGTGAAGAAGGGTCTAAACAGATATTGAAAGAGAAAAAAGTGTAAGTTGATATTGGTTAAGATTATTTGCATTGACATACTGTACTAGATATTGAGATAAGTGTGACAAGTGTTCATCTTTCTCTTATGTTATGAAACTGAAAGAAAAGTGATGAAACCAATCCTTATTTCCCATTCTCACTTGGGGTAAATTTCATTTTGATTAACGAACTGGGTTCACAATTTAAAAATTCTGAGTAATTAGTGTTAATTAATGATCTTTGAAATAATTAAAGATATTTAAAAAGTAAAAAATTTTGTACCTTTAAGTTTAAAATCACCTTTATATAAATTTTCTTAAAATGTAGATTATCTTTAATATAGAAACACATTAGTTTTCGCTTTCCCCCAAAATATCAATTTACGTAAAAAATGCGCTTTACCTATTACATACCTTAGTTTTCGGCACTTGGGGTAAAAAAAATTATTTTGTTTAAATTTCATACAAAGGTGCTACTTTACATGATGATTAAGGATCTGGGTTAACAATTTAAAAACTTGAGTAATTCGTGTTAATTAATGACCTTTGAAATAATTTGATAATTAAAAACTATTACGCTGTGCCCGTAAATTTTAAATATAGTACTGTATAGACTCAGGGTGTCTACTGGTCTGAAAAACCTGGAATAGGCATGAAATTTTATTAGAGGCAGGACAGGCCAAGAAATTTTGCAAATAAACCTGGAATTTTGTGTGAAATTGGTTAAGCCTTAAAATATTATTGTTTTAACAGCAGTCTTGCCATAAATTAATGATGTAATGTATATATAATAAGTAAATAATTAAACTTTTAGGAACAAATACCAGTAAATAGTCCATTCCAATAACTGAATTGTTTGTGTACCTGTCATATTTCATGTTAGTGATCAAATAACCAAATATTACAGGTTATACCTACTGACTCTACAATCAGTATTGTCCGAGATGCATCGTTCTTCTATTTAAGTGGATTAATCCACATATTAATCATGAATCGTATAGGTGGATTAAGAGTGTGATTTTTCGGTTTTTGCCGGATTTCCGGCTTTTTGGGAATGTCAAGGTCGACCCACGAGAATCGCACAAATCCAAGGAGAAAGGTATGAAGGGGTCTAGGTTTTTGTCGATGTTCATTACTAGGCTGGGATGGGCTGCAAAAGGTTCTTCAATTTCTTGATTATTATCATTTATACCTTCTTTAAATTTTCCAATAATATATACTTATTATCGAAAACCTCTAATTTTGTTTTTCTGCTGTAATAAATACCGAATTAATGTACGTACTGGGAATTTTCAAATTTACACCTGGAAAGGCCAGGAAATATTGTTTTGTCTGGCCAGTAGACACCCTGTGTACTGTACACTCTGAACAAAATCTTCTCGAACACCTGGGCACAATGGATGTAAGAATGAACAGAATGGGGCTTGTCATCTTGAAATGGTTTCAGATTCTTCATTCATATTTCAGATTGCGAAGTGCTTATAGCATTCTAGAAGTTTTTGGTGAGTGTACGTATTGTGGGAATGGAAAATAAAGGTGCATCGGTAGTCCTATTAAAACATTACTTTTTTATTCCTTAGTGTTGCTGAAGAGAAACCAGCTGTAAAACAAGAAAGTCCTAAGGAAATAATTAAAGTTGAGCAAGAGGTGAAGGTTGCTGAAGTGGGAACTCCAACTCGTGGACGACGAGGGAGGGGAAGAGGACGGGGGCGATCCCCTCGGAACTAGTTCCTTTGAAAATAGTAAGATGTGCAACTGTCTGGAAAGGTGTGCCTGAAGCTGGTAATTGGTTTTCACAAATGAGGAATTGTTGGTAAAGGTCTCCTTTATGTTGCATAACATGACTACCTTGCAATGGTAACATTTACTCTCGTCATTAATGTGATTAAAGGATACAAGTTTTGAACATGTGCAGTTGGTGGAAAATGTGTGTGAACCAGTGTTAGTATGTGTGTTCACATATGTGCATAACATGTTTAATGATGCAAAGGAACATAATACTATCTGTATTTTATATGATTATCTAGATAGTGTAGCATTTGTCCAATTAGACACACTACCAAATAGTTTTGGATGATTTCACATGTTTATATAGTTATTTTATTTCAATATCCATTGCAGTTATTTTGTGTGTGTGCCCGCCCCCATGAGTGGGCACTGAAAATCGCTTCTTCTTTTTTAATATGTAGTTCCATAATTATTTTTTGTGAGTATGCATGAGACCATTAAGAGTGAAAGGTTCAACTTATCCTTAGTAGCGACAGCTTATGACGTGTCAGTTAAGCCACTTAAATAAATTAAATACTACTATTGGTGTACTGAAAATATTTGTTTCAAAGTTTGACAGGAATTTGGATTAATGTGAATTAGCATGTGGTTAAGTACCCACTATGCAGAATTCTAAAAATTTGTACGCTTACAGATGCCAGACCATGGCTGATTTGAGTTGTGGAAAAGGGTGTATTCTTCAACTTTAACACAATGAGGCTAGTGAACTTGAGAATAAGTAATTATGTGAGAATTACCAATATTTGTTAATGAGCATAAGCTCAAGGTGGGTTAAGCACTTTCCAATAGCATATTGTCTGATAGTTATATAAATTTTGTAAGTATTTGTAGCTGAACCGTAGTCTTTGGTACCACAGGAAAAATATTAATGCATTGTTGATCTTTATGTGCCTGAAAATCAGATTTAATTTGCCTTTGTCAATTAAAATGAATATATAAATTGTTTTTTACTACCCTGCCAATTAAAGTTAGTGTAATGAGAGATTACTTCCAGCTTACAGTAATTGCATTTTCATGGTTTTATTCTTGGAACAACAACTTTACTACAGTAATTCATTCACGTAGCATATAACAATTACCTAATGCAATGAATGTACTGTGTTAGTTAAGTACATAATTTAAGTACTGCTCTGCATTCTGTACAAGTCACTGCACTGACTGCTACCATGTTAAATTTAGTGATTCTGGATTAAAGATTGTACAATCTAAGACTGCTTGTTCATGTTCTTTGAGCAAAATTTTATTTGTAATGCCCAAGCAAGGATTGTTTTTACTTATTTTTAGATATTTTTATTTTAAATATTTCACCATAGCACAGTTTTATGTATTTCACAAATGGCATATTGCTTTAGTAAATAATAATAATTAACGGTTTATTGAAAAAATTCTGCAGCCCGAAGGCTGAAAATAAACATTGGACATAAATGACTTATTACATACATTGGTGGTTTAACAAAAGCCTTCATTAGAGAAAGGTAAAGGAAAATACAGTGAACATGCAGATTAATGTAGGTGTTGAACAGCAAACTCGTAGTGTAGTAACTCCCTCCAAGATGGTGTTAGGAGGAACTCACGTGGTGTAGTAGTTCCCTCAGATGGTGTTATGAGGGACCTGGCGTGGTGCAGTAATTCCCTCGCAGATGGTGTTATGAGGGACCTCACGTGGTGTAGTAATTCCCTCACGTATGGTGTTCTGAGGGACATGTGGTGTAGTAATTCCCTCACAGATGGTGTTATATGAGTGAGGTTTGGTCTTAGGCCTTCCTATCGTAGACGGATTGACACACCGCTGGTTATTGTTGGGTCTCACGGGCCGTTATCACTGGGTACCTGGGACCTCACTGTGTGAAGGTTAACTTGGGTACGACTGTTACTGTTGAGTTGTTCTCACTGACTTAAGCACTGTTCACCTCTGTTTAACACTGGTTCCATTCCTTTCCGAAATGAAATTGTAACTTCTGGCGAGAACTTGTTGATATTCTGGTGGGGAGGAGGGTTCAGGGGAGGGGGTTGGTATGGGCCAACTTAACAGTTGACCTGGCTGCTCTGAGAGGAGTGCCAGGTGCGTCTTGACCCTTCGGTGGTCAAGGATTATACTCGCACATGACCAGTAACACTTAAACTAACCATCCAGCAATAATTTAATAATAATAATAATTAATGGTTTATTGAAAGAGCTTGGCAGCCAGAAGGCTGAAAATATACAGTTAAATAATTGGGGAATGGGTTTCGAATTACAAATAATATACAAATAACATAAGTGATATAAATAAGATATATAATAACTAGATGGGGAAAAGCTCAAACTACAGGGCATTTCAACATGGTGACAGTGCAAGAAGTAGTATTTACTGGGAGTGAATACACTGGTTTATTAAAAGTTATTGATAATTTTTACAATGATTGGGACTGGGCTGTTCTTATAGCGATCAGTTCGTGCACGTATGGGCTGGATGCGGTTGTGGTGTCGAACAGCAATTCTCGGGCTAGGGTTCTCAGGTGGTAGTAGGAGCCGGTGTCGAGGATGGTGCAGAAGCTTCTTACCAAATTTGCAGATGAGGTCGTGGTGATGGTCAGTGAGAGTCGAAAGGGTCAGTGTGTTGAACGCTTCTTGATATGTGGAGTAGGAAGGGGAGAGAATAATCTTGCATGCCCTCTTTTGCACTTTTTCTAGGTGTTTACGTTGTGTGGCATTTAGGGAGGAAGACCAGCTTGGGAAGTATGAATGTTGAGTAAACACAGGAGCTCGGGTGCAGGAACTCCGAGGGACTTGAGTCGGTGGAGGAGGTGGAGACCGAAACTGGAGGATTTGACAACTTCACTGACGTGTGGTTTCCAATTTAGTTTGTCGTCTATGGTGACGCCGAGGAGCTTCGTGGACTCTACAACCTAGAGTGTGTTCGGACCTAAATTAATGGAAGGGGGTGGGACAATGTCAAAGGAGAGGTTGATGTGCATAACCATGGTCTTGGTATGGTTGATGGTGACGTGGTTGTTGGTGGCCCAGTTTTGGAGACTGTTCAATAAATCTTGAAGGGCGGTATAGTCAGGAGCAGAATTGTTGACGCTGATCCCAATGGTGGAGTCGTCGACATATTTCCAGCGAGCGGGGTTTTCTCTTAGGGCATCATTGATAAGCATAAGGAAGCAGAGTGGTCCCATCTTGGTGCCTTGGGGGACGCCACAGGTGAGTGACTGAAAGGTGGAGACAGCCCCTTGGAAGCGTCAACAGCTTTGCTGATTATATTGTGGTCGACTAGGTCGAATGCTTTAGTGAAATCAATGAAGGCGACAGCTACAGACGTTTTTCGTTTCTCGAGATGGCTGTATATGTAATCGAGAAAGCTGACAAGACAATGAGTGGTGGAGGAAGTTTTCATATTGCCAAATTGCTGAGGGTCTACGATTCCTGCAATATCAGCATAAGCCCAGTCGAACACAAAACTTTCACAGATTAGGCTGGGTATTGGGGTGATTGCAATAGGTCGTAGCTGATTTAAGGATTGTGAGCTGGTTGACTTGGGCACTGGTGAGACATAAGAGGTCTTCCAGTCAGCTGGGCATCTGGCTTGAGAGAAGCATTGATGATGGAGCATAGGGGTTTAGCAAGCTCCGGGGAGAACTCCTTGAAGAGTTTCATTGGTAAGTCAATGGGGGTGGTAGAGCGTTTTAATTTTAGTTTGTCCAGACGTTTTGCTACTTCAAATTCTTCTACTACGTCAGTGGGAAGGGGGGCTGGTAGGTAAGCAGGGAGAGTGGTTGTGTGAAGCCGGGGGAGCGTCTGGCATATAGTAGCGAAATGGTTATTTGATTGCTCAGCTGCATCAACATTAGTGAGATGGCTAGGGAAGGGGAGGGGGTGTGTCTTATTGTTTAGTCCACAGAGTTCTTTAAGCTTACCATACCATTGACTGATGTTGGTCTGCTTCAGGTGTTGTAATTTGGTTGGGTAGTGGGACTTCTTTGCAGTGTGTATTTCGCGGATGACTCGGTTGCAAAGGGACCTGTAGCGGATGTGGTCATTTAGATGAAAGGCTCTGTCTCTCTGTTGCATAAGTAATTGATAGAAGTTTATGAACAAGTGCTCTTATAAAGATAAAAAAATACCTGTACTCACTCTGGATCATCACTCATAAGAAACTACCACAAATAACATGGAAGAGCAGAGATGTGGACATTGTGGTGAGTGTAATGTTTTATACTCTCTCTTTTTTTCTTTTTTCTTTTTTTTTTACGGGGACCAGCCCACCCGGACACAGGTCACTGATCCACATCGGGGCCCGGGGGGCGAAAATGTAATAACAATAATAATAATAATAATAAATAATAGTCATAATAATTCATAATAAATAAAATTTATAATAAAACAAACAAAATAAAATAATAAAATAATGATGATAATAATACAGTAACTGTAATAATAATAATAATAATATTAATAATAAAGAACTATAAATACACAAATGAAAAAAAAAGATCAAAAGTGAGAAACGATATGCATGGGTGGTTGGTGGTGGATGGTTGGTAGTGTGGATGGTTGATGGTGTGGATGGTTGGTAATATGGATGGTTGATAGGTGTGGATGGTTGGTAATGTGGATGGTTGATAGGTGTGGATGGTTGGTAGTATGGATGGTTGATGGTGTGGATGGTTGGTAGCGTGGATGGTTGGTAGTGTGGATGGTTGGTAGCGTGGATGGTTGATGGTGTGGATGGGTAGTGCGTGGATGGTTGGTAGTGGATGGTTGATGGTGTGGATGGTTGGTAGTATGGATGGTTGATGGTGTGGATGGTTGATGGTGTGGATGGGTAGTAGCGTGATGGTTGATGGTGTGGTTGGTAGCGTGGATGGTTGGTAGTGGATGGTTGATGGTGTGGATGGTTGGTAGGATGGTGATGGATGGTTGGTATGGATGGTGGATGGTGGTGATGGTTGGTAGTGATGGTTGATGGTGTGGATGGTTGGTAGTGGGATGGATGGTGATGGTTGGTAGGGATGGTTGGTGTGGATGGTTGATGGTGTGGATGGTTGGTGTGGGATGGTTGATGGTGTGGATGGTTGCGTGGATGGTTGATGGTGTGGATGGTTGGTAGTGTGGATGGTTGATGGTGGGATGGTTGGTAGTATGGATGGTTGATGGTGTGGAGGTATGGTTGATGGTGGATGGTTGATGGTGTGGATGGTTGGTGGATGGTTGATGGTGATGGTTGGTAGTGTGGATGGTTGATGGTGTGGATGGTTGGTAGCTTGGTAAATGGTTGATATGAGTATGGATGGTTGATGGTGTGGATGGTGGTAGCTTAAATGGTTGATAGAGTGGACGGATGGTTAATCGTGTGTATGAAATATTCGAGTACCAATATATTAATAAATTAGTAAGAAATATATAAAAAGACAAAATTCACTATAATTGAAAAAGAATATTATGCACTATTAAGATAATGAGCGTTGATAATTGTGAATTTATGAATACATGTGATTAGAAATAAATACAATAATATTAATATTTTATATGTTAACCTTGGTGTAGGATTATATATTTATTCATTTATTATACTGTAGGAGTTTTTCGTCAATAAATTCATAATTAATGAAACAAAACCAAGTCACATAAGTTGGCTGATTTGGGCTGGGTTTTTTTTTTTTTTTTTTGGAGGTAAGAAATGACTGTTGTGGATTTGTGTCATTTTTTCGAGGTAAAATATAACTCTTGATGTCGAAGTCACTATTTGTGAGAGAACATTATCGGTGTTCCATCCAGGCGCGTTTTACCCCTATAACTAAGATATCGGGAGTAGAAAATCAGAAAACTAATAGAGCAGTTGTGAGATAATGGAGGATTTTGTTTTATTTAATTATAACTTCAAGCAAAAACAAGACGATTTGCTCCTATGACACTTTTGGTGCATTTGACCTCTAACAGATATCGGGAATTGAAAAGTAGAAACGCTATTATTGAATTTGTTGCCACCAACCGAATTTTCGTGATTTTTTTCTTTGCAAATAATAGTTTAGACAATTCTAAGACACTTTTCTTCTATGACGTTTCCTTCATAACAAAACTAGAACCGAGATATTCAATATTCCTGGTAGGAAGTTAGGTAAGGTTAGGTAGTTTTGATTACGAATTAATTAGTAGCACAGTACGTGGTTGATAGCACCAATCACACCTACCTAGCCTTACGTAACTTCATTACTGTATATATAGATTGCAATGGTCAAGGATTTTTTTTTATGGAGTATAGCCCACCCAGACTGTGAATAAATGCATATTCATATTATTGTCATAACTTTACAGGAAAGTCCATCAGTTCGAAGGCACAAATTATTATCAAACAAGGGGCAGACTGTACAGTACTGTGGACGAGATGACCTCACCTGGTGGACAGCTGACTAATACCAACCAGTACTTTAGTGTACTGTCCCATATGACTCAGCAGCAGGTGAGTGTTATTACTCTTAAGTCTTTCACTGGATGTTTTCTCACTTAAGCTGTAAAATAATAAATCCTATTTGACCCATAATATCAGCTATAAAACTCTTAACTAACAAAAACTACCATAAAACCTGATATTATTTTTTCACATGGTAAACATTTGGTTCATTTGGATGAACTTTGGGAAATATTTTGATAACATGGCAGTTCTGAGGTGTACTGGTATGATGAATTTATGTGTGTGCCCATGGTTCAGGTCAGTGGTTGTATGGGCCAGCATCAGTTTACTGTCTGTTCCCTCCCTGTGTACATTTTGCTTAAATCTTTGTCAGTGATATTCTTTTACTGATGATCTAGATCATCATTTCATGGTAGGTATGTATCAGTAGTTGTGTTGGTTCAAGGTCCCATGGGGGAAGTAAGTAAGCATAAGAGTACAGTATGGTACTGGAGAAAAGCTGGGAAACACTGAGCATTCTTAGCAAACTGAAAGTACTCAGATATTGCAGCAGGCATAGAGTCTGAAGACCCGAAGCTCATAGCATAACTTTCTTAACACTCTGGAATGTACACTATAAGGGCCAGGGCTCTTAGAAATCTTTTACTTTGATAATTTGTTTCTATATTATACTGCCAGACTGGGGTCACTAATTCTAAGGGGAAAACTTAACTGTAGTCTTAATTTTAAGGGTTGCTGCCACCAGACCCCCTCTGGGCAGCATGTAGCTCGTTAGGTAGCGGGCAGAGTGGACTAGGCATTGGGTTAGCTTTTTCATTGACCAGATCGATAAGGGGAAAGAAAGGTGAAACCATAACATGTCTTAATTAATTTATTCCTTATAAAACATACTGGTAAAAAAAACATACAAGTGAGTTGGCCTTCCTCAGAAGAACAACGAAGATGTTGGTTACCCTGCTCGGCCCCAGACGTCTTACATTAATTGTGTGTCATCCTCATACTTATTGCATAACAATCCGTGACCACCTTACCTCGGTCATTCCTTCTTACACTACCCCTCAACACGTCAGACTGCTCCACCTGTATGGAATATAGCACCGTAGGTTATCATACATAGTAGCACCATCTCACCTCCCTGTAGCACCTTCTCAACACACCTGTTACACTCCACACCTGCAAGTATGGGACTCCTTGTAATTTCTAGGTATACATATCAGGCACCGCGTTCGCACACCGCCCTCGGTGGGTAGAGGGCTACACCAAGAGACATACCAGTACTATTTCTACGCCTGGTATTATAGGTCGCTCCAGGTGACGACCGCGGAGTTTCTTAAGCGTTTTCTTGTTTGTCCTACTCCTTTGGGGTGGCGTGCTGGGAATCCACAGGTTCACAGTGAATTGGCATGACCACTGGTGTGGCCTTCACAGTGTGGTCATGGCTGACGCCCGGTAGGCGCTCAGAATGCGTCGTCCTGTGTTGAGAGAAGTCGAGGCATCACTCAGAATACTGCCGGAGGGGCTTTCGTCACCACACATTAATACACTATGACTTCACTTTATGACATCAGGTAAGGTTTTAAGATGTTAAAACTGCTAGATAAGTCTTTTTAGGGCTGAATAAAGCATGATGAAGGACACTGACCTGTGTTGGGAGAAGTCGAGGCATCACTGAGGGTGATGTCCCGACTCCCACAATCCTCTCTGTTTAGGCCTACAGTTTCCAATCTTCAATTTTCACTTTGGATTCTTATGGTTCCCATATCTCCATTTTCCTATCTATTGTGACCTCATGCTTTATAAATACATATCTTAATCCTAAATTACACACTAAGGTAAGGGTCTGGTTTGCTAGCTCCTGGGTAAATTCATTGGGTTATAATATCAACGCGGCACACCCGAGGCGGCCTAGGCGCTTTTGAAGCATAGTTTCTAGATCACTTCCAACACTTCACATAGTTCTGATTCCTTTATCCTTTTTCCAGATCATTGTTCTCATGTATTTTCATATGATATCTGTGGAAGTTATGTTCGCTACACGTTCACAGACGTAAATAGTATGACCTTCAAACCATGATCCACACTTAGTCCTACAGTACACTAGTCCGGCTCAACTGGACTTTCCCAATCATCTTCTGGATACCCTGAGTTCTCCTTAATGCTATGAATACATACAATTAACATAATATAACCGTACCTGGGTACAATACAACACATGATTTAGTAACATTGAGTAGGTGAGTTTGTGGGGATGAGATTGTTTGGTTCACACTCAGGATGGAATGGAGAAAGGAAACTCACAATGTGCTCTCTATATACATGTTGTATTGGATGTACAATGCAGCTTGGTGCTGGGAAGGCAGCATGGTTACAAGCTTGATGTAGAGAGAGCTGGTTGGTGAGGATGCTCAGAGGAGGACCAGCCTGTGGGTCGCCATGCTCGCCGGCGGGAGCGAGGGCCGCCAGGCAGTGGCGGAGGAGGAGGAGGTGTTGCTGGCTGGTTGGTGTAGGTAGAAAGAGAGAGGTCACCACGAGGTCAGGTCTTAAATAGTGGGGGGTAGGCGTGGCTTAGTAGTTGATCCCCGCTCCGTGATGTATGGCGTCGCTGGTTGACCTAAACCACGAGGCACACACTGGAATTCGTGGGGTCGGCTACGCAGCGACAAACAGCGTTTGTAGGGGAGAAATCCACTACAATACTCCCCCTTCCCTCCAGGCGGTGTAGGAGACTTGTTGTCTGCAGGGTTGCATAGCACATGTGAGGCAGAACGGGCGGTGCGTGCCTCATGTGAGACAACGGCGATGGCGTGGATGAGCCGGTCGCTGGGGACAACTGTCTAGATACACAATATCTGTGAGAGTAAAGAGGGAGAAAAAGGGTGTGTGGAGGCGATGAATTTTGTTCTTCCCTCACGGCAGGTACAGAGTCGTCAGATGCGCCTGCTGGGGTGTGTGGACCTGGGTCAGGAGCAGGGGCTGCGTCAGCAGAAGCGGATGAGGGCTTGCGACAGCAGTTGGGTCCACGACAGCAGCAGGGTGCAGGACATTAGCAGGGAGTACTTGAGGGAGAAAAGAGGAGTGTGTGGGTCCGCACTCAGGAACAGGGGCCGCGCCAGGGGCGGCAGGGGTTACTGCTGGGCCGGGGTCGGCGTCTGAGGCAGGACGGGTGTGCTGGGGTCGGATGAGGAGCGACTGTCTGCTTAGAGTAGCAGAGCTGCTCTAGGGTGTCTAACCTGCGGTGTAGAGACAGTAGCTGTAGAGCCGATGAGAGCTGCTTCTGGGTGAATAAGCCAGTCTTCCATGTTGCTTGAAGACTGGGAACGTGATCTGTTTCTCCTCCATCCTGTATTAGTGCGAATCTCCGGGAGTCACCGTTGTGGGGATGAGATTGTTTGGTTCACACTCAGGATGGAATGGAGAAAGGAAACTCACAATGTGCTCTCTAAATACATGTTGTATTGGATGTACAATGCAGCTTGGTGCTGGGAAGGCAGCATGGTTACAGGCGTGATGTAGACAGAGCTGGTTGGTGAGGATGCTCAGAGGAGGACCAGCCTGTGGGTCGCCATGCTCGCCGGCGGGAGCGAGGGCCGCCAGGCAGCGGCGGAGGAGGAGGAGGAGGTGTTGATGGCTGGTTGGTGTAGGTAGAAAGAGAGAGGTCACCACGAGGTCAGGTCTTAAATAGCGGGGGTAGGCGTGGCTTAGTAGTTGACCCCCGCTCCGTGATGTATGGCGGCGCTGGTTGACCTAGACCACGAGGCACACACTGTGGAATTCGTGGGGTCGGCTACGCAGCGACAAACAGCGTTTGTAGGGGAGAAATCCACTACAAGTTATCCTTTATCAATGTTTCCCGTTTTCTGAGATTCTACAAGCGCGGTGGATTTGAATGTTATGTAGCGTAATATGAATTAACGAGGGTTTTTAGGAATGACAATGATGTGCGCAGTACAATATGCTCTTCTGAGAACTCAATGTGACTTACATTAGTCTCCATATGATCTCCCCTTGCCCACAAAAAGTGACAGAAAGGTTGTGGTAAGAGGTTGTGTTTATGCCAAATAAAGGTAATTAATAAAGATGTTTAATTTTTAAGAATATTAGACATTTTGAGATCAGTAATTGCTTCATGACAAGAACTAGGGCAGCTGTGAAAAGAAATTGACGGTACAGTACTTGTATTTTTATTTTGTAGGAACGACTCGACTGTCTGAGAACTGTAATAGATGCCACTTTAGACACAAACCATCAGATGCAGCCACAGGTAAGTACAGCATTATGTGTGTGTACTGTACAGATAATTTTAGTGGTATAGTTAGTCATCTTAGTACAGTACAGTACAGTACATGTTTTTCAAGGTCAATATCATTACATAATTCCTGTTAACAAGAGACTATTACAGGTCCTTTGGTAATGCTAACTTATTCCGTATTGATGATTTAACTGTTTCAAACAAAAATTTAACTTTAAAAGAAATTTGGTGTCACATTGAGTTTAGCGATAAAAATAAATGATTGTCAAACTGTGTATATTGGGTACTGTATCATGTGTCCATTTTGGTACAATATAAATGAACATCATCATACTGTATTATCACAGATGGAGAAAGATTTGCATAAATACAGAACAGTACATGATGTTTATTGGTAGCACTTTACTTGTTGAACAGGTGTTTGATGTAGAGGAAGTCGACTACAGGTACACGGGCAGAGCACCACCCATGGCTCTCAATAAGATCCACACCCAGATACAGGCAATAGCAACAGAAAAGGATCATTTGATCAAAGAACTACAGGAGATTAATAATGAGATAGCCATTGAAGAGGTAACTGACTTTTTTCTGTTCCATTTCCCATTGTAAATAGGAAAGTGTCATGTGATGAAGAGGGGATTACATTTCTATCTTTAGTCATAAAAATTCAAGTGTTTGTTCAGGAGGTCAATTGAACCCACAGGGTACCGCGGAAAGTGAAATCCGCGTAAAGTGAACAACAGAACATATGGGATTAATTCAAATAGAGACTGGCCCGACCCCCAAACTCCACTTTTTGACGACACAAAACTATGTTGTAAGAAAAATATTATCTTAACTTTATGATGGTATGCACACACAATTAATATAGAAGAAGTTAGGTTAGGAAAAATAAAGGTTAAGTTAGGAAAAATAAAGGTTAGGTTAGGAAAACTAAAGGTTAGGTTTAACACTTACGTTAGTAGAAGAGATGGGTCGGCATACGGGGATGGAGGCTGGTTCCGAGGCAGAGGGCAGATTACTGGCCCTCAGGTGAATCACCATTACTAGGAGAATCACCATCACTATCCGTCATAGTTGTCAGGGCCTCCCTGATAAATCCCTCAAGGTCACCTTCACTGTCACTATCACTGGCTCTGGCTGGCTGTGGTGGGTCGCGGGCTAAGAACTCGGTAATGCTTTATTGACGGCTAGTGTTGATGTTGTCTTGATACACCTTGATGTACAGCTCCATAGCCTGCACCAGCCGGGTATGGAAGACTTCATAGCGGTCATCGTCATGGTCGTTGGAAAGGAAGAGCTTCAATTTCTCTGCACACTCGATGGCACCCTTAATATTACTATGCGTTAACTTGTGTTCTTCTGGGATTGACGCACCACCCTCCTCTTCACTGACGTGATCATCTTCCAACATCTCGTCGGCAGTCATTTCAGGATCTCTGATCACCTCCAGGATGTCTTTGTTGGTGGTCTCGGAGAAGCCTTCAGCTGTAATACTGTGCGCAGCTTCTCTTGCAAGGTACAATGCCACTGTCACAGACTGAACCTCACCAGTCACAGGTTGACTCCGCCTCTCGCCTGGTATACCATGCAACACATGCCTCCATGCGTGACCAATCGTAGCTATAGACAGCTGATCCCATGCTTCCACCAAGAAGTCCACAGCTTGTTTGACGTTAAATTTTTTCCAAAACTGTTTGACGAGAACTTCTTGATTCACCACCTCTTGTTCCTTGTCCTCGTCCTCGTCGCTTTTGCTCTCGCTATCGGTGTCACCCAGGTTACACAACTCATCCTTGGTGTTGGTGTGAGGGTGCGTGTTTCCATCAACCCCTCTACACCACCCTCATCTTACTTACTTCTCTTATCTTAGTTCTTACTCTTACTTGGTTCTGTCACCTATTCTTTTGGTAGCATGGTCGAGGGTCAAGGCACATGGGTATTGTAATTCTGGTATCAAGTCACTTGGACGGAAATAAAGGTAAAATACTGTGGGGGAAATGAATACACCTAAAGTACTCTAAAAACAAATTTATTAATATGAAATCAAAGGGAAAAAGATATATTATTAATCATATAACTACCAGGCTCAACTCCTGGGCTTATTGCAGACTCAGTACTTTCTTCTTAACTTATTTTCTTATTTACTTATTTTCTTATTTACTTATTTTCTTATTTCTTTACTCAACAGTAATTACTCAGATCTTACATTCTTACTGCACACAACCTTACTGGTGTTACATTACATGGCATAGCAGGACCAGTTCCTTGGCCCTACTCACAATACATAGTACATGGCACTCATTGTTGATTACTTTACTCAACATACTCTTTAATAATTAAATCAGCAGATACCTGGAGTCCATTACCCAACATGGGATAATTATTTCCAACTAATTATCCCTAACATACATGTTACAACACTCTCTGTTGACATATACTTCCAAGGAGTAACCCAGGGTAGAACACTGGGGCTCACGACCGTTGTTGTGGTCGGTAGTAGCCAGACACATGGCGAGTCTGGGGTCTGGCCCAACGAGGTAGTGGAGCACATTAATCAGGCCGCATCGGTGCCATCATCTCATATATAGACCCTGCTGGGTATCTACTACATCCGGGGCTTAAATTTTTTTGCAGAGTATGCAGCTTTCACATTGCAGATCAACTCCTGGTCCATGGGTTGGATTAATGACGTAGTGTTGGGAGGAAGGAAGACCACTTTTACGTCAGGGTGACGATCCATAAGTAGTGGCGAGTGTCCTGGTGCGTTGTCAAGGAGCAACAGAATGTTGAATGGAACATTCTGTTGCTCGCAGAATTTCTTCACGTCGGGAACGAAACAGTCATCAAACCAGGAGAGTGACAGAGCAGAGAACATCCACGCCTTACGTGCGGTCAACCAGTGGACATTAATCTTGCTCATGTCCACGTTCTTGTAGGCGTGCGGCTTGCGGGCTGTGTGAATCACCGATAACTTGGGTTTACAGGTACCGGAGGCATTGGTGGTAACGAGGACGGTGATGCGCTCCTTCTGCAACTTCCGGCCCCGAATCTTGCTGGCAGACTGGACAACGAAGGTCTTGGAAGGTAGCTTTTTCCAAAAGAGACCGGATTCGTCCATGTTGAACACCTGATCGTCGGTGTACTGCCCTTCCTCCATAACCTCACGTAAGAACTGAGGAAAATCTCTAGCCGCTGCACGGTCAGCACTCGCTTCTTCACCACCAATGTTGATGTTGGTGATCTTGTTCCTCTTCTTAAACCTATGCAGCCAACCAGAGGATGCATTGAAGGGTTTGGGCTCTGCAATTCCCATCTTATGTGACACTGCTGCGTACAGTTCACGGGCGTACTCTTGAACGGATCGCGTGTCCACCGCCATGTTGCGTTGCGCCTGACGAATCAAGTACAGTAACTCACCAGCAAATTTTCAACCTTTAGCAGCACCTTGTTCTGGCAATACTTGATCATTGAAGCACCTGCAGACTTTGTGATTCTCATGTGTTCTTTGATCTTGGCTGCATCCTTCTTAATAGTACGAATCGTAGATTCGTTGACTCCATGCTGGCGCGCGAGATTAGCTTGACGTGTTCCTTTCTCCAAATCTTGAATGATCTTGTATTTCACTTCGTAGCTTAGGGAACGTCGTATCTTCTTTGGCTTAGGGCGGCTGGGTCCAGGTAAGGAAAGGTTTCTCTCTGGGGGCGGTGGTGCTTCGGAAGCCATTTTACAGAACAATGGATGCACGTATACATGGTGTGGCCTGGAGGGATGACTCTGCCGCGGCTAGGTCAAGCGTTGTCTTTCCTCCCTCCCTCCCTCCCGCGGGTGGACACGTCATATTAATTTAAACCAATCACAGCTAGCAGCGGAGGGAGGTAAGGATGCATGGCCCAATCACCGTCCGATACGTCATATGACGTCACTGATAACGCAACAGAGACATGCACTGCGCAACCTTACCGCGCGGCATTCCCAGGCGGGAGAAGGCAGGAGGGTCGAATCTAAAAATAGCGTCGAGCCAGACACTCTGCGCGTATATGGGTAAATGCACCGCGGAAAGTGAAAGTCCGGTTCTGGCGAGGTACCGCGTAAATGAGAAATCGCGGAAAGTGAAACCGCGTAAAGCGGGATAATACTGTATACTTGGAAAAACCTGCAATGTTTGGTAGGATCTCTTCATAACACTTTTCTCACATCTGACCGGAAATAAGAACACACTACCACATAGGTGAGAGGCATGCACTCTACTGCTGTACCACTAAAATCCTTTCCCCAGACTTTTTAAATACAGTACACTATTCTTCTATTCCAGATTAAAAGTGTTTATTGCCTAAAAAATATCTGGAAAATATAACCTAACATGTTTAAATGCCTGCACTTCGGCACCTCAGCTTCCCTGAGAGATTGGAGCGCCTGAACTTGCCTAGCTTATACTACAGACAGGCAAGGGGGGCCCTAGTTGAGGTGTTTAAGCATCTCAGGGGGCACTACTCAGTTGAGTGTCCTTACTTGGAGCTGGCGGACGCTCGCCCCACAAGGGGTCACAGCTCAAGATTGAAGAAGCCTCAAGTCCAGAAAACCGTGAGGGCAAACTTTTTCGGAGTGAGGGTTGTAAACTCTTGGAACAATCTACCAGAGAGTGTTGTGATGGCACCGAGTGTGAGCTCTTTCAAGACAAGACTTGACCAACACTGGAGCGGGTTCAGGTACATTCAGGAGCCGGTGCATGCCCAGTATTTGCCAACAGTGCGTGACAGAGACATGACTGATTGCCCGGGCGGCTAGCGAGCCGATCTTTTGGTGAAGAAGATAAATGAAAAGGAAAAGAAATTAGAGACATGACCAATCGCCCAAGCGGCTAACAGGCCGATCAGTGGCGGAGAGGATAAAAGTACAAAAAAAAGTAAAAGTTTATTGATGGTAAAACATACATGATTTAAAACTTAGACCCATATCATAATTGGCATTTTAAATATTCTAAATGCATTGGCATTTTTCAATAGTCACTCAAACACTTGTTTTGCCTTACCATTCTTTATACTTGAATGCTCTTGAGGTTATTTGCTCCTCTCTTCATTATATACTGTAACAATGTTGTATATGGCAGGGTGAGTGTGAGAGGCAAGAGGCTGAGATAAGGAAGACAGAGGAGGAGGTAGAAGGGGAAGAAGAACTCCGGCAGATGGTGTCACCAGGATCCAGCAAATTTGTGGGGTAGCTAATTTACTTTTACATTCCATTTGAGTTGATATATTGTACAAAGAATATGTAAAATATCATGGAATACATGGAAGCATTTCACACAGAGACAGTACTGTAACCAATGAGGTCAAGTTTTGGAATGATGTTGCCATATATGCATGAGCTATGGGCATACCTGCAGCATTTTAGGGAAGGTACTGCCATCAAAATTAGAGTTTAGTCTAGCATTGTACCATACCTTGGTGGTCTATGTCTCAAAGAGCAGTAATCATCCCCAGCCTACTTACTCGTTCTGGCCTTGTTAGCGCTTCCTCCTCTGTTGAAAGAAGGTGGAGTGTTACCTAGGTACAGGAACACCTTGGCGTAGGAATATTTAGGTTATGACAGTTCTTTATTGTGAGAACTTAGTTGTAATTTAACTAATTACTTATTTTTCACTTTTGTAGATTCTGTAAAGATGTGAAGTTGATACCGCCAGCAGAGATGGCCTGTTTAAAGCGGGAAGTGAAATTTATATTAGCTGCTCAAGAGAAGTACCTTCATTCAACCAACCTTGACATTGCCAACTGTCAGACCATCTTGCAGGAGAAACAGAGGAAGGTCAGTGTGGGAGAATGGGTCAACAATAGCCTTACACTCATGTTTGGTATTTATTTTACCTTCCCACATCTCCTAAAAATAGCTCGGTACTACTTATTATGTCTCTCCACCTTCTTCTTTATGAAAAAATAACAGAATACATATAGATGAGTTGAATATAAATGGGGTTTCAGGCATTCCCCCAACAATTTTTTTTTCATTCACAAATTTGAATCCTTTTACCAGGTATCCCAGTTGACCCATGAATTGTGGAAATTGGAGAGTATGATCAAATTGTCTCATCACAATATTCAGATGTTTGAGGACACCACTTTATCTCTTTCAAAGAAGGTTAGTCCAGATACTGTAATTTCTTTTCCAATTATCTGTGCATTAGTTATGCATATAATTGGTGAGGCAGAATACTCTTTCAAGTTGCAAAACACCAGGCAGTTTGCAGTTCTATGGAGGTACCATTTTGAAATTTGAAAATAATTTAAGAGGTTATCACTGTGCATTAATGTTCACAATTTGTTTTTTATGTGTTAAGTTGTATGACAAACAAACATGAGCTGTTAAAGAGGGTGACAAGCTTGTTTGAGTGAGCCTGCACTTCGGCACCTTAGCTACCCTGAGAGATTGGAGCGCCTGAACTTGCCTAGCTTATACTACAGACGGGCAAGGGGGGACCTAGTTGAGGTGTATAAGCATCTCAGAGGGCACTACTCAGTTGAGTGTCCTTAATTGGAGCTGGCGGACGCTCGCCCCACAGGGGTCACAGCTCAAGATTGAAGAAGCCGCAAGCCCAGAAAACTGTGAGGGCAAACTTTTTCGGAGTGAGGGTTGTAAACTCTTGGAACAATCTACCAGAGAGTGTTGTGATGGCACCGAGTGTGAGCTCTTTCAAGACAAGACTTGACCAACACTGGAGCGGGTTCAGGTACATTCAGGAGCCGGTGCATGCCCAGTATTTGCCAACAGTGCGTGACAGAGACGTGACCGATCGCCCGGGCGGCTAGCGAGCCGATATTTTGGTGAAGAAGATAAATGAAAAGGAAAAGTAATCAGAGACGTGACCGATCGCCCAAGCGGCTAACAAGCCGATCAGTGGCGAAGAGGATGAAAGTAAAAGTAAAATGAGAATGGTAAGGTGAATGAGTAATGTGACACTGAGAGACAAAAGGCACTGTTCACACCTAAGAGGACGGCTGGGTATTGAGAGTATTGGCAAAGTTCTATATAGAGGCAGGCTAAATGTGGAGGGGAGGAGAGTCGGGTGAAAAATGGCCATAAAATGATGATGGTAAATCTAGTAGAGGAAAACTGTACACCATAGAGCTCAAACTCTGTAGCAAGTTTATCCTATTACAAAGAGCTGCTTGGTGGAGGGTTGAGTCAGAAAAAAATAAAGTGAAACACTTAAAAGAAAATTCTGGCAGAATGCAGAAATATTGTTGAGAATATATGAATTAATGAATGAAGAAATTGATGAATAAATAAAAGAATTGAGGTAAGTAAACATCCTCACTTCACATCACCAAGTTTTCCTGGCTGTAGTGGTCACATAGTTCATACTCTTAACTCTTCTTTCTCCTTCTTCATCGCAAGACATTTCCAATTATTTACTTGACTAAATCATTACAATCAGTAAGAACATCACTTTCAAAACCAATAAAATCCTGCAACAAGTCGTGGACAGAGATGGAGAATATATGCATCATGGGTACCAGTCTGTCACAAGAGATGCATGGGTGGAAGGTGATACAGTGCAATTCCCTTTATCCAAATCTTCCTTGTATCTGACTTTTGTTTCCTTTGGTCTGGTTCAGTTAAAATTGTATCATATTTCAACAATCCGAATGCAACCAAAGTCATTCTTTTACAGTACTTGTATCCTTTTTGCCATTGATCGGCTCGTTAGCCGCTTGGGAGGTCAGTCACATCTCTGTTATGCACTGTTGGCAAGTACTGGCCATGCACTGGCTCCTGAATGTATCTGAACCTGCTCCAGTGTTGGTCAAGTCTGGTCTTGAAAGAGCTCACACTCGGTGCCGTCACAACACTCTGGCAGATTGTTCCAAGAGTTCACAATCCTCACTCCGAAAAGTTATCCCTCACAATTTTCTGGACTTGTGGCTTCTTCAACCTTGAGCTGTGACCCCTTGTGGGGCATTCGAGTGTCTGCCAACAGTGATGCTGTAATCGCTTTGTTTACAACCATGCCGGGTTTTTTGGTTGGTGGAAGGTGTTTTGCCCTAATTTCATGTTGTGATAAGCAATAAAATTGACACATAGTATATCATAATATACAATAGCACTTATTTTATGTAAAAAAATATCTCCTTCCACACTCAAACCATCCTCTGGGCAATGCTACACAGTTCAGCTGGGCAGTCAACTAGCTAACTCTGAGACATGTGTCTGTATGCTGTGATATCACATTGGGGGAAGGGAACGTGAGCTGGGTCGTTGACAACTGGTGAGTCGTCAACACTGTTAGAGTCCATTGCCTCACACGAGTCCACGCTTACATTTACTTCGCACACATACACACCCATACTCTTCATTTTTCTTATTTTATAGTTTTATATTATATGTATTTTCTTTATTTTTAAGCCACATAAGAGTACAGTACAGTACACTATTGTAATGATTATTCCACAACTTTATAGATTCATTACATGTAACAATGACAACATCCCATCTCACAGGCCAGCTTATTCCCAATTTTTTCCCTTTCCCAGTGAGTCATGCTATTGCTGAACCAAATTTTGACCTAAAGTTGTTCTTGTAGGCACGTCCTGGTATCTGAGCCATCATTGTTCCCGATGAGTTCAGATAAAAGGAATTGTATTGTGGAGGGGGAGGTGAAATGGTAGATCAAGAAGAACTAGTTATTGCCCTTGGATCCTTGGGCATTAATAGACATTAGGTGTTGGATGCTGTTAAAAACACAGTTTACAAATTGATTCCTTGCAGATTGTGGAACAGAGAAAGGCTCATGAGATTCATCAGAAAACTCTGCAACAATCCCTGAAACATTCAAACGAAGCAGCTTCGAAGGTGGCTGGTGTCATTAATCAATTTTTGTCCTTTTCAAAAAATATTGAAGTATAAAGACAACATTCTAACTTTTCAGTTTTTTTCTTGATCTTTATGCTATAATCTTAGGAAGATAAGCTGTTCTTCCTCAAACAGCATTTTTTTCAGTTGCCTGTACCTTTGTCAGTCTTGAAGGTCAAGTACACTTATTTTTATGTTATTGTAGTCATTTTTCCAACAGTGGATAAAAACTATATTTTAGTCATATTATCCACTAACCTTCTTAGTACTTGGTGTGACTTCAGTAGAGGAAATCCTCCATCATTTTCATTGACACCAGCAGCCAAGAAAAGTTGCTTCAGAATGATTTTACAGGTCAAAATTCTTGTTCTAAGATATAAATGATATGAGAAGTGCACACCACGGCATAGTATAATTTATAAATACAGAATTACATGGATAGTAGTACAGTACAGGTCTTTTCCTCTGGCTTGTTTGTAGGTCATAAGTCTACTCTTCTCAACTAGTTAGCTTCACAGCTTGCTACGGACATTCGTATGTCATGAAATTATGTTATGTCTAAATGAATCTTTATTAGTGTGGGGTGATGTTGCAACTGCTTGCTTTTTAACCTGGAGAGAGAGAGATGTGGAATTGGAAGAATTGTCATAGAGAAATGATCATGGTCTGGTCAGGTGGTAGGGACATGTTGAGAGATTGAAAAGTGAAAGTTTAGTACAGTACTGTACATATTAAGAAAGAGATAGCTTGAGGAAGAGGAGAACACCAAGGATGAGATGTAAGGATGGAGCAGAAGTGACGGGATGGACATCTACTCACCGGTAGTTTTAGGAGAAGCACGTGTTGTTGATGGCTAATGTTGATTGTGTGATGCAACACAGGTAAACCAGATTTAGGACCTTGTGGAAGAGAGTATCATAGCAGAACATATGTATTACAGTCATGAGAATGAATGAAGAATGTGTTTGTGTTTGATTTGCCTTCTTGCATTAAGCAGAAAAGGGTTTGGAAAAAATGGTCTTCAAGATATTAATTAGTTTTTTAGATGGTTGGTCTTGAGAGTACCAAATTTGTATCAGCTTCACAATACATAACCATTATTTACAGTAACACAGTCTTGCTTGTAAATTTTTGTTGGGGGGTATCAGCTGTGTAACTCAGGTACACAGTACAGTACTGTACTGTACTGTATCGTGTTCAGTCACAGATCCCATTCTTTCATTTTAGCATATCCATCTTGAATGCTTTGAAGTCACCTACCAGTAATATTAAATCTACTAATAAAAGGAAATTTTGAGGGTTAGTGAAATGTCTTAGTAATCTGTTTTTGTCATGGTCTTTAGAACACATCTTTGAAATTACCACATCAAAGACAGTGTGTGCTGCTGAGCCATCGTGGAGTTTTCTGTATAGTATTAAGTTGGGGTGATGTCTCTCAGCAACTGTTGGAGATTTTTTCTCTGGTACTATACAATGTTGAGCTTGTATTGTTTTGTAACCTTTTATATCTTTTTTTTTTTAAACTGTTTTTAAGCTTATTTCACAAAGTTCTCTGTCACATTATTGGATACATATACAGTGGTCCCTCGGTTAACGAGCACAATCCGTTCTAGAAGGTTGCTCGTTAACCGAAAAACTCGTTAACCGAAACCATTGTTTCAATGGGTTTTGGGGTAATTGGTTCCAGCTCACCGAAAATTGCCTAAATTCAACAAAAAAGATATAAAAGTACACTTTGAGGTGTGTATGTAGAAGGCTCCTGGATGATGATGATGATGGGAATTAGAATGGGGGTGGAGGAGAAGAGAAGTCACCCCATGGCACCATTTCACCCATAAAATTTTAGTTCTCTTGGTGTAATTCAAGATTATGTTCTTTAAATCAACACTGCACTGCATTATATATTGTCAATATGTAAAATAAATTTCAATTTGACCAATAATTTGCTTGCAAACACACAAAAAATGCATTTAGTTAAAGAGTCTCAAGCAAGATGTTACCTCCACTGAAAAGACACAAAGACTGACGCCTGTATGGTGTGTTGGCAGGCTGGATGGCATGTTCAATAATTGTTAAAATTACTAAAAAATTTAATATTAAACTTTTAAAATTATTGAATAGTATAAACTTCTTGATATTTACCAAAATGTCAAGGAATTTAAAACCTAGAACCGATTACTGAACTAGCGGACTAATACTACAGCTGGTGGACCGCCAAATGCAAGCGAAAACATGTTCAGGTCAGCACGTAAGAAACTCGTTAATCGAGGGATTGCTCTTAACCAAAGTTAAGAATCTTATGGAAGGTAACTCGTCAACCAAAATCTCGTTAACCGAGGGACCACTGTAATAGGCCTCAGGTTGGGAATGTACAGGTTTCCTATGAAAATACCTCATTGATTTATTTAACTTAGTTAGACTTGTTTCTCTTTTTTTTTCCAGGGAAGGGAATGTGGTTGGTAGGTAGATATACCCGGTAATTCATTTGGTATAATGTTTTGGAGTACATATGTCCAGTAGTTTTATTATCTTTCCTTTGGGATATATGAATGTTTACTGCACTCATTTACAGTATTATTAGACATACTGTACTGTACTATACATAGTTTTCACATATTAATTATCATATGTAACTGAACACCATGTTGGATTACATCTCGAGTCTTTATAACTAAATAAAACTACTTGTGTGGTATTGATTAAATGAAAAATATTGTTTGCTTTACCTTTCTTTTGTATATATAGTATATGAAAGTCATGATGCAGTAGAACAGTAGGAGGGGGAATAATACTAGTACTGTACTTACATAGATGATAAATGCAAACATGTACCTTTAATTAGTAGAACTGTACCACAGTGAGTCATGATTGTTTTTACATATTTTGTGATATTTGCTGTACAGTATACAGCACTGTAGGTGTAAATGAATGATGTCTGTGATGCTTCTCTTAGAAATGATCACATGTTCAGTCACACAGGTCAGATTAATTTTGTAAATGTAGCCCCAATATACAGAACTTTATATAGCACTATAGTATCCAAAGACTGTTTAATAATGTCCCATTATGTATTACAGTACTGTACAGGGGTATGTTTAACTTAGAGAATCTGGTTTATTCTTATAATATTTAACAAGTGCGGTAAGAGCAGATTTAATTACCAGAGAGTTGTCGTTAAAAATGAAAAATCAGATTTAACTAAAGGTCTGGAGTAGCCACAACCACACAAAGGTCATACTTCTAATCAAATCATTTAAGGTTTTGAAAAATAAAATTTTCCTTATCTCACAAGTTTCAAATTTCAAGAAATAGAAAAATCTGCATTTGGCAAATTAGTAATCCTGATGTTTATTTTTCAGTTTATAAAAAAGTAAAGTTCACCAAAAACTGCCTTAAATAAAAAAAAATCATTACCTCATAACAATCTAGTCAAAAAGGAAAAAAAGGCAAAAAACATTTAGAGTACAGTACCGATCTGCCAAGACATGATGTGAAAAATATAATGCTTTACTATTCCTAATATTTCTTTATCTCCATCTTACCGATCCTTGTTTTATTGTTCTTCACCTTTTGCTTACTTCTTCTTTCTTGTCTATTATATACACTTCTTATTCACACCAGTGTTCCCTTCTGCTTACTCTTTCTTATATCTTAGCATTCACTTTCTCATTAATTATACTCCAAATTTCTTATTCTGAACTTCATTTTTCTATGTCGCTAATTTCTTTTTCTTTCTTTATCTTGTATTAATTCCTCGAGTACCTTCTTCACGTTGACTCACTATCATCTATACATCATTCTATATGCCATGCCTTCTATCCATATTCCTGACCTCACAATAGTCCCAGAGGTAAGTCAGATTCCACTTTCTCTTCTTATCATCTCTTACATGTGTTTTGTTAAATTCCATCTTTTCTTTATTTCCACTAAAAGCTTTTAACCATTATTTTCTCAGTGAGGTCGTGTCCTACTAGTCTACTGCTGTCTGTCTGTCTGTCAAGAGCCTGATCTGAGGGCCAAACATTCTAATCATGTTGTCATATTCTCTTCCTGGTTACAATAAATGTCATCATCGTCATTAAATTCACCACTTTTGCAACTGCCAGGACTGCTACTATCACCACTTAACAATAGTCTTTTGTACTTTGTTTTCTTAATTGGTGGTGGACGTAACTGTGAAGGAGGCAAAACCTCTTTCTGAACCTTACTTGCTGCTCTCTCCTCTTCTCTCACTTTAATGAGCATCTCATACACCTCTTTCCTCAACAACCCCTGAAGTTCAGTCTCTTCACGTAAAATTAAGTCTGCAGGATTGATCTCTTTTTCGAGTTTCTTTAGTATTTCTGGTTTTACAAGTTTTCTTATTTTTACTTCTGGTTTCTTTACTTTAGTTGGTGGGTGTATCTCTTTTAATAATTCACTTACATGGCTATTAAGAGGAGTTCTATACAGTTTATTTTTAAAGTCCTCATCAGAAGAGAGTGGAGATCGTTGTGAAAATATTATTTCTACTGAGGGATCACATGGGGATAAGTCTGGAGAGCTAAATTCAGTTTTATTTTTAAAATCACGCCATGGAATATTTTTTGGTCTGTTAGGGCGTCTACGGATCTTAGGAATTGGCTTCTCAACCTGTGGCTTCACCATAGGTTTTTTACCTCTTTTCTTTCCTGGTTTAGGTGGTGGTGGAGGTGGGTACAGATGTTTAAGAACGTCATCTGGTAAAATCTGGTCACAGCTATAATTTATTATTTCTTTATTGTCCAGGAATTTCTTGATGCTCAGAACAGTACCTTCTTTTCTCAACCCAAAAGATAATACTTGTCTTGGAGCTTTACTACAACACATTTTCATAAAGCGCAGGAGAGAGGCCATATACTTCTCACACACAATAGGATCCCATGGTTTCTGAAAATGAAAAAAAAAAAAAAAAATAAGGATATCAACAAAACTCAAGGTAGTCAGTCATATTTTTCAACTTTCTCTAATTTGCACTTGAGTACGGTACTGTACTCAATATCAGAAAAAATTTAGGAAGTACAGTACTGTAATAAATTCTCCTAAATATTTTCAAATTCAAAATTGTGTGTTTTGTGTGTATGTGTCTACACACACACACATACTGTATATACAATACAGGTAAAAGAAATAATTGTCCTCAGGGCAAACACATAAAAGAAATAGACATTTCTTTGTACACAAGTAAAAATGTACCCCCCTGGTCAGCAAAGGATATTTGCGGATTTGGCAATTCGTGGCCATTTTGAGAACCTAACCCCCACGAATTTGAAGGGCATGCTGTATGTATATACATAAGAACTTCATTACCGGTAAATCAGCCTCCGCTAATTTAAATTACTGGCTAATTTGTAATTTTTTTTTTTGGGGGGGGGGGGCAAAGTACCTGAAAATTTCAAGCAGCTTTTGGCCAATTGTATGAATTATTCAAAGTGTATACAAAATTTACTTAAACAGTCCAAATGACCAGCAGGTTGCAACAGGCAACTTTCCTTTGTGTGGGCCTACTAGGGTGTCAATTGATATATTTTGATGATACTGTACTGTATGCTTTGTATAATCTACCAGCTTCGCAACAAGTTGGTAAGAAACCTAAATATTTAGGCATTAGTACTGTACTGCCTAAATCTACAACAACAGCAGGTTCAGTTGTATACTGTACATAAATCTCTGAATTTATTATAGATAATAAGGTTTTCCTCCTACTAAACTTTATACTGTACTGGGTATTTGAATTTTATAATTTTGCCCCCCCCCCCCATACACTCATGGCTACATAGTTATGGGCAACTAGCCATAAATTACCTTGCGACACCAAGCTTTTGTTAATTTTGGTAGTTCATCAGCGTTGAATAACCTCAAAGATGTCACCACACTTCCTTCCAATTCACCACCAATAATATTGGGAATCCCCCCAAACTGGTAGTCTGCCCACCACCCAAACATCTCATGCCTGAAATAAATACAAGCATAAATTGTAATAGTTATTTAGGATTTTACTAAATAATTATTATTCGCTACCAATGTGTTTCATGTTGACAATGAACTGAAGTTCTCAAATCATGGTGAGAAGGTGAATCAGTCAAGTAAATAAGTGGGGCTTGTATGAAGATCATACACATACATAGATGGTTCTTCCCTCAGAAGGTTTTCAATGTGATGTTCCCCTACTTGGACTACTGTCATCCTGTTTGATCTCCAACCTATATTAAAGATTGCCAGTTGAGTGAGATTGTCTTAGAGAAGACCAACAGACTGGTGTCTGCACTTAAGGACCTCTCGTCTAAGAGAGCCTAGAACACCTTCTGTTGCCTTACCTATACACATGTATTATAGATTGGCAAGTGTTGATTTAATAAAAGTTTTTAAGAACCTTAGAGGATAAAGTAAAGTGGTGTGGTGTGCCAATCCCTTGATCCTCACTCCACTGTTTGGCCTTAATTTTTAATGTCTTATCAACGGATGGGTGAATGTTGTTTTAATAAAATAAATTTATAATTAAGTCGGTTATATTTAACAAAAATATATACAGTACTGAAAATCAATTTCATACCTTATCCTTTGATGATTATAGCCGAGTGCTGCTATGTTGTTGTGATGCATGCTGACCTGGCGGGACCACGTGGTCCATGCCACGTCACTCCACATCAATAACAAATGACCCCTCATGATAGGCAAGATCTTCTTTTGAAATTTTAAATAATTTTTTTCCAAGATTCGTGTCATATGACAGTACTGTAGTAGCCAATCATAGCTCATGAGCACTCTGAGCCTACCCACCCACACACTCGACACATGATGCAATCACTCAGAAATTCATTCAAATGCGTGGAATGGAGAGAATTTTCTTGGAATTTCTCGGAATGCTAAAATTTTATTTTCTGGCTAGTGGAATGTATTGATGGTCGAAGATTCTATCTAACAGGGTCCCCTGCCACACTGCTAAATATGTCACTGATTAGCTTAAGGACAGTGAAGTGGGTTTTTTTAATGACTGGCCTGGCAGTTCACCAGACATAAATCCAATTGAGAACTTATGGTCTCTTATGAAACAAAAATTGCATAATAGGGATACTTCCTCTCTACCTAAGCTCGAAGTAGCCAATTATGATATCTGGATCCTCCTTATAAGCTCTGATGCACCTCCAAGTACTGGTAATGGTACTGATCAGTAAAACTAAACTGTTACTCACCACTGGTATAACCTCCAAGCCTTGGTGTTAACTGGTGTCTTGTATAGGTGGGTTTTGTACATTACTTTTTCTCCTATTTTAGTCATTACACGGTAAAATTTTGAGATTTTGCCTTTATCTAACAACCATTTCGGATTATGCCAGTAAAATTTCTTTACCCACTTTTCTATTACATCCACTTTGGAGCTGTAGAACAATCCTAGTCCATCAACCTCACCACAACACACAGTCCAGTAATCTCCCATGTATTTAACAGTCTGTTTGTTGCTGCAACTTTCTGTACAAAAGACAAGCAATGCTAAAATGAAACACTGTACTATAAAGTATTACAATAATCCAAAATGTTACGTAATAGTACTTGGAAAATTAATAAGTTATTTGATATGAAAACACACAATATCTTATATACTGTGTGTTTATAATATCATATTAACCATTTACCTTGCAAGCAGATGGTAGCAGATTTAATTCTAAGCCAAAGTGGAGGACAGAGACCCTCTTTGTGCATTAATCCCTGCACACTCATCAATACTGAAGTATATCACCAGGTGCCCGTACTGATGATGGACTAATATCCTACAGTGCAAAGAAGGTGCAGTAACCTACCAACTGCAGAAGGCTAAGATTCACTAGCTGTGATGTGTGGATATAAGGGAATAGAAGTGAAATAGGGTGATGGAAGAAAGAAGGAATTCAGTAAGATTTAAAGAGTATTGAAAAAAGTCCTGAAACTAAGTAAAGACAAGTGAATGAAAACTGGAGGAAAGTGAGGTTGTCACAAGGTGTTCTGGAGGGAATCAAATAGGAACAGAAAACCAAGAGAACATCAGGAAATGAAAATCAAGAATGAGACAAAATACATTGTACATGCATTAAAACTGTCTTTACTTAGTCTTTTACACATGTATGTATGTATGTATGTATGTATGTATGTATGTACAGTAATATTTTACAGGAAGAAGTGCAGGAAGTAGTGGGCTGTGTGGTTGTGGTTCACCATGCTATGTATTTACCATCATGGAAAGACAGTAATAAATGCTTAATCTGTCAACTAGAAATCCTTTATTCATCTTTTAATTTGTTTTAGTTTACTTTACAAATAATGTTTTGCAATGGTTATAATATGTAATGAATTAAAATTAAAGTAGTTCCAGAACCCTAACACCTATTATCCCATTACTCAAATGATTTGCAGTTTAGCAATTTTTTGAACCCTTTAGGTACACGAGCAGGGGTTCAATGCACTCCACTTATTGCTGGTATATTATACAAGAAAGGATCCCACTCCTCTATCGCCAAGAATTGAATGCCACACTCTTCGTCTATTTGGTAAATACCCAACCACAAAAAAATAAAATATTGTACTACTGGAAAAAAAGTTAAAAATATTATAGAAAACAAGTATGTAAGTGATGTATCATGAAATAAACACATCAAAGTGATCAGAAAATATCCTGAACACCTCTGAGAAATGTGACTGTAAATGCTGTGACAGATGTGAGATAATTGTATAGGGGAGGAGGTGGTTCTCAATAAATGATACCTGACATACAAACCAGGTATTTAAGGTTGTGATTAGTAATTGTTTTAGATAATAGTCAGTGTACGGGTTTTAATTAATGTGGTATGTAATACAATGGGGTGAGGGGCTGGATCTACCACTGATGATAAGAGATGAGTGTGGGAGTGATAACAAGAACTACAATAAAATATTGCAGCTAAAGAAGGCAATGTCATCATACCTTGCCCACCCCTTGCTCTTCCTTGCAAAAAAATATTGAAGGCTTCTTCAAAAGATATTTTGGGTTGTTTCTTTGCTAGAGTCCGGTCACTTTGTATATAAACTTTGCCATCCTCATACCTGCAAAATTTTAAAACACAAGAAAAAAATAATGTATATTGCAATACAGTACAGTATATAATAATTTAGAAAATAACTTTGTTTGTAACAGATGGAGAGTCATCATAAAGAATAATTAACATTTTAAGAAATCTTTATTTTATGAATGGCGCTGCTAGTTGCTTTTGAAAATCACATCTAAAGACCAATTACAATTTTTTTTTTTTTGCTGTGCATCCATTCTTTCTGATACAGTATACATCCTCCATGCCTGCCTGTAATATGATACAATTACAGTACAAACTTCTTCCACTTATATGAGAAAAAGTGAACCACAAACTCTTGACTTCAGCCTTGCTCATCATAGGTACAGTGATCCCTCGGTTAACGAGTGCCTCGGTTAACGAGATTTCGGTTAACGAGTTGCCTTCCATAAGATTCTTAACTTCGGTTAACGAGCAATCCCTCGATTAACGAGTTTCTTACGAGCCGACCTCAACATGGTTTTGCTTGCATTTTCTTATATCCTCTTCGCCACTGATCGGCCTGACAGCCGCTTGGGCAATCGGTCACGTCTCTGATTACTTTTCCTTTTCATTTATCTTCTTCACCAAAAGATCGGCTCGCTTGCCGACCGGGCGATCGGTCACGTCTCTGTCACGCACTGTTGGCAAATACTGGGCATGCACTGGTTCCTGAATGTACCTGAACCCGCTCCAGTGTTGGTCAAGTCTTGTCTTGAAAGAGCTCACACTCGGTGCCGTCACAACTTTCTCTGGTAGATTGTTCCAAGAGTTTACAACCCTCACTCGGAAAAAGTTTGCCCTCACGGTTTTCTGGATTTGCGGCTTCTTCAATCTTGAACTGTGACCCCTTGTGGGGCGAGCGTCTGCCAGCTCCAAGTAAGGACACTCAACTGAGTAGTGCCCCCTGAGATGCTTATACACCTCAACTAGGTCTCCCCTTGCCCGTCTGTAGTAAAAGCTAGGCAAGTTCAGGCGCTCCAATCTCTCAGGGTAGCTGAGGTGCCGAAGTGCAGGCACCAGTCTGGTGGCCCTCCTTTGAACATTTTCAACCAACTGACAGTCCCTAGCATATCTCGGGGACCAGATGGGGTGACAGTACTCCAAATGGGGAAGCACTTCACTCCTGAAGATCGTTACGAGGGACGGACCGTCTAGATATTTGAACGACCTTCTTATAAGACCCAATAATTTATTTGCCTGATTTACCTTCTTCTCGCAATGGCCCGAGAACTTCAGCTCATTGTCAACATACACACCTAGGTCCTTCTCGCACAGTCTCAACTAGTGCAGTTTCTTCATCCCGTTGAGACATATGATACGCCTATTTACCGTTGGTACGCCCCAGGTGCATCCTCTTACACTTCGTGACATTGAATCTCAGCAGCCATTTCTTCGACCAATCCTGGAGCCCACAGAGGTCCTTCTGTAGTTCTTCACAGTCCACTTGGTTCTTAATTTCCCGAAATAACTTGGCGTCATAAGCAAACATTTGTATGAAGGAGTGTACAACGTCAGGCATGTCATTTATGAAACAAACAAACAACAGAGGGCCCAATACACTGCCCTGTGGTACCCCACTTGTGACAGGTATAGATGACGATTTCGTGTCATTAATCACCACACACTGCTTGCGGTCATGTAGAAAGTCTTCTATCCACGCTAGGACATTTCCCCGAATTCCGTACCCTTCCAGTTTGATTTTCAGCCTTTCGTGGGGTACACTGTCGAAAGCCTTGGCAAAATCTAGGTCCACCAGCTGTAGTATTAGTCCGCCAATACAGTAATCGGTTTTAGGGCTTAAATTCCTTTCTATTTTAGTAAATATCAAGAAATTTATACTATTCAAGAATTTTAAAAGTTTAATATTAAATTTTGTAGTCATTTTACCAATTATTGAACATAATTGAAGGTACGGAAACTAGTTTCATGCGCGCCATCCAGCCTGGCAACACACCAAACAGGCACCAGTCTCACTGTCTTTTCAGTGGAGGTAACATCTTGCTTGAGACTTTCTTCAACTAAATGCTTTTTTCTGTGTTTGCAAGCAAATTATTGGTCATTTTGAAATTTATTTTACATATTGACACTATATAATGCAGTGGAGTGTTCATTTAAAGAAAATAATCTTGAATTGCACGAAGAGAACTAAAATTTTTGGGTGAAATGGCGCCATGGGATGACTTCTCTTCCACCCCAATGCCTTCTCTTCTCCCTTCTCCTCCACCCCCATTCTAATTCCCATCATCATCATCATCATCCAGGAGCCTTCTACATGCACACCTCAAAGTAAGTGTACTTTTCTACCTTTTTTGTTGAATTTGGGCAATTTTCGGTGAGCTGGAACCAATTACCCCAAAACCCATTGAAACAATGGTTTCGGTTAACGAGCAACCTGCTGGAACGGACTGTGCTCGTCAACCGAGGGACCAGTGTAATATCATATGACACATTAATTGTTCTACAAAAATAATTGCTGGTCTCATATGCTTTACAAAACAATGTTTCTGTATTGCTTGAATAATGGTAGTGTACAGTTGAATAATGGTAGTGTACAGTTGAATAATGGTAGTGTACAGTACAGTAATTGTTTTATCCTGTGAGAATTTATTTATATATGATATATCATTTCCACCATTTATCAGCTTATTAGCCAATTGGGCGGTTATTCTCTTCTTTGTTACGATTTTCATAGTCCAGGGTTGGTAGCAAAGGAAACTGGAGTACTATACTGTACTGTACTTGGAAAAAACCTGCAATGGGTTTGTAGGGTTACACTGGAAACCCCACAATACAAGACCTCTTCTTCAGCACTATTTATGTTATCGCTAAAGAATCAAAACAGAGATGAAACATAATTTACCTTTAAAAAGCCTAAACAACTACTGTATCTATCTCACTGAAAATTAATTCTTTGACCTACAGTACATTATATTAAGATTTCTGACACTTACATAACAGCATACATGGTCCAAAGTCTTAGGTTTCTGCTGTAGGGAGTCTTGTACATGTCAATGAATACTTCTTTTGGAGCTGTGAAATCTGGTGTGTCATACTTGAACCTGATATGTACAGGAAAATATAAAAGTGTTAATTATTTTCTTTTATGTAAGCAGAGTGCATGCACGCACGCACGCACGCATGCATGCATGCACGCACACACACAGTCAATAGTGTATATTTGTGAAGGGTTGAAGTCCATGGGTGGAGGAGAGTCAGCGATATCTTAAAACATGGTCATATTTACCAACAAATGTTGTACCAGTATGTGTGTAACAACTACGAAATGATTTGTATTTTGTTTTCAATTTCATTACATAAATATAAGTCCCCAGTAACTAAATAATGTACACATTTTACGAATTTATTTATTTACTGGGGACATAACTATCACATCAGTCTCATATATCATATTTTAGGCAATTTCTATTTCTATTTCTTTGTAACATGAGAAGTCTTCATTACACTTACAAAACATCAACATAATCATTACATTTTCTGATGTAATGAATGTACAGTCTAGTTCAAGGTTCTTCGAACACTGCTGGAGACTGCTGGCAACTCAAGGCCGTTTTTTACTATAGTACGTTGTAGAAATTATGAATGAATGTAAAAGGTTATCGGTGATTGGTTACTTAGTTCCCCGTTGCTTAATTAATGGTTGGGCTTTGTTGTTTTGTATTATATTATACTACATACTATAGTAAACAAACGACCTTGAGTTGCTAGCTGTCTCCAGCAGTGTTCGAAGAATCTTGAACGAGACTGTACATGCTAACTGGAGCATTTACAGCAAGCAAAGAATGGTCAGTGCCTGATTGACCTGGTCGCCTTGCCTGAGAAAACTGACTAATCCAGAGTCTTTGTGGATTACTGGTCTAGGTGAGGTGTCTCCTCGCCTGAAACCAAACTTAACCACTTGGCTATACACTTCCAGCTGATTTGAAAAGTAATAAATAAATTTGTAATCTCTAAAATTGTCAAGCAAAAATCCAAGAATGAAGGCTCTGAGACTTACATCAATGGTATATTCCCTGTACCTTTATTATCCCTCTCTAACACATACCGTTGGCACTCTGTTCACTCTTAACAAGATCTTCAAGAGTGAAGTGCTTCCCCATCTGGAGTACTGTCACCCCGTCTGGTCCCCGAAATATGCTAGGGACTGTCAGTTGGTTGAAAATGTTCAAAGGAGGGCCACCAGACTGGTGCCTGCACTTCTGCACCTCAACTACCCTGAGAGACTGGAGCGCCTGAACTTGCCTAGCTTATACTACAGATGGGCAAGGGGCGACCTAATTGAGGTGTATAAGCATCTCAAGGGGCACTACTTGGAGCTGGCAGACGCTCGCCCCACAAGGGGTCACAGTTCAAGATTGAAGAAGCCGCAGGTCCAGAAAACTGTCAGGGCAAACTTTTTCGGAGTGAGAGTTGTGAACTCTTGGAACAATCTACCAGAAAGTGTTGTTACGGCACCGAGTGTGAGCTCTTTCAAGACCAGACTTGACCAACACTGGAGGAGCAAGTTCAGGTACATTCAGGAGCTGGTGCTGTCATGATCGTGATAACGGCTAACCTGAAAACCTTAAGGATTCATATTATGCTCAAACGTCCACAAAACCTTCTGAGTCCCCCAGTGGAAACGTCCTCCGTTTTCTCTGTTCCTTGATGACGTCATCGATAGGCCGTCTTTGTTTAGACGCTGTATGTTGGGACCTGTTGCCATCCAACCCTTTGTAATCAATTTAATTTTGCTTTTGATAGCTGAGTCAGAACATTGTTAGTGAAGATAATAGTAGGGAATGAAACTGAGTTCATAGTCTCAGTTTCAACGTCAGAGTGTACAGTAAATTAATTCATCGGAATAGAAGTAGGTGGGCTCCCTGGTCTGTTTTGAGTGAGGGCCCCGCGGGCATTTCTACCGTTAGTGAGTGCCCGTCCCTTCATCCATACAGGTATGCCATTCCACGCTGTGTTGTAATTCGCCCTTCTTTAAGTGATTTGACCCAATTAATAGTTGATTGTGCAAGTGTTACAGTAACGTAGTTGATATGCTCTGAGTGAAGTCATATTTACGTCTTTAACGTCCCCTGAAACGTGATGTTGTTGTCACCGTTAGTGAGTGCCCGTCCCTTCATCCATACAGGTCCCTAACGCAGCCTAGGCCGTGTCTGTAGAGTGGATGTTGTATCCACTATGTCTGGGGAGATGTCCGAGGTCCAGTAGGATCAGTTACCTTCGTGAGACCCGGCCGTCAGACACTTCAGACTACCTATAGCCCCCATAGCTGGCTCGTCTGGCCCTAACGCTCGGCCTGCGAGGTGACCCCGGATCACCAAGCCACACCCCACTACCAGCCCCCATCATTGGTGGATGAGTGTCTAACTCAGTAGGGCTATTTGTGTGGTGGAATTAATCCACTGGGATCTCCAGAGTTCGTCGGAAAGTACTCCATGGTGGCTGGACCCCATGGCTGTTGCTTGAGTATCACCCCTGACGACTGAGTGTTGTAGTGGCAGTTGCCCTGGTCTTTATGGTGCTAAGTGACTATAAGAGTTGTGTGTTATTGAGTATGTCCACCCAGTAGGGTTGGAAGTGTTATTGAGTATGTCCACCCAGTAGTGGTGTGAGTATGTTGAGACTGAGGGCCTAGGACTAGATTTCGTCTGTTGGTACAAATAAATTCTTTCTCCTAATTTCATATTCATGTTTAAATAAATTTTGTATTTGTATAATTGTGTCTATTATTTACCTACAGTATTTACCGTTATTTCTTCCCTATTGCTTGATACTATCATTACATCTACCCACGAGCCTCCTCTCGTCACGCTACCAATGGTAATAAGTATGAGAGTACAAGGAATTGTTACTGGCACACAGAGGCCCTCATAAATGGTGGCAGCTCAGGCCCTCATAAATGGTGGCAGTAGTGGCCCTCATAAATGGTGGCAGTAGTGGCCCTCATAGTGCATGCCCAGTACTTGCCAATAGTGAGTAACAGAGACGTGACCGATTGCCCAAGCGGCTAACGAGCCGATCATTTGGTGAAGAAGATAAAAGAAAAAGAAATGTAACAGAGAAGTGACCGATCACCCAAGTGGCTAACGAGCCGATCAGTGGTGAAGAGGATAAAAACAAAGAGCACTGCATCACCCACATAAATATATCACATTCTAGCTGTGCCCCAGCCATCCTTGTTCTCATTTCTCTCACCACTTCTTAATATGAATATCTACAAGTTAACAAGCAAGGAGACATCATAAATCACTTCCTCACTGCTCGTTTCATCTCAATGCTTCACTTAGTCCTTTATTTACCTTAACATATGACTTATTACCCATATAGAATGCTTTAATAACTAATGGAAGTAATCCCGAGGCTAAGCTGTAGTATCATTCCTTCTTTAATGCTTGTCTATTAATGGTAGATAACACAGGCAGTGGAAAGAGGGATGTCCAACTCACTTTCTCTCATCCTCATTATAAACAAGGAATTCTCGTCTGTGGCACAGAAGCCATAGCAACAGTCGATGGAAGTGAGCATAACCATCTTCAAAAGGTCCAATAACCTTAGCTGGTTCTACCATGTTCAGTGGAAAGTATACCTGTGAAGTAAAAGTAATTGTAAACATGAAGTTACAAGAAATATAATAAATGAAGGAATATGAGGAAGAAGAACAAGAAACTCAAACAGATGATATAGAATAAACAAGAATAAGACATAAAGGAAAATGGACTAAATTACACACAAACATGGAGAAGAAAAATAAAATGAATGAAAACAAGAAAACTGGGCACAATTTTAATTACTGTGAATACGGCACATTTAAATAACTTGGTGACTCCAATATTTTTTAAAAATTTCCTTGATATAAACATGTCAGTGACAATCATGAGTAAATAGAAACCCACCTTTTATTTGATACCTTTATTAACTTGTACTGTATTGATGCAATATTCTCCTCTCCCAATAATTCCCCAATTACTATACGTACTTGGTTGGATTATACCAGGTCCCTTTATGCAACCTGTCAGCACTCGGCAGCAGCAAACCCATCCTCCCCAAATTATTCAACACTGTTCTGTAGTTATTCACACACACACACACACACACACACACACACACACACACACTGCTTCTTTATTGCTTCCTTCACTCCATCCTTATACTGTACAGTACAGTACCTTCTTCTTAATCAAAACCATAACAATACAGTATACATCTAAAAAAAAAAAGAAGATATTTCCTTTTGTGTTGTCTGTATTGTACTGTAAGTAACAAATGAATTTCTGTACTGGTTTCTTTGATTAATCAGTTCTTAAAACCCAATTATTTGTCATTTATTATTTAATGTACAGTGCAGTATTTTTAAGTGTGTGTCTGTGGGAGGGAAGTGGGAGCATGGTAAGAAGGGTGGGTGAATGGCTGGGTTTACAGATAGGTGTAAGAGAGAATAAATACAGTAGTATTTGCATGACAAGGTGGTGAGTATACAGATGGGTGTGTAGGACAGTTAGTTGGTTTGTGGACAGATAATACCCAGTAGGAGGGAGAGTAGGTTACCTATGAGGTAACCTACTGGTTCACTAGGCTAGACAGACAGCAGATAAGTTCTTACCTTCATGGGCTGTGAGTTTTCCAATTTAAAGTCTTTCTTAATTACTATGTAGGATTTTTTTATTTTACTATGTGCATGAAAATTATGCTTTTTTGTAATAGTCAAGATGCCTCTCACATATCTAACAAGAGACAGACTGCCATTCTGATGCCTTATGGGTGTGGGACCTCTGGCATTAGCATTTCCACCACAATATTTACTCTTGTCGTGATTCTTGATGTTACCAGGCATCAAATAATATTCCGGTCTTTGGTCTGTTATTTCCCCAAGTGCCAACTTCATTTCATAAATGTTGTAAGGTATCTCATCATAGAAGTTAGTTATCAATGTAATCTCCTCATTGCCAGAATTTCCCTCTAGCTCTGCTGGATACTTGGGTATCCACTTACCAATAAAGTCTGTAATATATAGTTCTGGAGTTAGAATAAAAAATATGAATACTCTGTACACGGGGTCCCCGAGTTATGAACGTCTGACTTATGAACACCCATCGCTACAAACGAGGTTAAACTTGAAATTAACAGTATTTTATTTACCTGATGACTTATTTTTTACTTTCACTTATTGTATTTGTCATTCTATTTCTTTTTTGTCTTAAATGAAGTGATTTTAGATGTATATAAGGACTTAAGCTATGATATATGGTAGTAAGATTTTAAACATTATTTTGTAAGTATGATATGCATATACTGTGACGTGTCCCAACTTACGTACAATTCCGACTTACAAATGTTCTCAGGAACGGAACCCGTTCAAAACCCAGGGACCCCCTGTATGTATAGAACGTTTAAAAGGTCAATTAGGTTGTGCCAGTAAGTTTTAAATTGCCTTTATATACATTTCTCTGTAATATAAATTATCTTTATGCCCAAAACACATTAGTTTTTAATTAACAGAAAAAAGGTGTTTTATCATGAAAATGACAACTGACCCATGGTTTTGGCATATGAGGTCAAAATGTGGATTTTGTTCAAAATTCATACAAAGGTATTGTACTTCATTACATGTTGGTTAAGGATCTGGGTTCTACAAATTAAAATCTGAGTAATTAGTGTTAATTAATGAGCTTTGAAATACTGTACAAATCATTAAAAATATGTCCAAGAAAGGCAAGAAGTGGAGAACAGTACAATACACAGTACATGTACTGTACAGTTGGTCCTCATATTACGCGGTTAATGTAACCCGGAGGGTACCGCGGAAAGTGAGAAACGCGTAAAGTGAATAACATAACATATGGGATTAATTGAAATGGAGTCCGGGCCGATCCCCAAACTCCACTTTTTGACGACACACAACTATGTTGTAGTAAAAATATTATCTTAACTTTATGATGGCATGCACACACAATTAATAATTAAGAGAAATATCAATAATATTAGGTTTTTTAACACTTACATTAGTAGAAAAGATGGCTGGGCACACGGGGATGGGCGGTTGGTTCCGAGGCAGAGGGCAGATTATTGGCCCTCACCTGTATCACTTGTATCAATTGTATCACTATCCACCACAGAGGCTTGCAGGGCCTCTTTGTCAAACCCCCCAAAGTTCATATAAGTCCATATCCTCACTATAATTATCACTATCACTGACTTGGGCCGGCTGTAGTGGGTGGCGGGTGAAGAACTGGTCATGTTTTGATGACTGGGCGACCTTGTGCGCACCATTTTCGCGCCTCTTACACAACATGGCGGATGGCGGGAGGTTTGGATCCAAAAATGGCACGGCTTGCCAGCCGCTCTCCGCGTAATGGGGTTCACGACCGCGGAATGTGAAAATGTTAGGTTCTGGCAAGGCACCGCGTTAACGGTGAAACGCGGAATGCGGGACCGCGTAATATGAGGACCAACTGTACTGAAATAATATTTGATAAAAATCTTTCAAAAAATCTGGAAAAGGTAAACAAAGGGGAAAACAAAGAAAGAATTAGAACTAAAAAGTACAGTAGTGTAAATGAAGGAATTTTGAGAGTAAAATAGATTAGATTAGTCAAGGGGATTACGGCAGTAATAAGGAAAGACCAAGAAAGTAATCAAAATTTAATAACAAAACTCACGTCTCTCAGTGAACTGCTGACAGTATACATCATCTTTTGGTATCGAAAGTTTCTTTGGATGTTCTCTTCGACGTATCTTCTGCCAGAGAGAAAAATATGTTTGAAAACTTTTTATTTTATAAACCAACAGCAAGTCAAACTTATGTACCTACGGTATGTTCCTTTCTCTTATTTTGGGCTGAACACAAATTGTCAATTTGCTTGGTTTATTTTATTTGTATATTTTTGCTTGGTTTCACATATACTGTACATCTGTGACCAATTTTTTCTGCACAGCAAATTATATGGTATGAGATTACTTGTCTGTACTGTACATGGTTCAGCATGCTAGATGTATGGGCTGAGACTCTACAGTGCCCATCAAATGTCCCTCCCTTGCACCAACCAACATTAGCTGTCCACCCTCTACTTGCTACCTCCCTCCCATGCACTTAATTGCCTACCCTCTGCTCTTCATCCACCACACATTCATTTCCTGAAGGACTATTGACCTGTTAATGTCATGTGCTCCACTTGCCTTTACACCTCATATTATCACCCTAAATACTGTATGTATCCACCATCCTTTCAAAGAGGGAGAGAGAAAGTTTCAAAATAGGTGGCAAGCTATAAGTACAAACACAGAGAAGAACTATAAGTTCTTGACCCTCCCATGATGCTGCCATGGCCATGAGTCTTTATCATTTCGTGTAATTTTAGTACGTAATGTGATTTTCAACAAAATCAAGTTTTTGGGCCAAAACTGTCGAAAAGGTAAGCCTAACCCCTTGGTAATTTTTTGCCCAAAATATACTTTTTTCACAGAATTGAAATTTAAAGGGTTTAACTAATTAAGTACTTACAGAATAACACATTAACACCAAAATCGTACTTTGGAAACCCATAGTTGGCGAGTAATTAGCATTGAAATATGTAATTAAATTATCCAAGGGTCATTACAGCCACTAATTACCCCGCAATCGAATTGTGGACCATATATTCAAAATCAGCATGCTCTGGAGTACTTATAATGTACTATCTAGTCCCAGGGCAATATTCCTCTTCCATATACATTCTGTTGTTTTGTTAAAAAAAATTATCAGATGACTTACAAAAACAAGAATCAAACATTGTCCTGGCACAATACCACACAGCATACGACTTGCCAGTGGTACACTTGGCAATTACTAGCAATTATTCATCATACCTTGTTTACCATTCGTATCCTTCCAATTTGATTTTCAGCCTTGTGTGAGGTACACTGTCAAATGCATAAGCAAAGTCAAAGTCTATGACTTAATGCAAGATGCAAAGCATTTTGTAAAATGATCCTTAATGCAGAGTCAAATGCCAAAAGATCAGGTGAATACTGTATACAGTGACCCCTCGTTTAACGAACGCCTCGGTTAACGAAATTTTGGTTAACGAACTGCCTTCCATAAGGATCTTCAATTCGGTTAACGGACAAAAATTCGGTTAACGAATTTCTTACGAACCGACCTCGACATGTTTTCACTTGCACTGACCGGGCAACCAGCTTTAGTATCAGTCCGCCAATACATTAATCGGTTCTAGGGCTTAAATTCCTTACTATTTTAGTAAATATCAAGAAGTTTATACTATTCAATAATTTAAAAGTTTAATATTAAATTTTTTAGTCATTTTAACAATTATTGAACACAATTGAAGGTAAAGTGACTAGTTTAATGCGTGTGGCATCCAGCCTCTTAACACAGCAAACAGGCGTTAGTCTCTCTCTGTTTTCACTGGAGGTAACATCTTGCTTGAGACTCTCTTCAACTAAACGCTTTTTTTCTGTGTTTCCAAGCAAATTATTGGTCATTTTGAAATATATTTTACATATTGACAATATATAATGCAGTGCAGTGTTGATTTAAAGAAAATAATCTTGAATTACACCAAGAGAGCTAAAATTTTATGGGTGAAATGGCACCATGGGGTGACTTCTCTTCCACCCCAATGCCTTCTCTTCTTCCTTCTCCTCCACCCCCATTCTAAATCCCATCATCATCATCATCATCCAGGAGCCTTCTACATACACACCTCAAAGTAAGTGAACTTTTCTACCATTTTTTGTTGAATTTAGGCAATTTTCGGTGAGCTGGAACCAATTACTCAAAAATCCATTGAAACAATGGTTTCGGTTAACGAACTTTTCGGTTAACGAACGACCTTCTGGAACGGATTGAGTTCGTTAACCGAGGGGTCACTGTACAGTATCAAAGCCTTTATAATCCAAACTACAAATCTAACTACCTATCCTGGCTCACAATTGACTAATTTCTCTAAAGGTGACATATTTTTGTTACATTAAATACCTACCCGGTGGATCTGCACTGGCATGCTGTTGTTCCATGGGAATACCCAGTTTATAATTTTTTTCACTGCAGTCACATGTTCCTTCATCTTAGAGTAGTGTAGCTTTTGTGTTAACTTCACAATTTTTGATAAATCCTGGAAATAATTATAAAGACACTTATACACTGGATAGCTATGTGTGGGGAAAGGTCTCTATCAACTGTACTTGAATACTGATACAGTATACAGTACAATACAGTACTGTACAAGCATAACTTCCTTCAACCATCAGAATACAATGGAAACTGGTTAGGTTAGGCTTCTCTATACACAAGGTTTGTGTACAGTGAATTCTGCTATAACGCGTGTTTTGATAATGCGAATTTGCTCTAACGCGATTTATGAATTCGGAACAATATTTGTATAACGCGAACGCTTGTTTGCTATAACGCGATTTTTGCTTACTATTTCTCCAATTTTGTGGTATTAACTGTGAATATGGTAAAGAAGAATATCTCCAAAAAGTGTTCTGATGATAGAATTCCCGGTGATTATCGTAAAAGAAAGGATATAACACTTGAAGAGAAGCTCGATGTTATCAACCTCAAAATCACCCTTCTCCCCCATCAAGTTACATTCATATTTTTTCAAGGTAAAGTGTTAAATTTACTGTATGATTTCATTATTAGATATGAATGTAACATTTATTTAGACTGTGCTATCCTTTGTGTTAGGCTAACTACTAAATTTTTTCGATTTCGAGTAATCTGCACCTAACCCTATTTTCTCCATAAGCCCTGTTATTTCTATTACGCGATTTTCTATAACACGATATTTTACAAGAACACAATTATCGCGTTATAGCAGAACTACCTGTATATGGTGTCTATGGTGTAATATAAGTACTAAAGTACCTGTACTGGAATCCTACTACAGAATGATTCTTCACTAATTTCGACATTAGAAATTGTGAAAATGCCATACTGTTGTAAGTGGTGCAGGCAAGTGACCTTCACAAGCATTACATGTCCACAGCACCCAGTTAGGACACAGTATCAACACTTCATTATTGCCTTGTATTTTATTGTTAACAAGTGTATTCATAAATTTTAATTACTTTTGATTAAGGCAACAATACATGCACAGTAATACCCCACTTTACTCGTTTTTTTTTACGCGTTTCTACATTTACGCGGTACCCTGCCAGAACCGGAATTCCCAATTTACGCGGTGCATCTACTCATATACGCTGGTGAAGTATAATTTTTTTTATTTTGCTCATAAAATTAATACAAATTACTCGGCCAGAATATAATTTACATTGCTGGAATTCTTTCAATATAATGAACATTTTGAATACGTATAAACATCATAGATTTTGCATTAGACATACAAATTTTAGATCTAATGTAATAATTTGGTTTACACAAAGCAAATATTTTATCGTTTGTGCAAAATATATGAAGTTTACATTCAAAATATTCCCTGACCTGCAAGGAATATAGAAATGTCAATTATATTATCCTAACTTTAGTCTGAGGTATTATTTATTACTAAAAGTTAAAATCTAGTATTTTCACCCAAACATTTCTCTGGCTAGGAAGGGAAGGTGGGGGGTGGGGGGGAGGGGAGGCAAGGTGGGGTATTTTGATTGACAGATAGTGTCGTGAAGAATATATTTTTTTTTTATTACCTGAAGATATTTGTTTTAGCTCATAAAATTCATACAAATTACTCGGCCAGAATATAATTTACATTGCTGGAATTCTTACAATATGATGATCATTTTGAATATAAACATAATGGATTTTGCATTAGACATACAAATTTTAGATCTAATGTAATAATTTGGTTTGCACAAAGCAAATATTTTATCTTTTGTGCAAAATATATGAAGTTTACATTCAAAATATTCCCTGACCTACAAGGAATCCAGAAATGTCAATTATATTACCCTAACTTTAGTCTGAGGTATTATTTATTACTAAACGTTAAAATCTAGTGGTTTCACCCAAACATTTCTCAGAGAGATAGGAGCTAGTGAGCTGGGAAGAGGGGGGGAGGGGGATTTGAGTCCATTATTTGAATGGACATTAACCTGGCAACTGTATTTCTCTAAAATATTAATTGTGTGAGCATACCATCATAAAATTTAGATGTTATTTTTACTACAACATAGGTATTGTATCGGAAAAAGTGGAGTTTGGGGGTCGGGCCAGTCTCTATTGGAATTAATCCCATATGTTCTGTTGTTCACTTTACGCGGTTTTCACTTTCCGCGGTACTCTGTGGGTTCAATTGACCATGTAAATCTGGGTACTACTGTATTCAAAATATTCCTGGTCTCGCAAGGAATCCAGCAATGTCAATCATATTATCCTAACTTTAGTCTGAGGTATTATTTATTACTAAAAATGTAAATATACTGTTTTAACCCAAACATTTCTCTGGTAGGGAGGGAAGGTGGGGGTGGGGGGTAGGGAGGGAGGGAGGGACCCAGCGAGCGTGGGAAGAGTGGGGGAGCCGGAGGTGGGGTATTTTGATTGACAGATAGTGTTTGGGTGAAGTATATTTTTTTATTTACTGAAGGTATTTGTTTTAGCTCATAAAATTCATACAAATAACCCGGCCAGAATATAATTTACATTGCTGGAATTCTTACAATTTGATGATCATTTTGAATATAAACATCATAGATTTTGCATTAGACATACAAATTTTAGACTAATGTAAGAATTTTGTTTACTCAGAGCAAATATGTTATCTTTTGTGCAAAATATATGATGTGTATATTCAAAATATTCCTGGTCTTGCAAGGAGTCCAGCAATGTCAATTATATTATCCTAACTTTAGTTTGAGGTATTATTTATTACTAAACGTTAAAATCTAGTGTTTTCACCCAAACATTTGTTAGAGAGGGAGGAGCCAGCGAGCGTGGGAAGAGGGGGGGGGTTGAGTCCATTATTTGAATGGACATTAACCTGGCGACTGTATTTCTCTTAAATATTAATTGTGTGTGCATACCATCATAAAATTAAGATGTTATTTTTACTAGAACATAGGTATTGTGTTGGAAAAAGTGGAGTTTGGGAGTCGGCCCAGTCTCTATTTCAATTAATCCCATATGTTATGTTATTCCATTTACGCGTTTCTCGTTTTACATGGACCTCTGTGGGTTCAATTGACCGCATAAATCGGGGTATTACTGTACAGTGAACCACAGTGTTGTAAAGTGAGATAAAGGACTTATGTACACAAATCTGTGATGACTCATACTGACATGTTTTTCATATATACAGTAGTTGTTTCCTCACTAAATCCTTCCACTTATAAATCTGTGTACTGTGTGAAACATGTAATTAGAACTATGAGTTGACTAAGAAAAATTTTAAGAGCAGAATAAAAATGTGAACCAGAACCCTCACTCTATATTCTATAGCATCCTTCACTAACTGTTTGTTAGTCAGCAGCACAGACATGTCTTCAGTGGTAGTGCTAATAATGTTATGAAGTACACTACCATGGAAGGGGTGGTTGCTCTTGCATGGATGTTGTACAAGCTGGGTAGCACCACTGCCAAATCTGAAAGAAATACAATTGTTCCTTATTTTTCTCATGATATAATCACACACTCATTTAACCTTTAAACGGTGACATGCACTGTATGATGATACAGGCAAGACTGTGATGTGCACCATATGATGATACAGTACTGGCAAGATTGTGATGTGCACCATATGATGATACATGCTGGACTGTGATGTGCATCATGTGATGATATATGCTGGACTGTGATGTGCATCATGCAATGGTATGTACATATATGACTGTGACAAATATCATCAAAGGATGATGAGATTTTTGCACTACTGTTTTAAAAGTGTATGCCAAGATTAATACAGTACTCTGTATTCATAAAGTGAATGATATGTCCCACAGACCTCCTCACACTAGCCACACCTCAGTAAGGCTCTTAGTTGCCTTTCAGACATCATAGAATACACATGTTCATCACTGTTAATGGCTGTCTGCCCCTGCCATAAGCCAGATCCACCCTCCTACTCATACTTTAGTTGCTTGGCCCCACACAGTTACTAAATATTTTCCATGGCAAAACAGAGGTAGATAAAGGATTTTTTTTACAGACCTACTAACCTGAGTATAGCTTGAGTTTTCTTTAAGTCAGATGGGTCACATACACACAAAAACACAGAGCGACCCTTCCCAACTAACATCTCACGCAGCAGCTGCGTTAATGTTGACCTCCTGCTGTCATAGAGTTCACTGCAAGGGGGGAGGGGGAAAAGGACAATAACAAGATACGTACAAGACATTATGAGTAACTGAGAATTTTTCATAATGCATTGGCATATGTTGGCAATCAGCAGATCAATCAATCAATCATTTCAGTGTTGATAACCTTATTATTAGTTAAAAATTCATCCATTTTTCAGACCGTTTTTCTGGTTTTTGAATGTTTTTCCTAATCTGGCCATCCCACTGGGCTAAACTGTCAAAGCTCTACTGTCCACACACTCAGCTACCTGTATTTACAAGTGAATCATATTATGCCATGATAGTTCAAATGCTCAGCCTTACAATGAAAACCAATTTTCCATCATCATTACCCTCCCCCAAGTCTTGTGTGGGATGGATCAAGGGATACACACATCTGAGAGGAAAGGGGAAAAATTAGCGGGGGGGAGGTGCGAGGCAAGTGTGAACTGTGGCGAGAGAGGAACTAACCTATAATCAAAATGTGGATCTGCCCTCCAAACATCTAACTGACAAAAGACTTGCACTTGACTTATTTACTTAACTGATGCAATATTTTCATGAATAAGGAAGTGTATATCTCTATTCTTACTTGGATATTATGTCAAGTTATTCATTGTACAGTTAGTATATCAAAAGTACATTCCGTTAAAATACCTGGAATTCATAGTAAGGAATGTCAGAATAAAGGTTTTACAGTACAGTACTTAGTATTTTGGGAATGTACGTACAGTAATTTGAAAATGCAAGAACGTACTGTATGTACTGTCTTGTACAGACATTACTCCTTGTTAGTGAACACTTTCCCTTCACTTCCTTCACTGGTCTTACGCTATTCAGTCCTAATACATTCAAATAGATACTGCGATCCTTGTATTTCCAGAAGATTTCTTTTTTTACTTACTTCTTATCCCTGTTTGGATCAGTAACAAAGTGATGAAGAGCCCAAAGTGACTTGGTGAGAGGAGGATCTCCTTTAAGCTCATCAAGCAAACTCGTGAATGTGGGTACTAGTTGTAGACCAGCTACCAGTACAAAGTCCAAGTAACATGTGGTTACATTCAGTCTGTTCAAGGCTTTGTCTTTCATGTTTTGTGGTGTATGCTCCAAGATCTGCCAAACAATAAAACATTATTAAGCACAGTGCATTCATCACAGAATTACTATGAATTACTGTACTATTTCATTTAACAGTGAAGACAATATTTAATATTAACAGAAAATGGAGAATGAGTATCTGAGCTGAAGGGAGAAATGAAGGTGTGATCCATATGGATTTCACTGATATATGGTGTCTACATAAAAAGCCAGCTAACTAGTACAGTATTATAAAGGAATGTTGACATTTTTTATGAGTCTCACTGTTGTAGGTTGAATGAACTGCAGTTCAAACCAAACAGAAATATATACAGTACTCTGTGAACCAACCCTTCCCTGTGAGCCTCTTCAGTTACATTTAGTTATGAAATTTCCAAAATTTATTTGATGAATGTCCCTACTTAAAAAAAAATACATAACAACAAGATTTAGTGAGCTGGAGCCTGGAGGAAAAGTAAATAACATGGCACACACCTTTTTTTGCTCATTATTAATGCCCTCTCTACTTACTACAGTACATAATTATGATGAGATTTTCTTACTCATCAAGGTAAAACCAGGAACACAGTACAATACAGTGATCCCTCGGTTAACGGGTGCCTCGGTTAAAAAGATTTTGGTTAACGAGTTACCTTCCATAAGATTCTTAACTTTGGTTAATGAGCAATCCCTCAATTAATGAGTTTCTTACGAGCCGACCTCAACATGTTTTCGCTTGCACTTGGCGGTCAACCAGCTGTAGTATTAGTCCGCCAATACAGTAATTGGTTCTAGGGCTTAAGTTCCTTACTATTTTAGTAAATATCAAGAAGTTTATACTATTCAATATTTTTAAAAGTTTAATATTAAATTTTTTAGTCATTTTAACAATTATTGAACATAACTGAAGGTAAAGAAAATAGTTTCTGGCGCGCCATCCAGCCTGTCAACAAACCAAACAGGCATTAGTCTCTCTCTCTTTTCAGCGGAGGTAACATCTTGCTTGAGACTCTCTTCAACTAAATGCTTTTTTCTGTGTTTCCATTATGAAATTTATTTTACATATTGAAAATATATAGCGCAGTGCAGTGTTATTTTAAAGAGAAGATTCTTTATTTACAGCAAGTTTAAACTTTAAAAATAACGTGTTGAGATTGTTTGAATCTAGCATGGGGCCTAAGAGATCAAGAAAAGTGATTTCAATCCAAACTAAGCAGGAAATTATTAAAAAACATGAAGAAGGCATTAGAACAAATGCGCTATGCAAAGAATATGGCATGTCGACATCAACTGTGTCGACAATTCTTGCACAGAAAGAAAATTTAAAGAAGTGAAAGTGAGAGACAAATCTACCAGAGTGTTTAAAGGTAGATCCCTAATTGCAGAAACAGAGAGGTTACTTCTCATCTGGATTAGGGAAAAACAGATGAAAGGTGATTCAGTTTCTACTGAATTCATTTGTGAAAGAGCCAGGGAGATTTACGAACATTTAAAGGCAAATCAACCTGGTTCTTCAGGAACAGAATTTGAAGATTTTAGGGCCAGCAAAGGCTGGTTCGAAAAATTTAAGAAAAGAAGTGACATTTTCAGTGTTATTAGGCATGGTGAGGCTGCTAGTGCTGATAAGGAAGAGGCAGCAAAGTTTTTAGTGGAGTTTAAAGAACTGATGGAAGAAGAAACTTCTCTTCCACAGCAAGTGTTCAATGTGGACGAAACTGGGCTGTTTTGGAAAAAGATGCCCAAAAGAACATTCATCACCAGAGATGAAGCCTCTTTACCTGGGCATAAACCAATGAAAGACCGTCTCACTCTATTAATTGGTGCCAATGCTTCAGGGGATTTCCGACTGAAGCCTATGCTTGTCTACCACTCTGAAAACCCCAGGGTGTTCAAGCAACAGAAAGTGGTAAGAGTAAAGCTTGGAGTTTATTGGAAGTCCAACCGTAAGGCATGGGTGACAAGACAGCTCTTTAATGAATGGGCTGTTGAGGTGTTTTGCCCTTCTGTCAAGAGCTACCTAATCACCAATAAATTCCCTTTAAAGGCTCTTCTCCTCATGGATAATGCTCCTGGTCATGACCCTGAACTTGCCAGAACTTTGGAGTATCGATTTGACTTTGTGAAAATGTTGTTTTTGCCTCCCAACACTACATCAATCTTACAGCCAATGGACCAGAATGTGATCAGCAACTTCAAGAAGTTGTACATGAAGAAAATGTTTAGGAGGTGTCATCAGGCAACCTCCACTGATCCTGAACTAACACTGAAACAGTTCTGAAAGACACAATTCAACATCGTGGAGGCTGTAAAATTGATTGTGTCATTATGGCAAGAAGTCTACACTAGATTCCTTAATTCTTCATGGAAAGCACTGTGGCCATCAGTAGTCCATGATTTTGAAGGAATTCAGGATGACACAGAGTTGGACCAGGAGATTGTGTCCATTGGTCAGTCATTGGGCCTTGAAGTGGAGGAGGATGATGTCGAAGAGCTTGTGATGTCTCATGAGGAGGAACTTACTCTTGAAGACTTGCAGCAACTGGATGAGATGTTAGAGGCTGACTATGGTGAGGAGGAAAGGGAAAGTGATGACCATATGTCAACTTCAGAGTTGAAAGATGTTATTTACTAAGAAGTTCAGGGAACTGGCTTCAAGGCACCCAGATGTGGAAAAATCTGAACTAACTTTGTGTCAAGTTGAGGACACAATGGTCTCCTTCTTTAAACATAAGTTAATGATGAGGAGGAGAGATGCCCCACAGGCCACAATTGACACTTTCTTCAGTTAAAGGCAGAGGGAACAAGATGCTAGCCCTCAGCCTTCCACTTCAAGAAGGAGAGAGGATGTTCATGGTGGAGAATCTGTCAGTCCAGAGGTTCCTGACATTTTCATGGAAGGTGACTCACCTTCCAAGAAGCAGTAAAATGCTTCTCCTCCACTTCCTTTTCTTCTCCCTTCTCCTCCTCCACCTACCACTTCAAATTCACATCAACATCATCATCCAGGAGCCTTCTACATACACACCTCAAAGTAAGTGTAATTTTCTACCTTTTTTGTTAAATTTAGGCAATTTTCTGTGAGCTGGAACCAATTACTCAAAAACCCATTGAAACAATGGTTTCGGTTAACGAGCAACCTGCTGGAACGGATTGTGCTCGTTAACCGAGGGACCACTGTATCATATCACTGACCAGACGTATGATGGTGTGCGCGGCCTCTAAACGACCTTTGATCATCTTGCAGCGCCTTATGTGTTCGGACTGTCCTTTTTCATACAAAGTTTTCATCTGATATGGAATAAAGAAACAAAAGTATCCATTATTTATAAATAAATAATAAGTACAGACTGCAGAAATACCGGTAATATATAAGTACACGTATTGCAAAGCAAATGATAAAATTAGGATATGCAATGGACATATTGGACCATAACTGTTAAAACAAATACAGTAGTGCTATGATTGCCCCTCTTTATATACTGTATGGGTGCTGGACACTACTAAACCCGACCAGGACAAAAAAACAACGGAAATATATATACTGTCTGTGGTGGTGGGGGTGGGGGTGTCTTAGCAGAGTTTTGGCGGAAACTATATACAGTACTGTACAACGAAACTTAAACAACAAAAAGGTGAACATTAAAAATAAAATAGTTAAACTCGAACCAATTCATTCATGGGCTACTCACCTGCCTTGTTGATGTGACGAAAGATGTCTTAGCACCGAGCCATTCCACAAAGCCATTGACATCCCTGATTAACTTGAGGCCAGAGGCTGGTGCACTTGTGTCATTTAAAATGTCCATTACAAGTAAATCTTCTACTTTCTCATTGTACACCTGAACACATGACATCCTGTACAGTATACAGTAAGGAACTTGTGTGAGTTCTTGCCAAAATTTAACCCTCTACAGGATTGTTTAATTACTATATGTCCACAAAATTTGTGTTGTTGTAGCTACCAGGGAATATATTCAGTGATACGATCAAGCACATACTGCACTATTATACACTTAGATTTGAAACAAACAATAATTCTTGCATTATACCTCAAGACAGAATATGTTGTTCTTATTTCTCTCATATATGACATAATATCTTCAGTAGCTTGATCAAAAAAGCTGGTGAAGAGTTCTTCAAATACTCTCTTACTTTTCATAGTACCTGTTAGAAAATACTGACACTAAAGATATTGAAATGAAGTTTACACACACACAAAAAAGTGATTTACACACGACAGCATCTTTGGCTATCCCTCCATGATGGCACTTCAGCATTAATGCCGCATAGGATGTCATCAACTACCTGAGGATATCAGACACTTTATTTGGGAACCTTTAGTCTTCAATTGATCTTGTTAAAAAAAATTATAGCTTAAGCAATTATTGGCAAAAGAATACAGTACTGTACATCATTATTATTATTAGTCTTCAAACCTGTTGGTGTCCATTACAATTTTTTTTTCTGTAGTTGTTCTTTCAGTATTAACAATTTATGGGTCATCTACAGAACTAACTACATGTGTGTTCGGAGGCAGCATGGCCAGTACTGCACCCGACTACATTCACTTCCCCAAGTTGTAAACTTATAAGAGTGAATAAATGCAGTACACAACAGAACCCATCCCGCTCCCATGCATAACCAAAATTAGCACTGTAGACAGACTACAGGGTATAACGTAAAACTGTATCGTCAGGCAAACCTATAATTTTCTTACCTATTGGAGACCGGCCATACATAATGAAGGCTGTACTATGCATCATGGAGAGGGAATCTTTAAGATGTTTCTCAAGTGAATTTGCATACATATGAATTTTTGAGTCCCCAATGAAGACTCTATCTGTAAATACAAGCATATACTGTATTACATACATATAATTCCAATACTGTACTGTATACAATACTGCATCAACTAATTTCCATAAATATATGTTAACACAACCCTATTATTATTCTAATGGCTACTGGCCTCCTTCCATTAGAATGGCCACTGTATTTATAATGCAGTACAGTATAGTGGATGGCTAAACGCATCCACTTCAGACATCGACCAGCTGAGTGTAGCCGTGACACTGTTTTTGGTGGAAAACTCAAACTATGCCCACCAAGCCAGGCCATACACCCCTGACAGCCAATCAGAGGGCACTAGAAACCTGCACGCGCACCTCTTCACCAGGAAAACCAGCCCCTTCGTCAATCACATGGATAGAGCGGGACATATGCCCAGGTGGGAAGGTACCTATGTCTTACACAAGGGCATGAACAAAAGGACCAGTAAAGCCCTGGAAGCAGCTTACATCACACTGCACCTGAACATCAAGACCAAAGCAGGCTGGGTGATCTGGTCGCACACCATGGCCCAGATGGCAGCAAGTGATTGGCAGAGAGAACGAACAACAGTGACACCAAATGACTGATGGGGATACATGACCGAGCCCTGCCCACTACTGCGGTATATATTTCTGTGTATTAATGTCAGTAAACCATTTTGTGTGCAGTATTCATTACTGTACTTTGAAAACGTCTAGTGATGAAACGTCAGTAATAAAGCTCTGTCTCTTAGTAGTGTTTCTTTCACTACCACACTACCATCTGTCCACTATGAACAATGTTCACAGTGAATGGTGTCTCTGGCAAACCCCTTCCAATGTACTACAGGTCTGCCAACTGTTTATGGGCTCCACACATGCATGTGTCAAATGTCTCAAGTGTTTTGCGATGTATTTAAAAAAAAAACCCGGGAAGATACTTCATTCTTTCACTGTACATAAACACACGTTCAGTACTTACCAAATACATATTGTTTTCCTACAGGTCTGGCACTCTTTGGATCCACCTGGGTGACAGCTTGGTCACTAAGTGCTTTCCACTCCACCAGACCTTGTAACATAAAGCCAGTATCGATGTAAGCGTACACATTTGACCTAACTGCTTGGGAATCTTTGTTCTTCACAACACTTTCCTTCTCTTCTGTGTGTTTATATTGACTTTTTCTGAACATTGTTTCTTGTACTGCTGTACCCTGTAAAATATACAGTTATATACAGGTATTCTATAAAAACGTAAAACAAAAATGATATTTTCAGGAATTCAGTTTAAGGAAGTTTTACCATGCAAACAAGGAATACAGGAACCACCTGAAGATTAGCCCTTCAGTCAAAATAATGAGAGAAAATAACTAGAAAAATAAATGTTAGGTTATATCACCCTGGAATTGTTCATTACTTAAATGGAAAAACTGATTTCCTCAAACGTTTCTACTACTGTACTGTACAGCTTACACAGTAGTTTCCAGCAACCACTCAATGTTGGCAGAGCTTTGAAAGACGTCAAATAGAAGGCTTAATGTTATAGTACAAAGAAAAAGATACTATTATGTAATGCTATAAAAGGTTCAGCAAAATGTTATTATTAGTGCAACAGAGCCCCAAAATATGCAAAATTTTACCAACTTCCGAAAAATCTATTTAATTTAGGTAAGACTTTACATGTGATTTCATTCAACCAAGTTGCTAAATCATCATGCAACCACCTTGGACTGCTTACCAGGCATACTGTACAGTGTCATATTGGTTTTGAATACATGTATTTGGGTACTTTTTAAAATCTGCTTCACTGCCATTCAATGTCAAAAATTTAAATTACTAATTTCGAGTTCTTTTCAACAAATTTACGTTAATTAACATCAAAGTTCAATAGTTAAGATCAATATCATAAACCTTTTGAGACTTTTTTTTTTCACGGGGGATTAGCCCACCCGGACACAGGTCACTGACCCACATCAGGGCCTGGGGGGCGAAAATTTAATAATAATAATAATAATAATAATAATAATAATAATAATAATAATAATAATAATAATAATAATAATAATAATAATAATAATAATAATAATAATAATAATAATAATAATAATACAGTAATAATAATGATGATAATAATAATAATAATAATAATAATAATAATAATAATAATAATAATAATAATAATAATAATAATACAGTAATACTACGACTATTACTACTACTACTACTACTACTAATAATAATAATAATGAATCATAAAGAAATGCAAAAATGAAAAAAATAAAAAGTGAGAAACACTATACAGTATGTATGTTGTGTTGTCAATAGTAAGAGAAACAATTGAGACCCTGTAATTGTGTGTAAATGAGGCAGAAAGTCAGATCAGCAACCTGGGACTTGGTCACAATTTTCGTGATACCATATGGCAGCAGGGTCTACCATTAGACAACACATTATGCTTCCAATATCTTCCCAGACAGTAGTACCTCCCTGTTTGATGGCTGCCTAATACTTACAATGGCAATTAAACATGACAAATTATGTGCTATTCAAGGTTTCTAATATACTATCCACAGTATTATTTTAGTTTCGGTCATCCGGGGAATCTTAAGACATTAGATTAGATTAGTTCATGGGTTCTGTGGCTAGGTTAGGTTAGGTTGCATAGGTTAAGATACATTAAGTTCGGTTGGATAGGTTAGATTAGATTAGGTTACATTGGTTAGGATATCTAAATACAAGGATGACCGAAACAAAAATTTTACTGCACCCAATTGAATCTGTATCATGCACTGTATAAGCTCCCAGGTACCGTTAATTGCCCAGAGTCAGGTATGTGAAGTGTTTACATATCCGCCTCTCAGCTGTGACTGCATCCAACCTTCTTTCAATTTCCTTAATAAATAAAAGAGATTGATTAAAGTTGCTGCATCATAAATGTAAATTAAATATCCTCGTCAGCAATTTCATGACATTTCTGTTTGTAGGAATTATTAAACACAATATTAGTTTTTTTTATGAATAAGTTAAAAGAAATAATGGTATATGAGTTATATCTGTCATATTGCCAGTTTTTTTTTATTTACAATTTATTATACGTTATGATAATGAAACAATAATTACTATTTGTTTATATCTTATAAGTAATTGTTTTTGACTTGGGGCTTTTTTTTTAGCACAACTAACTGTAACGATTAGAGACTAACATTACAAGTTTATTAAAGACCTTGTATGTTGACGTCACGATAACGTAGGCAGGGACTGTGTTAACAAATATTTAAATTTCAGTTATTATTATTATTATTATTATTATTATTATTATTATTATTTTGGGGAGGGCGATAGTTAGACTGATCAATAGTGTGTGTGTGTGTGTGTCACGATAGGATATATGTTAGGTTAGGTTAATTTAGGAAGTTAATTACATTGTGAAGATCAGCAGCTCAGGTGTTCAAGAAGGCTAAATAATTACAGGTCCTTCTTTTGTTCCTACACCCCTGAGAGGTCGTCACCCCCCTCCCTCAGAGACATCACCCCAGAGAGATACCACCCCAGAGAGATACCACCCCCAAAAATTATATCTTAACTACTGTAATCAAATGGACAGAAAAAAGGTGATGAAATGTAAGAGTAACGGGGCCAAGTGTTGCAGGTTCATTAAGACTCATTAAAAACACTGGGAAGGTCTGGCTGCTTGTGTGGTAGTGGTGGTGGTAGTGTGGAGAAGAGTTAAATTACCTTTGTGTGATAATTTGTGTACAAGGTGATGGCGTAGAGACAGGTTAATTATTATATTTCCAGGTGAGTGTAATTAGTTTTTTTGTTTGTGTTGTTATTAAGGTTATGAAAGACACTAGTGCTTAATTTTTTTATATTAAATGAGGATATTACTGGATGCGCGCATATACACACATACACTTGCCTACAGAGAGAAGATAAGTAATATATAACCTGGATGCTGTACACTTTTAATACTGCTTCACAACCATCAAGTAAAAGCACCTCTCACTTACCCTCTTGTTCTTCTATTGTTTAATTGCTTTTGTCGTGATTTGCAATGGAACGGCGGCGAGAGGTGGAACAATTTAGGTGATTGTTGCGTAGAGGTCAGGTGTTGATTGGATGATTTATATGATGAGGTCACAGTTGATTGGTTGGTTTATATGAGGTCACAGTTGATTGGTTGGTTTATATGATGAGGTCACAGTTGATTGGTTGGTTTATATGATGAGGTCACAGTTGATTGGTTGTTTATATGATGAGGTTAACGTTCATTGGTTGATTTATATGATGAGGTCAAAGTTGATTGGCTAATACACTGCTTAATTCAACTCTGATTGACTCTTACATTGAAGAGGTCTACGCTGATTGGCTAAGACACTGCTTAGGTCAACGCTGATTGGCTATTATACCCCTCAGATAAACGTTGATTGGTTATTACAGTGCATATAGGTTTGAGTGAGTAAAAATGAGCTCAGTGGATGATAAATAATTAAGTTCGCGAGGTTCTGTACCACCTGAAGCGAGATTAATGAGTGAGGAGAGGAAGTGAGTCCAATTAACGGAGTGATCTCATTAGACAGTGAGCCAAGTAAATTGAGTGAGCTTAGTGAATATTGAGCAGAGTGATCTCAGTGAAGAGTTAGCTGATTGAGCTTAGCAAGACTACTGAACAGTGATCCCAATGAGTAAAGTACTCTCGGTGGAGTGAACTCAGTGAGCAAAATAAGGCCAGTACGTAAAATGAGTTCAGTAAATCCAATTAGTGGGGTGAGCTGGGAGTGAGCTCAGTGAAAGAAAGTGATCCCAGTGATTATTGAAATGAGCAGAGAGAGAGAGAGAGAGAGAGAGAGAGAGAGAGAGAGAGTTTCACTTCCATTCTTCTCTCTTATTTTTACTTCCTCCCTTTCACCTCTATTTTTTTTTACCCTCTCTTCCCCTTTCCTTCTTCCCTCCTCCCTCACCCACCACCTTTTCGTCGACCCTAAACATATAGCATCTCTTCTCTTTTTCCTTTCCTCTTTCTTTCGTCTCCTCCTCCTCCTCCCCCCCTCCTCCCTAGCCATTCTAATAGAGACAAGGGAGAGCTTTCTCTTGGGCCACAGTGAAGACAGGTTAATACTCAGGTGTTTCAAGACGTCGACAGCAAATTAAGAACTATCAGGTGGGTAGAGCCTTACCTCGACCCAGAGTGACTTGGATTTAGTGGCTGACGGTAGTTAAGACCAGAGACTGTTTATACCTCCGTCCCCGTCCTGTTCCCCCTATACCCACGCCACACCAAACCCCACCTAGCGAACGAAAGGGGTAAGTGACCTGTGTGTGTGTGTGTGTGTGTGTGTGTGTGTGTGCAATAATAATAATAATAATAAACGGTTTATTGAAAAAGTTTGCAGCCCGAAGGCTGAAAATATACATTGGACATAAATTACTTATTACATACATTGGTGGTTTAACAAAAGCCTTCATTAGAGAAAGGTGAAGGAACATACAGTGAACATACAGATTAATGTTTACACACGTAGATCATGTGAGCTGAGGTACTGAACAGCAGACACGTAGTGTAGTAGCTCCCTGTCGTTTCGGCACTTTTGGCGAACCCGCCAAAAAAGCATTTTTCGTAAGGTCCGGACATGAATTTTTTTTTCATTTTTGGCGAACCCGCAAAAAATGCAATTTTCCCAAGGTCCGGTGTACTGCGCACATCATTGTCATTCCTAAAAATCCCATTTAATTCATATTACGCTATATAACATTCAAATGCACCGCGCTTGTAGAACCCCAGAAAACGGGAAACATTGATAAAGGACAACTCACCTACTCAATGTTCCTAGACCTTGTGTTGTATTGTACCCAGGTACAGTTATATCATATTAAGTGTATGTATTCATAGCATTAATAATAACTCAGGGTATACATAAGATGACTGTTAAAGTCCAGTTGAGCCGGACTAGTGTACTGTAAGACTAAGTGTGGATCATGGTTTGAAGGTCATACTATTTACGTCTGTGAGCGTGTAGCGAACATAACTCCCACAGATATCATATGAAAATACATGAGAACAATGATCTGGAAAAAGGATAAATGTATCAGAACTATGTGAGGTGTTGAAAGTGATCCAGAAACTATACTTGAAAGGAAATATCTTGTATGCGTCGGTATGAATTTAATACACCTCGTATCCTCACGTGACATATACCCACGACAGGTACAGTGATCAGAGAATCTTATGTCTGTGTTCAAATTGTGCAATGTGTGAGAGGAGGATCCCTCATTACAGTTTTAAGTGAAGTTGATACACCCCCGCCATGAACATTCGGCCTTTGTTTCAAGGCGCGTCATGTACCCGCCTTGGGTGCCACGTTGATATAATAACCCCATGAATTTGCCCCAAGAACTAGCAAACCAAGACCTTACCTTAGTGTGTAATTTAGGATTAAAATATGGGTTTATAAGGCATGAGTGACAATATAGCGAAAAGTGTTAAGGTGAGAACCCTAAGAAAAAAAAGTGAAAATTAAGACTTGGAAACTGTAGGCCTATGTGCCGAGGAGCGGCGGGGCAATGCCCTCAGTCTTCCTCGTTCTACCGCCACCTCAGGTGCCATGCGGTCGGAGTACCTTGCCGCCCGGCCGCCATTGTCCCTTTGAGCGTCACAACAGGTGGGGACTACTCCCCGCTATGCCAATCCACTGTGAACCTGTGGATTTCCAGCGCACCACTCCAAATGAATAGTCACAAATAAGGAGACCGTGAGAAACTCTGCGGTCGTCACTTGGAGCGACCTATAATACCAGGCGTAGAAATAGTGCTGGTATGTCTCTAGGTGAAGCCCTCGTCTTTACCCACCGAGGGCGGTGTGTGAACAAGGTGCCTGTTGCGTATACCTAAAAGTCACAAGGAGTCACATACTTGCAGGTATGGAGTGTAACAGGTGTGTTGAGATGGTGCTACTATGTATGATAACCGACGGTGCTATATTCCACACAGGTGGAGCAGTCTGATGTGTTAGGGGATATTGTAAGAAGGAACGACCGAGGTAAGGTGGTCACAGATTGGTATGCAATAAATAGGTGGATAACACGCCATCAATGTAAGAGTCTGGGGCCCCTCTGGGTAACCATATTTCCGTTGTTCTTCTGAGGAAGGCCAATTCATGTATATGTTTTTTTTACCAGTATGTTTTATAAGGAATAAATCAATTAAGACATGTTATGGTTTCACCCTTCTTTACCCTTATCGGTCTGGTCAATGGAAAACCTAACCCAATGCCTAGTCCACTCTGCCCTCTACCTAACGAGCTACATGCTCTCCAGAGGGGGTTTGGTGGCAGCGACCCTTAGAAATTAAGATTAGAGTTAAGTTATCCCCTTAGATTTAGTGACCCCAGAATCTGGCAGTATACCGGAACCTGTCGTTTCGACACTTTTGGCGAACCCGCCAAAAAATGCAATTTTCGCAAGGTCCGGACCTGCTACGACCCTCACCATGACGACCAGGAAGGTGATAATGGTGTGCTACGACCCTCACCATGACGACCAGGAAGGTGATAATGGTGCTACGACCCTCACCATGACGGCCAGGAAGGTGATAATGGTGCTACGACCCTCACCATGAAGACCAGAAGGTGATAATGGTGAAGAATACAGACAGACAGAGCTCTGAGTGATAGACAGATAATGAGTGAGACAGGCGGACAGACAGACAGACAGACAGACAATTATGATAATCGTCGACACATCAACTGGAATTATTCTGGCCATTAAATCCTAACACCATCGACTCACTGAATAATTCCTACCAATGGCTAAAATAATATATACAATTATCACTACTATATTTAATAGGGAAAATAATTTGTGTTTTTTTTTATCGTTGAGAAAGAAGACGGACGTATATTAGACCATAATACACACTTAAACATTTTATTGATCACCTCTTATGGAAATTTACGAGAGAAACTGTCCAATACCTTATGAAAATTCAGTATAGGCTAGATTAGGTTAGGTTAGGCAACTCAAGTGACAAACATAATCGCGTATAAAGTGTGTGTGTGTGTGTGTGTGTGTGTGTGTGTGTGTGTGTGTGTGTGTAAGTAAATGATTCATCAGATCGGCCAATCGTGTCTGGCTTAGTGAGTGAATCATCATCGTTCAGGTTCGGACCAATTTATGAAATGATTGAAATACGACTGTAGCCGATTAAATGAGTTTGGTATTGCTTTGTTACATGGTGTGGTGTGTCAGCGTGGGATTCTATTGCTATTTTGATTTCATAGTCTCTCTTTGCTTTCCTTACATTTTTCTTAACATTCCTAGATAGTTCATTATACCTATTTCTGAGCTGCTCCTCCCCTCCCTTTAATTTCTTATATATTCCTTTGACTAGCGAGGTCATCCTAAAACTGTATCTTGCTCTTGTGAGACCACACCTGGATTACGCAGTTCAGTTCTGGTCACCGTATTACAGAATGTACATAGAATCCTTGGAAAGAATTCAGAGGAGAATGACAAGACTAATCCCGGGCATTAGGAACCTTGAGTATAGAGACAGGTTA